GGTGAGGGTGGGAGGAACGGTGGGCAGCGGGGATCGAGCTTGCGTGTCGCCACTGGCGCAGCCCGTGACGTGGGCAGGCGACGAACGGGCAGAAGGGGAGACAGACTGCGTGGGGATGGGAGGGGTGAGGCCGGCGAGGTGGTGCGCTGGGTGGCGGCAGCCAGAGGTCGGCGGCGTGAACGCTCTGGCGCGTCGCGGCTGCCACGTCACTGCCCGTTTCGTGCAAACGGGCGCGTGCGGCGCGTTGCGCGCGTCGGGTGAGTCCTGGCGGGCGGGTGTGTGCTGGCAGGCGGCGGCGGGCATGTGGGCGGCGGCACCGGCGGGTGCTGGCGTCGGTGGCAGCGGCAAGGTGGGTGGGAGGACGGCGGCAGTGAGGTGAGTGGGAGGACGGCGGCGGCGACGAACCGAGCAGTCGCCGAGCAGTCGTAGTACACCACCAAATGGCGCCCGGCAGACCGAGGCCTGAAGTAATTAGCTGCCGCCGAGCTCTCCCCTTGTATGACTATGTGAATATCACGACCTTAGCCTCGCGTGACGGCTAAATATCACGGAAAGCTGACCGATCAGCCTAGCGGCATCTGAGAGAAGTGTGCCTCTAAGCTTACTTGTCGGCCGGAGCGAGTATGAGACGTGCTCTGGTCTGACGACTATGTCACAGAACACCACAGCCTCGAATTGACAGCTGGCCTGGACATTGTCGTCACATCACCATAGTCTGTGAGCAAGACCATTGAGTGACCAGCGAAAAGCCTACGATTTGAACCATCACATAAGTCATACATCGCACAATGGGCTTGTCGCAGGCTGACCGCCAGTGATGCTGTAGGTACGATACGCCGAAGCAAGACCTTGCTGTAGCAAACCATTCCAAACGATGTTTCTGTATTTCTCCTACATCTAATCGACCCAAACAGACCGTTTATGTTTGTCCTGAGTCCTATTCGGACAAGCTGAACTCGCTACTGTGTCTAAGGACGGGCGCCTATTCCGCTAATCCTGACGGCCACATTCATGAGCGGACCATACCCATTCCTAACGGTACACCCGGGCTGCATATTCCCCATTGTCAACGGAAACCCGACGCCGGCCGGAGAAATGTGTCCGGAGGTTGCAAACCCACCGGCCGGCACCTGAGGTGCCCATTGTTAGCAGACTGGCCGGTCTTGTTTTGAACGGACCGGCCGATGGCAGGGAAAATCAACAAGTGTTACTGAACAATGGTCCGGAATTTAATCTATGGTTGTAAATGGACCGGCCGGAGAGTGGCAACCACATTTATAACACTCCAGCAGGATTTCATCCCTGTGTTTGGAAATAGTCCGGCCGGAATGCATCCCTACGGTTTCAAATGGTCCGGCCGAAGGTCATATACCTTTGTTTATGATGTACCGGCCGAAGGTAATATATCTAAATTAATAACACACCGGCCAGAGGTGATATACCTACATTGAGAAAGAACCGGCCGGTCATAATGTACCCACGCACAAAACAAACCGGCCGGCCATGACATAGTTTCACTACACATTGACCGGCCAGGCATAGCATGCCTATATCAGAAATGAACCGGCCGGTCATATGGAGCCTGAATATCAATTGCTCCCACCATCCTGGAAACATATTCATTGATGCACTGAGTTTTCTGGACCATAAATGCACTGGACCCAGGTTTTTTGGGCTTTGAATCCATTTTTAGCATCCCCATAGATGCTCCCAATTTTCCAGGCACATGCAAACCATTCCAGAGCTTTAGAATTATTAAAATTGAGTTTTCTGGGTTGAAAATAGACTAAAACTAGCTTTTCTGGGCTGGAAATGCATTAGAACACATTTATTGAGCCTCCCAATCCACATTTACAACAGCTCTGAGCCTTATACACCAAGTCCGAGTATTTTACACAATTGCCGAGATTCCACAAAGTCCCGGCGCCGAGGATGCACCAAGTCCCGGCGCCGGGGGTGCACCAAGTTGCGGCGCCGCAAGTGCTCCAAGTTGCGGCGCCGCAGGTGCACCAAGCCTCGGCGCCGCACCGTCTCGTTAAGCGCCGAGAAACATCGCTCGGCGCCGAGACTTGGTGCACCTGCGGCGCCGCAACTTGGAGCACTTGCGGCGCCGCAACTTGGTACTACCTCGGCGCCGAGTTGTGCTAAACCTGAGGAATAATGGAGTTTCTAACAATGATCACAAAAAGATTACTGATGTTTGTTACACCAATGACCTTTTGTAGCTCATCTTATAGGGAATGTTAGGTTCATTAGGAAATCTCCTAATGACACTACAAAGGTTTGTATGTGGTTACTTATAAAAAGTGATGTTTGTGTCTCATTGTGTAGGGAATGGTCTGTTGATAAGTAAATCTTCTATTGACACTTCAAGGATTTCCAATGGTCAGGCCGGTACAGCTGCTTTTCTTGTCTGGCTGGTAAGTAAACTTACTGATGACACTACAGTATATTGTATTCAATTTGTACATTTGTAGCTCATCTTATAGGAAATGTTAGGTTCATTAGTAAATCTTCTAATGTCATTACAAGGGTTTGTATGTGGTTACTTATAAAAAGTGAGGTTTATATTTCATTGTGTAGGGAATAGTCTATTGATAAGTAAATCTTCTATTGACACTTCAAGGATTTTCAATGCTTAGGCCAGTACAGCAGCTTTTCTTGTTCAGCCAGTAAGTAAGCTTATTGATAGCACTACACATATTTGTATCTCATCTTGTGGGGAACATTAGGTTGATAAGCAACTATTATGATGAGACTACAAGGATGTGTACATCTCATGCTGTTGTTATTGTACAGTAGACAGAACACTACATTACAAATGTGTAGTACTATGACAACTTCTGGCTGATCTAGCGCCCACACTAAAGTTGGTAGCACTTACAGCTTGGAAGATTAAGCTATGAGATTTGGCATATGTGCTGCTGGCTGTATGAACATACATTATAGCCACTAACCTAATGTGGGCAAAGAATACTGCCATGGTGAGGAGAGTAAGAAGGGAGCAGGGACATGCACAATTAGTGATATGTCTCTGAAGTGATAAGTTGTTGCCTTTATGTACAACTTTTGTGCCAACATGTGTCCAGATGAACAAGTACATTCATCAAGTCATGTATGGATGGGTTGCTGATACATGTTTCATTTATCCTCATACATTCTGCTATGATCATGATGGCCACACCCTACATATATATCTGTATGTAGAAACCAATCCCAGATGAATATGAGACATTCTATAGAATTAACACATGTGGTCCTAGGTACATTGCTCTGCTACAGCCTACATTTGGAACTCACTGACTTTTCTGTAAATGCTAGACAGTTCAACCTTGATGCAGGGTTGTAACTATGATGTATTCTTTTGTGATAATCAACCTCTTGTTCCTACAGTGTTCCTTTGTCTTAATTTCATTATGTACTAATTAAATACAACACACTGTAGTGTCATTAGTGAGTTTACTTACCAGCCGGAACAGGAAAAGCAGCTGTACCGGCCTAACCGTTGAGAATCCTTGAAGTGTCAATAGAAGATTTACTTATCAACAGACCATTCCCTACACAATGAGACACAAACATCACTTTTTATAAGTAACCACATACAAACCTTTGTAGTGTCATTAGGAGATTTCCTAATGAACCTAACATTCCCTATAAGATGAGCTACAAAAGGTCATTGGTGTAACAAACATCAGTAATCTTTTTGTGATCATTGTTAGAAACTCCATTATTCCTCAGGTTTAGCACAACTCGGCGCCGAGGTAGTACCAAGTTGCGGCGCCGCAGGTGCACCAAGTTGCGGCGCCGAGCGATGTTTCTCGGCGCTTAACGAGACGGTGCGGCGCCGAGGCTTGGTGCACCTGCGGCGCCGCAACTTGGAGCACTTGCGGCGCCGCAACTTGGTGCACCCCCGGCGCCGGGACTTTGTGGAATCTCGGCGATTGTGCAAAATACTCGGACTTGGTGTATAAGGCTCAGACCTGTTGTAAATATGATTTAGGGAGCTAAACACATGTGCAAGAATAGCCTTTGAAGCAATTCCAGCCTGGAAAACCTGGATCTGGTCTGTTTCCAGGCTAGAAAAGCTCATTTATGGTGCTTTTGAAGCATGGGCATGGTTTGTATGTACCTGATAAAATTGGGAGCATGTAAGGGAATGCTTGTCAATGTATTCCAAGCCCAAAAAACCTAGGTCCAGTGTGTTGATGGTCCAGAAACCTCAGTGCATCTTTGACAATGTGTTCTGGGATGTTTGGCACAATTATCATTCAGATTCCATATGACCGGCCGGTTCATTTCTAATGTAGGTTTGTTATGACTGTCCGGCCCATGTGTAGTGTAAGTATGTCATGCCTGGCCGGTCTGTTTTTGGTGTAGGTAGACTATGACCGGCCGGTCCTTTTGCAATGCAGGTATATGACCTCCGGCCGGTATGTTATAAATGTAGGTACATGAACTCCGGCCGGTGCATTATAAGTCAAGGTATATGAGCTCTGGGTGGTGCATTGATAATGTGAATGTATGAGCTCCGGCCGGTGCATCAATGATGTGGGTATATGAGCTCCGGCCGGTCTGTTATTAATGTGGGTATATGAGTCCCGGCCGGTCTGTTATAAATGTAGGTGCCTGATCTCTGGCCGGTCCATTTACAACCATAGATTAAATTCCGGACCATTGTTCAGTAACACTTGTTGATTTGCCCTATTGCCGGCCGGTCCGTTCAAAACAAGACCGGCCAGTCTGCTAACAATGGGCACCTCAGGTGCCGGCCGGTGGGTTTGCAACCTCCGGACACATTTCTCCGGCCGGCGTCGGGTTTCCGTTGACAACGGGGAATATGCAGCCCGGGTGTACCGTTAGGAACGTAAAAGTACACTCATTGGGCTCTGACGGCACAAACGGGCGCAAGTCATGCCAGTGGGTGCTGATGAGTCTATACAATTGGTGAGCGTGGATTGAGAATATTTTATGCTTGACCGAGAGCAACATACACTCTATGACTACGTCGTCATCTCGTCATCTTGGTTCGCAAGGCTGGGGCCAGCGGTATTTGACGATGGAACGGGACGGTTGCTTGTACCAGCGGCGGTTGGGGCCCGGGCTGAGCCCCGCTCCGCTGCAGTCGCGTTCTTGGTCTTGTTGCGTGCTCGAGTCTCCGCGGCCCTTGTTTTGGCATCTGCATGTTTTTGCGGCCCGGACACCTGAAGTTGAGCCGCAAGTTCGTGATGCCTCTTGGTACGATCTTCGCTTGGTATATATGGCTCTGGCGCAGTGAGATTGCGTGGCAGTGTCTGCCTTATTAAGGCGGAATTGCGAATTGCGTGTGTGTTCAAGATATACCGGTCGGTTTTGGCGACATGTTCGTTGACTTGTCGAGTTTGCCCTGTCTCGCGTCGTTCTTGCCGCACAGGCACCGTCCCTGTTGGAGCGCATTTACTGTCATAGCAGTCATGCTGGGCATTGAATGCGAAGAGAACGGCCTGGCGACGGTCCAATTAGCGTACATTTAGATCAGCCTGTTCGGACACCAGATGTACTATTGCTTTACTGACCTCCGGAGCCACACACACGCGGTCGTAAAGGTCATGCGCCGGTTGTTCTATTGACGCAATTGTGCGCACCAGGACCGGCATATTGTAATGCTTGTCCTTTGCTTCCAGAACCGTGTATGGCTGGATTAAAACATGCGCGCAATCTTTTGCTGGCGAGCCGTTGTCGGAACTGGAACTGGGGGCGAGGAAGACTTCAACAATACGACCTGCAGATACAACCTGTACAATCAGATATGACCATTCAATCAGTACAACTTCGGTGTAGACAAGAGGCTACAACACCTGTGTCTGCGGGTGTTTGTAGAATACCCATGAACCGCGCTTGCATACATCTTTTGATCGCGAGATTACATAGGCACATCGCTTGAGCCTTTCGTCTGCTCCCGACTCGACTCGGGACTCGACAGTCTGACTTGCAGTGCCACTACTGGATCCGGCGTTCTCGCCAGCTTGAGGAGCAGTGTCCACCGGAACTGAACGCTTCTTGACAGCCTCGAGCTTGACTGTACCTAGTCAACAGGCTGTGTTCAGTACATGGCAAAACACCGATAGCGTAAACAGTAGAATACCGGGTTGAATACTTGTCGGATCGACCCAGCCAAGGCGCCGTTGCAGTTCAGGTGTTGATCGCAGGTATGCGCGAACGTGCCTTCCCGCCTGAACCATTCCACCCTCATCTGTCTTCCACCATCCACCGCTCACGATGTGCTTGAACGTCTCCAGTCCTGCGAGTGTTTCCGCGATATCGCGGCTGGGCGCCAAACGATTCGATAAGACGCTGCAAATGCGGAACACAGAGTTCCAACACTCGAAGATTTCGGTGGAGTACAGGATTGCGGGTCCGAATTGGCGAACATCGGCAACAAGGTGAGAGAGTACGTGGTGTTTGGCTTTGACGATGATGCGGTATGGGTCGAGGAGAGCCCAGATGTCGAGAAGATTTGCGATCAGTATCTCCAAGTCTGCCTGTCAATTGCACGGTGACATACATGTGAGTCATTCGCATGCGGAGTCAATCCCAGAACGTTATGCAAAGTGATTCACTTACAAGGTATTGTTCCATGTCCAATATGGTGTCGACCCATATCATCGCGCCGAGCTCTCCTGTTGACTTCCATAGATCGAATATGAGCGGCGAACACAGGTCGTGCAAGTGAAACACTGCAAGCTGCTGCAGGGTCTTGTAGTGCCTTCCGATCAGTGAGTTCTTGTATTTCACCATGTATTCCGCCTGTATTGCAGGGATTGACAGCCCATCGACAGACGAGGACTGCAGACGCTGTGCAAAGAGGCGCTCCTCTTTCTTGCTCCATGGATGTGACGTGTCGTGCCAGATATACTTGTCCTCACCAATCAGGTACGTGTGCAAAATTTCTGTAGCTGTGTCCCGATGGACATTGACTCCAGGCACTCCGAGGAGAGGGTTGTAATGGTCACCTCGTCGAACGTCTTTACGGAGCGCTATAACCCAAAGATAAGCTCAGACGCTATGTCTAAAACAATGAAGTATATGGCTTACGCGAATCAACAGGAATAGCATTGTAGCTGTGTGGTGGCTGTTGAATCAGCCACTCAAACGTCTCCTCCTGTATTGCGGTGACAATGGTATCCTTTACTTTACGATGTTCATCCCCTTTCAGGCTTCGACTGTTCATCCGGGCATCCCGGGTATCTTTGTCAGTGAGCCGCCGCTTTTGTTCGGCCTGGGACCTGATCAAGACTACCTCAATCCAGAATTGGGCAATCCGGTCCTTGACACCGGTCGAGGTTTGTGATTCTTCCACCGCCTCTCGCTCACCGCGGCATGCCAAGCGCAGTTGGAGCTTGACCACACGTTCTGTTTCGTCAGGTGTTCGTGGTTCCCCGGGCTTAACCGTGAGGAGAACTGTCACACAATGACAACTCGTGAGAGGTCAGTGGTCTGCTCACCATGAATAATGCGTCGTAACCCTCGTTTGTCTCCTTTGCCTCCGCAGACCCGCCCACCATACACCGACGACAGAACAAGTTCCCCTTCAGCCCAATGTGTGAGCACGTCTCCGACTGCTGAGGATTATCGGCTGGTTTGATGTGTGGCATGACACGAAAGACGATATCTTCCTTCAGCGCACAATCATACGCTTCAATCCAACAATCTGGACCGCTATGACAGTGGTATTCTTCAGTACTTTGTGATCCGATGCACGCAGCTAATACGCACGCTTCTTTGTACAGCGCAGTGAACTGTTCAGACGAACTCGCATGCTGTGATGTCGAGTGGAAACGGATGAAAAACTCTTGCTGCAACTTCTCGTGTGGGAGATTCAGGTTCGCAAGGTACATGTTCGTATGCAGGTTGAATTGTTTGCTGACATTCCCCGAGACGTCGTCGCTCCATGCGGCAGCGTAAAGCGTAAACGCTGGCCGCCCATTTGCTGTCTCTCGCACCGGATGATTTCGTGCTGCCCACTTGGGAACAGTGTCTGCAACAACTGGTGAGATGTTTCCTGTACAATCCGACTCCAAGGCTCACCATCAAACCGAATGTCCTGTCCCAATACTGCCTCGATATCCCGGCAATTGCCAGACAGTGTGTTCACTGGAATCCGCAAAACCTCAGGATCATACATGCCGAACAATCCGGTCTGTTGAGCTATATGCATGAACTACGCCCCTTTCAATTGTGAGTCTCACTGTTCTTCGCACCGTGTGATTCAGCTCATAGACATCTGCATAGACTGTACTCCGTTCAACGATCCAACGCAGAATCAGGACGTATCGCCCATCATGCAGACGAGCAGCTTCTCTGATGTAGAAGTGACGATAAGGTGTGTTTTCCCAGTCCGCCCACATGTGCGGATACAAGTCCAAATCCTTTGTGTTAATCACTTTGGGCGCTGCCTTTTCTGCTTGGAGAATTTCTGAGACCTCTGGAGTCGTCTCAGGGTATAGCCGGATATGTGCGCGAACCAAAGGATTACTCCAATCCTTATCAAGTCATCAGTACGTGGGAAGTATCTTGAAGCGTTCCATTACTAGGCTTACCAATCGAAACGTAGATGACGGGCCATTGGCATAGAACTCGTTGTCCTGGGACGTCTTGCGCTAACTTTTCCTGCACAGAACGCAAGGCACCAAACGTCGGTACGTTCGGTGTTCCGCATTGTATCATAACCCAGATGATCAATCTTATGTGATCGTCAGAGAGGCGCAGCCGTGGTAAACTGTCAAGCAAGTTGAGCATGAACATCTAAGAACAAAGCCAAAGGTAAGTGACGTGTATGCTTGAAATGATGGACGTACCGTCTTCGTTCCGTAAGGATGCCAGTCATCATCAGCTTCTGCATCTCCTAGAAGACACGGCCCAATGGGAACATGATCATTGTCCTTCGAGCCGGGTGCGTTTATTCCTGGATGATGTCAGAATCATGTCTGATGGACATCAGATTGAAGGTTCCGCGCTCACCAAGTCGCTCCAGCTCAGCAATCACATCTGGAACTGTCGGATCGTCCAAGTCATCGCCCTTGTCATCTTCTGCTAGGTGCGTGAAGCTGTACTCATTAAGCTCCGGGTTCTGCAGTTGATTGATAAGTGCAACAAGGTCACGATCGCGTGGCATGGTGCCAGCAGAAAACAAGGTTTTATTTCCGTCGAAGTCAGTATACCCATATTGATCGGGATAGACGTCCACAAATGGATCTATGCCCATGGTTGGTTGTGTTGAACTGTCCATATCGGACTGTGTATCCATTGAGTCGTCAACGAAGGCAGCAGGGGCCGCCAATTGCGCAGGAGTACCATCCTCTGGCGACGTTGTTTGCTCCGCATCGGCAAGAGTTGCTGTGCTGTTCTGGTGAGCAAGAGCGGCCTTATGATGTACACTGCGGCGATGATTTGTGACGCTCTTGATCTTCAGTTGCACGTCCTTTGCAAAGTGTTCAGAACATAGACGACAGCGGACTACGGTCTTGTCATTGTCAATGTCCACAAGATCTGTATCCCGGTCGTAGATTGAGTAGTAAGTTCAAGCCTTACTATGTGTTTTCTTCGAACCGAAGGCCTTGCTTACCGGTCCCATAGAAATTATCCGGCCTAGGTCTTCCACGTTGTACCGACTGGCTCATTCTTCAGGCTTCTTCAGCGCAGGGGTGAGTGTGTTTTGTCAGATCTGATCGGCATGTAACACAGCTCAGTTTGTTGCGCAGTTGTGGACCCACAACACGTGATGAAATCCCGTTCTATGTTACCCGCAAATGACATGTCTCAAATCTTGTCTTTTGCTCTCATCCCTTTATTTTTCTCTTTTCTTCAGTGTCTTCACTTCCTCTCATTTGTCTCCTCAAACCAAACCATCCTTCTATGCCCTCAGACGACGATGACAGCAACTCCCTTGCAGGAGATACCCCACCGGGATCACTGGTTTCTCATGCCCAGTCATTGCCTCCGCCCTCGCCCACTCAAAACCGTGGCGAGGAGGAGTCCGGTGTCGGTTCTGGATCACAGCCATCGAGCTCGGGCCCAGCACCTGGTGAGAGCTCATCGGAACCTTCTCTGACGTCTAGTGCAACAACGGTTACAACATCTGGACATAAGCGCCGAGCGCCCGACGACTCGGACTCACATGGCGACTTGACGCAATACGTCGGTGCAGTGGCAAGGCACTTGAAGTTGAAGAAGACAGACCATGATGAGCTTGCCAAGGTTGCTGTGGTAGGTTCTTTGCTCACTTGTTGCGACAGGTGGTTAAGCTAAGTCATTTCATTCCAGCTGTCGGATCGTGAGCTCCTCGTTTACAATACGGTGCTTGTCATGAAGACACGGGATCGTTTGGACATGGTTCAACCCGTGGCGGCTGTGTGGGAGATCCCAAGAGCGCTCCATGTACGTTTCTGATACACTCTAAGTGCGTGGCTCAGTTTGATTCACACATGCATACAGGTCGCGATCGAACATTACACATATGCGGTTCTATGCTCCACCGTCCTTCCGACCTACGTCACTGACGGATATCCAGTCGGGGCTGTTACGGTAAGCAGCATCAGTGTTGACATCTACTGTTGCGGCCTTGTAACGGGCATCACAGACAATTCTATCAGCAAACCAGGGCTGGGGTTACACGTCTGACGTTAGGAACAACAAGCTCAAGCGAGAGATTGTCGAGAAGAGGGTTGGAGGTCGGCTCACTGATCGTCGAGCTGCAATCAAGCTTTTGGTGTGTTGGTTTATACTACGTCTGATATGGAATGTGTCAGCTCATCGCTTGTGTCAGATCCTGTTCTCGATAGGTCCAGACAGGCTCATCGAGCTCAACGCGATCCACTTCACGAAGCCTAAGAACCCCAAAACACAGGCCACGCCGCCGGTCAAACTGAACGTTCTGCAACTCGCAGCCGAGATCTCTGGACTGTACAAGCTCGACCCCGTCCGACTCACACTTGAACTGTGTGCACGTGTCGCATATCTGGTACGTCAAGCAGAGTATTAGCTGGTTGTGATGTCCGCTGAGGTGGCCTTGATTTTTCAGCGTCGTCGACTAGACACATTCCTTCAGACGAAGCCAAACAACACAGACCAGTATTGGAGGATTGTGGATACAAAATTGGCCGAGCTACGCAAGCAAGGTGCACTCAAAGCCTCCAGGTGCGAATATATGATCGCCTGACATTCGGTCGCGGTCAGTGTAATTGCTAATATTCATTTCATAGAATGATTCAACAGGCACTGCGCGAGGACCAGGACAGATTCGGGACCGTGGATACGAACGAGTACGAGGAGGCTATCAGCGGCGACGACAACATCAGTGATCGTGCAGCAGAGGGAAGACCGCTGCTCAGCAGTGCGGCATTCCTCACGAGCTGATAGTATTGGTATGCCGAGCCTCATCATAAGGCGGATAAAGTGTTCGTTGATGCCCATCCTTTTCCTCATTCGCCGCATACAATGACGAGTCTTTTAATTCGCCCATCCTCTAATGTTCCTTTACCGTACATCAAGCATACTTCGATTGTCATTGTACTGCCGTTGCGTACATAATGTTATTAAAATCAGCCTTTTCTGGCATCAAATCGTACCGTTGTCAGCGAGTCGAAAGAGCCGTCGAGCTCAAACTGTGGAAGCTTGTGACTGTGTCTCTCAGATCCCATATTGCGATGACCTCCATGGTCGTCAATACATTTTCCGTCAGCCGTGTAGTTGGTGAATGGCATATTTGCATCAGACGAACCGTCATGTATTCCAGATGACCATACAAGTACTTTGACGTGGCGAGAAGGATGTATCTATATAATGCGAGGGCGCAAGGTATCGAGCACAGGTCCTTGACCCCGAGCTTCAGCTGACTGCGTGACCTGAGCATCAGAGTCGGGTTACAGGGTCTCCCGAAATGGTCGATGCGACCATTAGCATCGTCTCAGCGCCTTGTCCCGCGGCCTGAAACAGTGATCACCGGCAGCTTGCCCGAATTGGCTGAGATTGGCCCGAGCCACAAACGCCGGTGTACTAGTAGTTGACTGGGACTTGGGCAACGCGCGGCGCGGTGTCCACGTACCCGCATCACGTGAGAGTCCTGCCGCATACGGAAACCCCGACAGCGCTTGCGTCCAGCGCACAAGTGCCGACTGCTCTGCCTTCACTCCCTCCTCCACGATCTTGCCCTGCGCCGCTCGCCCGCCACTCGCCCGCGCAACCTCAAGATCGCGAAGTCGGCCGTCTCATGAAGAAATCGACCCATGACGGGCCTTAGGGGTACGTGAGCGTCGAGGCCGCTTCGACACGTCAACACGCGCACAAATCGACAAGCTGGCAGTATTCGACGACGCTGCAAAAGCGTCGTCAGTGCGCACACGAACGGGACGGTTACATAATAGAGGGACAATGACGCGGCTGAGAGGCTACGCGCAAGGTATGCTATATGTCTTATTCGCTCTGTTGCTGCTGGCCTTCCCCACAGCCCGATTCATCACCCTACCCTCCCTCGCACTCCTTCCGAGCCCTGCCCACGTCGCTATTACGCGTGAGTCTTGTTTGTTTCGCGCCACGTCACCGCTGACCCAGCTTGCGACCACCGACCCGCTCGCTTACGTAGTTGTTTATCGAAAGCACCGGCGCCCCAGCACGCCTGATGACAAGACACGGGCGCATTTCGATATGTGCTCGATAGACTCGGTCGCCCAGGTTGCTTATGGGACCTCGAGCTTGCTTTCTCCCGCACGCGCACACTTGCAGCACTCGGCCCCTTCGGCACCGCATGTTGGCCGAGCGGCTCAGGCACAGAAGACGTCGCCCGAGCGCACGCCAGCGGTTACCCCGCATGATGCGGTGATGAGGAATGAGCTCGAGGGCGTGTTGAGGGGTGCCAAGCAGCAGGGGAGGAGGCAGAAGAGTACGGAGAGGAGTAGTTGTGGGAGTGGGAACTCGATGGTGAGTAGTAGGAATCTCAGCACAGAAAGTGACCTGTTCTTCGGCGCGAATGGCGAGGTGAGTACATGGCTCATTGTATGCTGGCTGAAGCGACAAGTCCTGACAATTGTCCGTTATTCAGGTAAGTGTCACTGTCACATTGCTCTCATCGGCGGAGTCAAAGACGAGCAGCTTCTCGTCTCACAGATGCTGCACCTACCTTCTTGCCCGCGTGATTGCACGCACCTCGCACGCTCGCCCGCCGTCACTGTTGCAGGTGTGTGGATCCGTTGTGTTTGATTTGGCTGAGTGCACTGACGCTCTCCCTTCCGTGCGCGTGACAGTTGGCTAGGTCAATGTTTGTGTGAGTGCCTAGCTTTTGTCTGTACTACTCCTGCCTCTCCTTTGTTCTAGTACTGCCTATAGATCTGTGATTAGTATATCTGCGTGTTTGCTTCACATGGGCATACAGTTTTGCTGTCTGAGTTGTTCTGTAGTGCAATACATCTCTTTATGTAATGTCATCATGCTGTGTGACAGTGAGCAGAGCAGATGTGTACCCCTCCTATGTGATCTGATGCATGTATTGTGGACTCATTGCAGAGTGAATGTGTCTCATTAGAGTCTTATTATGAAGGATTGTGTCTTACATAGTGTACATTGTGCCTCATTCATACAGAATTAGCACAGGATTAGACAGGATTATGGACTAATTAGAGCAAATTATTTTTGGGAGCAAGGAAAGTTCACTACTGGCTAATGTCCCTAATTATATCTAATTCTATGAAAGTTTGTCTCATCTGTTGTTATGATATCTCATTAGGGAATTCAGGTTTTCCTGATGGAGCCATTCAAGGAGCTCGACCTGGATCTCCTTCTTGATGGTGAGTACAATCGCAGTGCGCTCAGGCCCATGTACGCGTTTCAGGCGAGGGTCTGCGGTCGTGGCAGTCGTGATGCGGTGCTGTTGTTCCTTGCGCGCACGTTCCAGAAGGATCTTGATCCAATGTTCGGCCAACTTATCCTTCGTCCCTGTATCCGTCTGCCGCTGGGTGACGTCCTTCTTCACTCCGAGGGCCGCGAGCCTTATCTGAGTTAGAATCTCTTCGCGTGTCTCCGTAGAGGTTCGAAGATTGGACGGCTGTATGGAGATCAGTTTGTATGTTGTGACTGGGCGAAGCGGAGCTGCGCCACGTACATTGACTTCAAAGTGAGCATCGTAATTTTGGTCAGTCTCTCGCTCCTTTTCACTCCCTCCCAGCTTGCACCCTCGACACCAAAAGTTCCCATGCAGCCCTATATGTGAGCAGCTCTCGGATTGCTGAGGATTGTCAGCTGGAAAAATTCGAGGTATGATACGGAACAGAACTTCCTCCTGAACTTCCGGATCACAGTCATATGCAGAATGCCATGTGTTTGCACCGCTGCCAGTCGTCATCCGCGTCCAAACCATGAGCGATGAGACAATATGTGCATCACAAGGGCAGAAAGGGCGTACGTTATGGAGTCCACCATCGCATCAAACTGGGCACCAGCAGTCGCGTGCGGCGAGGTCGAGGTGAAGCGTACGAAATACTCTTGTGATAACTTCGTGTGCGGCAAGTTTGCGTGGGCGATATAAATGTTGGTATGTTCGTTATACTGCTTGCTCTTGTTTCCCGATACATCATCGCCCCAGGCCTTGATGTAACTTGTGTACATTCGGCGGCCATTGGCTTGTGCGCGGAGAGGATTAGGCCCGTTGAAGACCCCTTTGGGTAGCGGACCTGGCGTGCGACCGGTGAGTGTGCCCTTTGGCATGGGATCATGCAACAACTGGTTTTGGATAGACTTTCTCACCAGATAATCGCCCGCCAAGTGCACATCCCTCAAGTTCGGGATAATTTACGTGCAGGTCAGACGTCCGGAACTCAACAAGACCACCGAGTTGCACTTCGAAGTGGCTCTCGCTCGTCTGGTGCCCCTTTGGTCAGTGAAATCAAAGTCAGGCCTGAAATGGCCCTGCGATTCTCACTCACCTCCTCAGGCACGTTCACAGCAACCTCATATCCTTCGCCAAAAACCTCGCCTCGCGATTCATAACGATACCATGCCCGAGGGATGACCAACTTCCCATTCCTGAGCATGGCGAGCTCGCCTATGTACCAATGCATGTGTCCTGCAGCCCACATTGGCGTATGTCCTGAGTCGGGGTCGGTGTCATGGACGACTCGTTTCGAGTGATAAGTCTCGCTGACAGTACGAGATCGGATGGGGTAGATCTCAATGTGTGGCCGTGTCTGTGGATTGGCGTAATCCTGATCAAGATGGCCCCGAAGTCACCCAATAATCAGAATACATGTACCCCAAGTGACGAGGGAAAGCATACCAGTGCTATTATGTCAGCGACACGGTTCTGATAGAAGATGTCGCCCTGTGGGGAGCGCTTCGCATCGGTATGTATCCCACATGCACGGTTGAGTTCATCTTGCTTTTTGCGGAACTTGCTGAATGATGGGACGCCGCGAACGCCCAACTCCTTTAGGACCCACAGGATGACCCTGAAGTGATCACTTGACAGTCGAAGCCGCGGGAGATTGTCGAGCATATCAAGCACGAACATCTACATCCACGCCGGCATTATTAGCAGAAGTTGCTCTCTCGCGTTGCGCTCTGCCTTGGTCTCACCGTTTTGGAACCATGCGGATACCAGGGATCATCCAATGGGGCGCGCATTTGTCTGTTGGTGGTATGCTGATCCGCGAGCGAGTCTTCATCTTCACTGATATCATCTTCTTCATCAGACTGACCTGATACAACCGAGTGGTCTAGAGTCAGCCGACGAGTATTCCAAACAAGATTCTGTAGGTCTCACCGCCGAGGCCATCCAACTGCATGTCAACATTGGTTCGTGTCGCATCATCTTCCGCATGAGGAGCGATCTGATCGATCCATGAGTCCATAGAGCCAGTGATATTGAACGTTGCTGTCGCCTGGTCCAGGGAGCGCCACAGACGCTCTTGCTCGGTTTCTTGAGGACCCGCCGAGAAGACAATCGCATTGCCCTCGCCATCGTACATGAGACCGTCGTGGAAATTGACGGAGGTGAGTGGGTCTCCATTACTTAGCGTGGCGTGGTCATTGCTCGCGACCGGCTGGTGGATCCCCAGTGTACGAGGCGCTGCACGTAACGTTGCTGCACTGAGATCGCGCGGTGCAGCTGCCGCCGCCGCTGCAAGCGATGCTTCATCCTCTGCTCGCCGCAAGGCTCCAACGTGTTGTGGTGACTCTTCATGACGCTTCCTCCCATTCCGGGTGAATATGCTATGCTTGCGCTCGCCGAACTGTGAGCACGGTGTACACTCAATGGTTCCATCAGCTAACTCCTTGAGACCTATCCCAGACGATTGAGCAGCACCACAATCATGTAAGTCAGATCATGCTCATTGAGTACCCACAGCGCGAACGTACCTTTTGACAGAGCTTTCTTTTGTCGAGGCATGGCAAGGTAAGTTTGAGGACCTTCTGAGCAGATGCAACAATAATGCAATCATGTCGCGTCCAGGACGGTTGGCCTTGCGATCTGTGCGTCGATCGCGATCTGTGGATTGGTGAGTCATCCATGAAATTCGTGCTTACAGCTCCTCCCTGCACACAGAACCTTTGACTTGACACCGAACATGGTTCGCTCCATGGCCCAGCTTCGGGCTGCCTCGACTCCGCCTCGCACTTTCCAGCCCTCAATCAATCTAGCTTTGTTACATGCAACCTCAGAACACGAAGCCCATGCAAGTCGACAGAATGGTGCTTCGGAGGATGCTGACTTCGATATGAACCTCAACGAGCCATCCGAACTTGACATTGCTACGCCCGTCTCGACCATTGATCCAGCTCTCTCAGGCTCTGTTGGCGACACCCTCCGTGCGCTTCAGGAACGCACTATCTCTGCTCGGAGTGACATGCGTTTCCTGGAGCCCGTGGCCAATATGTTTCGCCTCAAAGGCGAAGCAAAAGCTATCCTTAGACACTTCATTGAGGTTTACTATCACATCTACTCCCCTCATACATTCACTGACGATTGGATTTCATAGGCTCCCAGTGAAGAGCGAGAGATCATATTACTCGGTGCTGTAATGTCGGTCAAACAGGCTGTGGAAAGCAATACCGTCGTAGCAAACGAATTGTGGACGGTTTCTGACCGTCTGGAGGTATGTCGTTCTCCATTCTCATAGGATAACATAAGCCAACCGATCGGTGAAGACAGAGATTGACAAATACGCCATCCGAATTCTGTTATCGCCTGAGATTAAGACGTACGACCAAGGCCCATTGGACCAGCTTGCCGTAAGTATCTTGACCGATCCTCAACCCATTTGCCATGCTCGAACTGACGCCTTGCAGACCATCATCAAGCGTAAGAGATGGGGTCTATCAGCGACCATAGAGCATGACGACGATGGGAAATGGGACAAGGTCCTCGGTGTTGCACGCGGTCGGCTCACACAAAGGAAGTCGGAGATCAAGAAAGCGGTGCGTCATCACCTCCTCACCAGCACAATGAGAAGTTCACCTTGCCATCTTCTATTCCATGTATGACTTGTTTGACGTGCTGTCAGGTCGGAGATTCTTATGACGCCAAAGAAGTCGCTTCCGCAGAGGACGACGTCCCGATGTCGAAAGGCCAGAACATCATTGGGCTCTGCAAAGTGCTACAAAAGATCGGCATTAAGAAGATTCCGTCTGGTACGAACATCAACATGACGCCACAGTTCTGCGCGCGAATCGCGTTTCTGGTGAGTTCTTATGTGTGTTCCGTTGGTGAACTCAATATGACATCGAACATCAGCGTTCAGTCCACTTTGAGCACGGCACGTCAGACTCGTTCTGGAAACAGGTGGATGAAGAACTCATAAGCACTCGCAAGGAAGCTAAATATGACAATCACATCTTTTCATAGTACGTTCCTCCACAGTCATATCTTTGCCCACCAGATCCGTGTTGACGAAACGATGCACTGCAGCCACATGACCCAGGTTCTTGAGCGCGATCGGAAGCTTTTTCCGTGTTTGAACTGGAACACCATCGACAAAAACATGCCATCGACCAGTCAAAGCGAAGTTGATCAGGTGTTGCAGACCGGGAGCTCCACGACATTGACAACTGCAGAGGACATCTCGACATCGACATAGATATGTATAAATCGACCTTTGTAACGTAAACAAATGCCTCCGCCAAGTTACACTCCTCTCTTTGCACGCTTGAGCGTTGTGCGACCCCCATCCGATTCCCCACGTTCTGTGCCCGCAGCCTCATATTTTGCCACCACCTCTTTGAGCTTCAACCGAGCCTCTTCCAGGGCATTTTCGGCCGTCTGCAGCGCACGAGTGAGCCGGTGAACCTCGAAGTTGAGGGCCTCTGCACGTATGCGATGGAATACGCATGAGGCTTTGGCATCCTCAAGTTGAGCCTCGAGTGCGTCCGTGAGGTCATTTTCTATACCTGGCGTGGTATTCAGGATTATCAGAATGACCAAACACTCGGACAGTGACTGTGCTTACCATGATATGAGGCCGGCGAGGACCGCCCTTGGTGCACCTCATCGCTTCCCTCGAAGACAGACTCTCTGTCGTCATCTAACCCGTTTGATACGTCCCGGGCGATCTGATCTATAACAACTCATGTGAGCAGCATCCCTACAAAGCTATGGAACGAGAATTACGCACCCTCGGCATGAACCACATCACTATTTTGCGAGGGCTGCTGCTCCCAGCCATGCATCCACTGCATCTCCGTCGTCTGGGAATCCAATGCTCCGCCTGTCTCGAAGTGACTGGGCCTCACTCAGGACAAGGTCAGCGACACAAGTCATGGCTACTTACCTTGCAATTGAAACCTGTGCCCTGACTGAAGCCTTACGACGATACCCGCGCTGCTCACTGCGACTCGTGGGTTCTGTCTCCGAGTCCACCAGTGTCACCTGAGAATCGTGGTTGCTCGCCTCTGGCTGAGATATCCCATGGGTCATGGGGTCTCTGTCAGAGGAGCTTGGTATGTTCGCCTTCGACGGCTCTTTGGATCGCATGAGAGAATGGGATGTACCACAGAAAAGCTGCCTTCCCCTCCGTCCACCTCAAGGTCACGTGATCCCGACCTCTACGAGGAGATCTCATTTTGACCTGCCACGTCGCTCGACGTCGAACCCATCCTCCCTGTATAATGAGTGCTCACGGACCTTCGTTCCCGAGCTGTTATCGCTCCGCATTATATGCGTCCATGTTGGGGGACAGTCTGGTGTTGCGAGTGACTCCCTGAGCTGTTTGCTCCACGGACTCAGACCTGCCGTGTCACTGTTTGGGGGAGTCATGAGCGAACATAGCAAATGGATCACTGACCATTCATTTATCTGCACAGCATGACGGGCCGATGTCATAGCCTGCGCCGGCCTCAGATTCATTCTCGAGCATCAAGAAATGGTTAAGCCGCAGTCCCGAATCCTGACACATTGAAATTACTTACATCGTGTTGCACAGAAGCGCTGTCTTCAAGTCCTTCGCAATTGGGCAGCGAGCTAACCCATGCAAGCCGCCAAAATCGCTGCGCACATGGCGGGAGAAAGCACCGCGTGTTCATACAGTTCCTATTGTTAGAGTCATCCATGCCGCCTCGCGTACTGTCAAGTCGTGAGTCTCTCATTGTCAACGTCTCATCACATGCTTACCTCAGTCTACGTGTTCTTCACTTTCTCACCATCAGCCGCAGCGGCGCTGGCTCATGCCGACTCGAGTACCAGTACAACATCATTGAACCTCGATATGATGGCGAGCATGGCGAGCAGACTTCGAGGTAGTATGAGAGATGAAGACGAGTCGGATGCGGCAAGCAAGGTGAGTAATCTAGATTTGAAACATCGCGCAGTGCTGATACACGGTCCAGATCACTGATCCATGTGTTCGTGGAAGTTGTACGTCGCCGATTGTGATGTTTTTGGCCGCATCGACGGGCAGTCTCCGATAGAATACATGACATTCCGTTCTCCTCTGCCTGGATGTATACCGATTGTATACTGAATGCATCGTTCTTATTTATTCGTATTAACAATGACGTCTCGACTGCACTGTACCCCGGATGTGGATAGGCAGGACTGGTCTGACTGGCAAGCTGGATGACAAAAAGTGTATATATTCGGAATATATTAGGGGCCACACTGCGTGTGCCCATGCCGATGTCACGGTGGGAGCCAGCAGGGAAGGCATATGGGCCACACAATGGGATAGACATAGGTCGTAGCCATATCCTTCCCGTTCTAGGCCACGCGGTTACCCAGCGATGTACAGCTGGGTCGCCGACCTGGGACACGTGGCTGACCTAGCTGGTGGCCACCCGGGCCCGACGCGGCGGTGTAGGATATTGTGAGGGACAGCCGGGCCGGCAGGACCGTGCAACGCAAGCGGAGGGCAGAGCCAGAAAAGGAGATGTGATTACTCCAAATCGGGAACAATAAGTAGATCGCGTGCCACCTGACGTCGCGTACTCATCAAACTAGGACACTGTAGACGACCTTGTTCTCCACCCACCTGCCCTCCTCCCTCCCCCTTCCCCTCCCTCTCCCTCTCCCTTGGCCCCGCGGACCGTGCCCCTCGACCTCCACTCCAGCTTGTCTAGTGCAGGACATCGGCGAAAACGCGTCAGCGTGTCTTCCGTAGACTCCGCGGGGTCCAAGCACAGACTAGGGCACACCCAACGAACACGGCGCGCGACTCAAACATGGAAACCCACATGAATGGCACATCTGATCCTGCAAACGGCTCCGCCATCACAAACGGCTTCCATGAACCTTCCGTAGAAGAGCTTGAGCAGGAGCTCCCAGTCGTATACGACGGACAGGTACCACTCGGAGAACTTGTATCCAGGGTGGTACAGGCGATATACGCAGAACTATCGGAACTGGCGGAGACGTGAGTACTCATGCGCTGCGTGCATATAGGACTTCCATCGACTTGCGCTCAGTCTACCGAATATGTCGGACGCCGCACGCAAGCGAACCCTCGCTGACTGGGTCGTCAAAACCAAGAAACAAGTCGTGAAGATGTATGCTATTGTGAAATGGTCGCGGGATGCTGGCGTCGTGCAGAAAGCCATGGTACTTATGCGCGGCGATGCCCACCAAGCCTGCTGTGATTCTGATGTGCCCTCTCCAGAATATAACTGCGTTTTTAATGGACCAAAATCGCCAATTCGAGGAGGCGATTCACGGCCTTAAGTATGCTAAAGAGAGCTTGGACCCCGCGCGGTGCGTATGCATGAGCAGGACGCCGTGCCAGAGTGCCTCAACTCTTCCCACCCCAGATTGCGCAACCACGACTTGCTGACCTCGCTCGACGTCCTGACCACTGGGTCGTACCGACGGCTGCCTTCTACTATTCAGGTCAACTTCATGTTCGTTGCGTATCGCCGCTGGCTGCTCATAATCGCGAACACAGAAAGTCGTCGTGCCTCCTACACCTCTATCCGACGAAGAGGTAGCGAAAACCCTCAGTGACGTCGAGGACGTGATCCGCATCCGCCTCAAGATGTTCGAAGTCGTCCCCATTGAGATGTCGAAGTACCGGATCGGTATTGATGCATTGTCTTCATGGCGCATCCGGTCACTAATCACATGTTTTTCCTAGCTGATGGTCGGGTTTACTTCACAGTTCCAAAGCTATTCGAGGTCTCCCTGTGTCTTCGGGGCGCAGAGAAAGATGCCGGATGGTTCTTCGTCAATGTCGAGTTTCTGCTCAATGTCGGCGGCGACCCGACAAGCGTACACGGTACATCCGTGACGTCCTTCACTGCGTGTTGTTGCTGACCATGTGCACAGAGTTCCCGCGAAAACCGATTGGAGGGCTCAAAAGACATATCACTGACGAGGCAGATGCGCGTCTAGCATTCTATCTACCACTGCCTGCAGATCAAGCCCTCCCGCCTGAAATCGAGGTACCACCCCGACCGCAATTGCCTGAGGGTGTTGTGGACGCGCCACTTGTGCGCGTCTTCAACTTCTTGCGTATGTGGCCAGAGCGATCTTCCGGATGGGTGCTGACTTGCCGCAGAGATGATGTCAATGTCGTATATGCTTGAGATCCTCTGCTTCCAGGTAATCAGCTCCTCATCGTTGGCACGTATAGTTGTAGCTGAGCCATTTACAGGCAGACAGGCTACGTGCACTGGGGTGGGCGGAGTACTTGAGGATTCAAATGTCTAAGGACCGCAAAACGCTGACACTGACCTATTGGATGTACGCCTCCATAACCTTCACACATCCATTTTGAGTAACCGACCGTTGTGTAGGCGTCCAGCACCAAAAGAACACCGCGTACGCATACCGCTTCTCGGCGGCAAATTGACAATATCGATCGCGCGTTCGCGCACCACGCCAACGAACAAGGCAAACCGCTCACCAAAGGCTCGAATACTTGCAGAGCTGCAAGAGAAGGCAAAGCTTGGCGCAGGGCGGCCGTCGGACGAGGTCGAGCCACACGAGTTGCAGGTCAAGTGGGAGCCCGAACAGGGCGCGTTCGGTATCTTCATTCCTCCGGAGGAGTACCACATAGACAAGACCGAGCTCACGATAGTACGTTCACGTGCATGTACTTGTTCAGCTCCATTGAAGGGTTCTTCACAGGACTCTGACAACCTCGACGTCGAGGCACTTCTACGGAAGGTCGCTACGATACATGTAGGAGCCATCCTCCGCATCGTCCAACGACATCTGCAACATGACCCCTCAATGCGCTCTATGTTCGGCCCGCCCGGCGAAGTCACATTGGCTATGGACGGTTAGCTCAATACCTTCTCATTTGGGGGCGATACTCAATATAAAATAGATGAGGTTCAGACTCTGCGGGCACATCTCTGCGCGGACGAAGTCGTCGTGATGACGATCGATACACGGACGGGTCGATTGAGTCTCAGAGATACAGGCGATCTTGCTGCCGCAGGCAGAGGACGCCGATTCACTGCGATCACTGATAGGCTGAACGACAATCCAACGGTCCTGTATGAGGCGTTTATGAGGCTCAAGCTCGGTGTGAGTGCAGTTATGTAATCCATCGTCTGCGCATGACCGACAATTTGATCGCTACCAGACCATCCTCGATCTCGCGGAGCAGAAGTCGAATTATCTCGGCCTCCAGAGCTATCGTATGCGCAACTTCTCGCCGATGGGTGAGTAGTTTAGCCATGATCGTGTCGTGTTTTGTGCTCACGGGTTGCGCAGAAATACAGAAGTTTGGTCCAGGTGCGCGAGGAATGCTCTACATCGAGCTGGCCAAGTTCCCAGACCACTTCCTTGTACTGGTCGTAACCGATGACGACTGGCGATACGCTCTGATCTCCGTCGAGGTACTTCAAGAAACACCATGTCATGACCTGGTCATGAAGGATATTGGGTGGCTCGACGTACGGCGGATACATGGCGAGGAGATCGTCGTGTCGCAACGCCCTCCGCATGTCGCGGATCCATCAGTTGGACAAAAACGGAAGCATGATGCGGCGCATGTTGTCGCCCCTGCTCATCCGACAGATCAGTTTGTGCCTCGGTATGGCGATGTGTCGATGGCAGGAAGCTTTCCCCTGACGCTGTCTTCTACACAGATATCGTCTGGATATCCAAGTTCTCAGGGAACTCTACGCCTACTGTTGGTAAGGACAGCTGTCAGACCATGTCTTCACTTCAAGTACTGAGCTGTGCGGACAGTGCCCGCGTCGCGTTTTACAAGATCGAGCAACAGTTCAAGACCCGAAACATCCCCTATACGACAGTCGCCTGCACAAACGTCGCGCAGACGCCAGAGCTCGCGCATCTCCAGTCAAACATCTCGAAATCGGTACCACTGCTCTGTGTCCAGTCCTCGGACATCCTATCAGGCGCGCCTGCTGCCGAGGCGGCCATGCCCAACATCCGCGTCATCCCGCTCAACTGGTGGAACGACGAAAAGCAAGCGCAGGTCGTAACATGTGTGAAGCTGAACTACGTACAACAGCCTGTCGGCAAGCGCGCAGGCAGCAGCAGTGTCATCCGACCGTCCAAGCGGATCATATACGACACAACGGAGGCGATCGTGTCTTTCCTGTCCGAAGACGTCGACAAGTGTGTCGATGAGTTCCTAGAGGAGTGGGCACGCGTATCCAAGATCGTCGTGATCGCTCGTGAAGGTCAGTGACTACGTGATATGGTAGGTTAAGTGGCGTGGCTCACGTTGTATGTATGCAGTTGCGCAAATGGCCACTGAGAAGCAATGGACGGACGTCCGCCTGCTATCCTTCGACTTGCAGACCGTCGAGTTTGCATACGCAGGCGATTACACCGTCTCCATCACCTGTACTGACCAGCTCTCGCCAACTGGCGGCTCGTACGACCTGCTCTTCTCCCGTATTGGGGACAACAAGAGCGAGGACATGGACATGGACGGCCGGTACAACCCACACGAGGATCTCGAGCCTTTTCTGCGCAACGTGCTACGGCACGGTCGTCTTGCACCATCTCTGCAGAGATTGGTCCGGCTGCTGAGAGATTCGTTGTCCGTTGTAGTGGAGCTGGAGGACATCAGGCAGGCGTTGACTCGGGCGTCCGAGAACGTGGACGTATTCGCCAAGGCCGCGGGGTGGTTCCGGGTCCTATATGGTGACTTCAGGTATGGTAAACGTATTGGTATTAGTAGGTTCTGCTGACGACTCGACCTCAGGCACGCCCTCGACTTCAGGATAATGACGGGTGGACGCGTCGTGATGCTCGACTCATCGCATTCCCTCTTCCCGGCGGATGAGCCGTCTTCGCGAGCGAAGCAGCCCGCAAGCGGACGAAGAAGCTCCAGTGCCCTGTCAGCACCACCCATCGCCCCGGCGGACAGCCACCTCCTCCTACAGGCGATCCCAGATTTCCAGCGGATCGTCACGGAGGTAGTCAAGGACGCCGCGTCGAGGGGCTGTACGGGGCACATCGCGCCGATCGACATTGGCATCATCTGCGATTCGATCGCTGTCAGATTCGTTGCGCGAACGTTGCATGAACGTGTTCTGCAACGGCTGAAGCAGGGCTAGCTGACGTATGCAAGTGGCCGTGGTCTTTTCCTTGGTTTATTATGCGTGTACTGGATACCTACGTGAGTGACTTCAAATACGAGCGTGGGTGCACATTCTGACTGACCGTCTTTTCCCTGCAGTGTAGCACTAGTGTAATCTCCGTGGATTGGTCGTCTGCGAATTAAGCAGTCTTGCAGTCATGCACTGCCGCACCTGCACACAATGCGTGAATCCGAAGACCGTCAGATTCTGACTCAACGCCAGCACATTGTTACCAGTGTTGTCCCATCACAACCACCGAGAGGGCCTGTATACGCATCATCAGAACGTTGCGCGTTATCTCGATGCGGAGAAAGACCTTCGATTGAATCTTTGCGTCATAGCCTCGCGGAGGATGGTATGGTCTGGATCTGCATACTGACTCATCTGTTCGACGCGCAGCCGTTTACACGAGGATCGAGACAATTATTCATGGTCCAAGCAGACACGTACTCTGGAATTGCCATTGCATTGCGACGCAGGTGTGGCAGTACCGGGTCTCTTCTGCTTGGAAGGCCGCGCACGGAATTCCGAGGGAGATGGAGTGCATCGACTGGTCACGCAAGGCATTTGCACAGCTTGATCGTTTTGGCCCTTTGTGCAGAGACAGTGGGCTCGCAGGACATGCGGCCGCTACTGCATCGCCACCAGCAGCAACACTGTCGCGTTCCTCTGAGATCTGAGTACTGAGTACTCGCCTTGGCCCTGGATATTGCGGACCGTGCCATCGGACCGAGTACAGGGGACAGATGCAGTGGGTTATAATTCAGCTCCCAATGGTGAGGCTCAAATGATACATTGGAATGCGCGTGCTGGTGGTTGAACGACGTCCATGTCCGAGTCGTGAATTTGACTGCGTCGCCAGTGTAAGGACGCGGCAGCGGGCGGCACGGAGGCAAAAGCCTCGTGGCTCGCGCGTGGGCAGATGGGCGTCTAACCACGGCCCTAGGAGGCGGGCGTCTGTGGATGGCAGGACGTCGCGGTTGTGGCGTCCAAGTAAGGCATGCGGACCCACAATGCAAGACAGAGCCATAACAGCCCATGCATTTCAACCCTCGCCGTCCCTCTCCCGCTCGCTTTCTCCCCCATTCCCCCCGCCCTCCCGACGCCCCGCCCCCGTCGCCCCGCCCGCAGCACATCCACCCTCGTCTCAAGACATCCTCCCCCCGCCGTCCTAGCTCTTTCACCAGCCACTCAAGGCGTACATGGCTGGCCCTTCACGGACAAACGGCAAGCCCAGGCCGGGGCCCATCGGTCCACAACCCCGGCGCCCCCCAAATGCCTGGATACTCTACAGGAGCGACAAGCTGCGCGAGCTCACAGCGCAGCGGGACCCCAGCGCGCCGAAACGCCTCCAGGCCGACATTTCGAAAGAGATAGCAGACTTTTGGAAGACAGAGGACCCCGAAGTGAAGCGCGAGTACGAGCGCATAGCCGACATCAAGAAACAAGAACACATGCAGGCGTATCCCGGATACAAGTTCCAGCCTGTAAAGAAGGAAGACAAGGCGAAACGTAGAGAGGAGGAGAAGGCAGAGAAGGCCAGAGTCAAAGAGGAGCTGAAGAAAGCGAAGGCGCGCCATGTGCCGTACGTCCAGCAAGATCATCTCGCCGCGGGCCCGACCCCGCAGCTACCACAACCACCTTTCACCCATCCCAACTACCCCTACTGTCCCTTGGGACCCTCGCCTCCACTCTCAGCCGCGTCGTCACCGATGTGCACGCCCAGTCCGCTGTCTATCGCGGGTGAGCTCCCTGACGAGGACATGGACGTCAAGATGGCGTTCCCGGGCATGACGACCGTCATGCTGCCCCCAACACAGAAACGGCTATCCAAAGCTGCGGGCAAGAAGCGTGCGTACAACGCACGCATGCCACCACCACCTCTTCCAGAGAGGGTCCAGCCCCAGCCCCCGCCGGCGCCGCTCACGCCAGAGAGTATATCGCCACCTTCGGCATCGGGCCCGCAATCAGTCGAGCTCCCAATGGTAGACGCGTCGTCTGCATCTACGTCCGCGCCCATGGACCCTCCTGGCATCATGGTGTCCTCTGCGGACCCCGTGTACGCGTCGGCGCAAGCGGAGCAGGAGATGGAAGACGTCGCGATGGACATGTCGACCGAGGCTGGCCCCTCGAGCATGGACCTCGACGCGCTCATTCACACCAACCAACTGGAGCTCATGCCCACGGATGACACGGTACGCGTTACTTTCTGCACATTACGCGTAGCCCACGCTGATCGACGCGCACACTGTAGGACACTTTCAATTTCGATATGCAGCTGTCGGACATCGTGGGTGCAGACTGGCTCCAACCTCAAGCCCTAGACGACAGCTTCATGGGCTCGAACGCGAACGCTACTGGTGCACCGGGCGTGTACGAGCTCGCGCCGATCCCGACCGCGGAGTTCAACGTGTTCCCGCCGCCGAGCATGAACATCGAGCTCGGCGTCATGTCCGGGCCCATGCGCACCTCCGCGCCGGAAGAAGTCGCTGTGTTTGCAGAGCTGCTCGATGGCATCGACTGGCAGAATATGCCTGGCGGCGCGCTCTTCGGCTCGATGCAGGGCGACTGGGAGGTAGGAGGGGCTGGAGACGGTATGGACATGGACATGGGAATCGACCCGAGCATGATGCAAGAGCAGCCACGGAGCGTCACTCAGAACGATCTCCTCCAGCAGTTTCTCAACATGACTCAACTGTCCGACGTGGAAGAGTCCCAGAATGGTGGTGGCCCGTCGACCTCGTCCGCACAGCTGCAAATGGAGGTGCCCCCTCCCCCTGCTCAGGTCCCGACTCCATCGACACCCAGGGCAGCGATTTCCTCGTCAAGTACCGGGTACACACCGCCGTCTGGAGCGGCAAACTTCTCAAAACGACGCGTAGCAGGGAGCTGGAAGGCTTCGCCTCGCGCATGAGGCTCACGAACTGTTTCACGAAAGACGAACGACTGGATGAATACTAACGCTATGCCATCGCTTGCTTGGGCTATAATTGTGAGTACCATTTCTTTTCCTACGTTCTTTGCGTGGGTGCTCATCGCTTCTCGCAGATCAACTTACACATTCATCGTCCGCGCGCACCTGCACATCTACACCATTCCCCCGGTTCCAGCTTTGCAATCCCTGTGTACATTTCCTCACGCGGACACTTCCTCATTTCCCGTGCCCCATTCCATTGCGCTTCACTGCTTGTCCTGCTTTGTGTCCCGATTTCTTCTTTTGTCTGGTGTTTGGCTTCCTGTTGTTTGGGTCCCTCTCGGGCGCCAGTTGTTTCCCCAAGCATGTCCGGCGTCGTTTGCTTCTCCGGCGTCATGGCATTGTTCACTTATTGGTATCTGCATCTGACGACGCTCGCATCTCATCTTCCATCGCACTTTAATTCCCCCATCTCCGTTCCATCTCGGTGCTTCCCCTCAGGTTCCGTCTTTCCACCTCTGCCGTCCCTGTCGAAAAGAGCCTGGCTGAGCCCGGCCCTGGCCTCCGCTGCTCTGTACCCTCCGCTTATGCATGCGCCCTTCCTGTCTATCGTGCTGACTTCCGTATAATCGCCGTTATCTGTACCAATAGATCGCATTGCTCTCGCGCTCGTCGCACGCCTGTACATACTATCCCTCCGGAAGTCAATCCAAACCTTGCATCTCCCGTTCCTGGGCTCGTGCATTCGTCCATAGCATCCCCGATCGCCGGTGAGGCGGAAGACCCGTCCGGGGGGCCTTCCACGGGAAGACACGCGTCGGACACGTGACCGCGTCAGGACCGCGTCTCTAGCAAGCGCCCACCATTGTCCGATGAGTTTGGTGGGGAGGCGCTGGGCGCGCGCGTGGGCGGGCCATTGTCCTCGACGGGGCGATGCTCGCGGGGGTCTTCTTGATGTTCGCGTGTGGTCCCCCTCGATGCCTCGTTCCCTCCTCGTGTCCCCCATCTTCCTCACTCGATCGCTGTGCCGTAAGGTTCGTACCTGGTTCTTTGTGCGGTGGTGTGCTCACTGATTCACTGCGAGCGGCACATCGGCCTCGTGGGCTTGTCCTCGCGGGGCAGAAGGAAGATTGGATGGAACGAGATACATTCTAACATGGTGCCACTCTCGAAGTCGGGATGCCACTCAGCCGCAGCGTTCGAGCGGCGGGTGGGCAAGCCTGCGCCGCCGCTGCAACACAGCAGCAGTACGCCACGTTCACTCGAAGGAACAACAATTCGATTCCGGGTGAGTATCATGAGGGTTTAACGTTCCGCCCTGGCACACAGAGCTGAGCATGGGAGTAGCAATGAGAGCGGCTACGTATACGCAAATCATACTACCGTCTTCTCGTAGTGCACAGACCACTCCGTAAGCGAAACGCGAGCAGAACTCGGGCATGAGGCTAGATCTGCAATGACCTGTGGACGTTTCTGCCCGCGCTATCGATCTCGTTGTCTTCAGAACGACGGTCAAAACGCAAAGTCTACCTGCATATGTATGCCTCGCACCGATTGACGCACCCCGCACTCGTGTCTGCTTGCACCAGCCACCGATGTCACGGTGCGCATACACAATTCCTGGTATTGTGTATCACACTGTGTCCGTGGACAATAAGCAGATCGCCATGAGCTTTTCCGCATTATCTCCAGCAGAGGCAGATCGTCATTGTCCGCTGCGACACATACCAGCGTATTGACCAACACTTTTGGGAGGCCCGTCCACGTTTCGCCCACACGGCCGCATCGTGCCAGTCGCGTATATATCGTGTCCCTCAGCCGGGTTGGGCACACCACCTCTCGGCCTGCTAGCGTCCGCTGCGCTCACCGCTCGTTGACTATACGCACGCCAGATGACTTTTGTTGTGCACTCTGGTCCTTGCGCACCTGGTCCGTCGTTGAGTCTTCGGAAGCAAAGGTCTCGGGTGGAAGTATGAGAAAGGGAGGTGGACGATGGAAGACGAAACTGTATGTGTGCAGCTGCCCCAGCGGAGCTGGAGGCGGGTTCGGGGAAGGCGCAGGTGAGTCTAACAGAAGGTGCGTACACTGTGGACTTGTCTGCTGGATGTTCAGCCGTCTACTTGACGTCCTACGACCAGCGTGTAACATCGGGCTAGGTCTGGAGGCGAACGACTGGAGTGCGAGGGACCCGTTTCGATTGCCTAGTCGTCGATCTCGGCGGTCCCCTCGGCATGATATGTTGTGTTTCAGGGTTCAGCGGCGTTCGCATCTGCGTTGTACATGCCCTGTCGATGCGGAACGACAAATTGAGTACCGGAGGTGAGTTCGGCGGTGAATGTACATACTCACTAGAACGAGCCGACTACGAAGTGCATTTCGCGACCCCGTAATGCCTAGCCCGCATGCCCGGGTCCGTCGTGAGTATGCATGGGGCAGTCTCAGTCGTCGTCGCGGAGGTTGTGCGCTTGCCCACCACAACTGCCAAGCGTTTGTCTGTAAGTCTGCGAGTAATCAGTGATGCATATAGTCGAAAGGAGGGTGGTGTCCTGGGGATCCGCGCGTCACGGATTGACGCAGGCTAGGGTGTGCAGGCCGCAAGGCTTCCGAGTCGTCTACCGTATCGAGGACTCGACTTCATGTTCCGACGTAGACCCCAGCCGAGAGGAGCACCCACACGAACGGTCTCGTCCTCGGTCGATAGGATGATGTCGCACCGTCAGTATCTGGGGCACCCTTCTATCTGAATGCCATGTCAGTGCCCAAACGACGATCGTCAGGACGGGAGGATACGAGCGGTGCGCTAGCCATGGAACAGGCAGGTGTTGTACTTACGCGCTGCAGCCTGTGTAAATTGCCAGTGGGTTGAGGCTGACGGAGCTGGCATTGAGCTTGACTGGATCAAATGGCGGCCGCGCGATTGCGGAAGGGCGAGGGGCAGAACAGACAAACACGGTCTGCACCACGTCTGTACTGTATTGCATTGCATTCCTGATATGTTCGCGAGGGGTTGTGTTGGTAATTTGACGTTCATTTCCCGCAGTCGAACGTTCGTGGCAACCCAGGGCTACAAGGGATGGAGGGTGCGCGGAGAACGGATAGATGGAGAGCCCTGGCGCGAGCAGATGCAATGCCTCAAGGGTCTGTTGCGCACATAGACGTACTATACACAGCCTGCGACCGATGGAGAGGCGACGAGTGGGATCCTCGTTTTGGAAGTTGGATTCGTGCCTGTGCAGCGGTACCACTCACGCGGGAGACGTTCTTCATTACAAGACAGCTAGAAGGTGATGGCGATCGCACACTGGCCGGTGCTGCTGCGTGTGTTGAATGGGAGGCAGCTGTCCAATGGCTGGCAAGGGCCAATCAGAACGGCGCCGCAAGGTTGTTGCACAGGGCGGAGATGGGTGCGAGGCAGTAACCATGGCAGACAGAGGCCGACGGCGGGAGCAGCGACGAGCGCAGCGGTGGTGGTGGGCGGAGGAGAGGCGGCGGGTGGGGCTCGGCTGAGAGAGCACGTGAGCGCACGGGGAGGGGGAGGACGAGGACGGCGGCGGCGAGGGCTGGCCATCGATCTGCACGACGAGCATCTGCCATCTGCCGCCGCGCGCGGTGTTGTTTCCTGGACGACTGCTCGCTCGCCTCATAACCGGCGTGGCCAGGCGCAGTCTCCTCCCACGTCGAGCCTCGTCCGCTGGACCGAACATGCAGTCGCCCGACACGGACGTCTTCTCCACGCCGCCGTCGACGCCCGGCGTGCAGGACCTGCAGCCGTCGCTGCGGCGGCGCACGAGCCGGCCCAGCAACCTGCGGATCGAGCACTCTGCGCCCGACTGGGCCCCCAACATCGTGCTCGACCAGCAGGCGTCGCCGGAGCTGAAGCGGGGACGGCGGGGCTCCCACTCGCCTGCCGTGCCCTCGTCCTCCCTGGGAACCGGCCCAGCGCCGTCGCTGACACAGCCGCACGCTGCCGCACCCACCGCGAGTCCCTCCCTCGAGCCTTCCGGGCGCCCGCATCACCCCCATGCCTCCCATCATCTCTCCTCCCCCAGTACCGCCACCTCCCCCTACTTCGTCCACTCCCAGCTCCAGAACGTCTCCATCCAGGACTTCCTCCAGGCCAAGAAGTACAAGGCCATTCATGACGCGCGCATGGACCACGCTCGCAACCACCCCTCCTCCAGCGCCGACTCTGACCCGTACTCCTCGCGCTCCTCCGAGTTTAGCTTCGAGGACGACTACGATGCCGGCAGCCTCACCCGCCAGCTCGCAGAGACCGCCGTCGGCGTCCGCGAGATGAGCAAGCAACTCGGTGAGTCCCGCGTCCTCTGCAGGTTCCCGATGTGGTCCGGTCAGCGATGGAGGCGCGGTGCCGGGTTAGGTCTCCCTCTGCATGCGCGATCCCGAAGATCGCCCCATACGCGGTCGCCGCTATCTGCGTTTCCTCGCTGCGGGGCATGCAAGCGGCAGACTGTCCGCGCAGTATGCTTTGTTGCCTGACTCTACCTCGCGGCTTAGAGAGTCTGCGGGACGGCTCGGCTGTCGGACGCACCACCACCCCGTCGTTCGTCGAAGCCGCTTGTCGCAGAAACTCTAAAAATGGCGTGGGTGCGTTCGTAGCACACCAGAGTTAGATCCGCTTGCCTACACGAGCCATCGAAGCAGACGCGGTCTAGACGCCTCTGCTACTATTCCTGTCCAGTTTCTACTCAGAGTGTACCCGCCGTCGCAGTCACTAACTATCTTCGTGTCCGCAGGCCGCACCCGCGTGCACTCACACATCCACACTGTCCTCATCGTCACCAAAGCGCGCGACAACCGCCTCATCGAGCTCACACGCGAGCTCGCGCTCTACCTCATGCGCAAGCCGACCCACTCCGGCCGCGGCATCGCCGTCTACGTCGATGCACAGCTCAAGACCTCCCGCCGATTCGACACCGCGGGGATCCAGCGCGACCACCCCGAGTTCTTCGTGCCCTTCCCGCGCCGCCGCGAATCAAACTCGAGCAACGCCTCGGGCGCGTCGAACACGTCGCGCGAGGAGATCGGGAATGGCCAGGCGCACCCGGTGAGCGAGGGCCAGCTTCGGTACTGGACAGCAGAGATGTGCAGCCGGAGCCCGCATCTCTTCGACTTTGTCGTCACGGTACGTCTTCCTTCCTTGCCTCCCGCCCGCCGCGCCTGACGCCCCCGCAGCTCGGCGGCGACGGCACCGTGCTCTTCACGTCGTGGCTCTTCCAGCGGATCGTCCCGCCCGTGCTCCCCTTCGCGCTCGGCTCGCTTGGCTTCCTCACCAACTTCGACTTCGCGGACTACGCCGCGGTCATGGACGGCGTCCTCGACAACGGCATCCGCGTCAACCTCCGCATGCGCTTCACGTGCACCGTCTACCGCGCGGTCAAGCCCGAGGACGAGCGCACCCGCCGCCGCGCGGTCAAGAAGGGCGACACCGGCGAGATACTCATGAAGAACCTCGAGAAGGGCGGCTGGGAGGCGCTCGAGAGCGGGTGTCCGTCGGTTCACGATACCGGGGCGACGGGCAAGAAGGATAAGGAGATTATGTGCTTTACGACTAGGCCGGTGGAGAGCTTTGAGGTGCTCAATGATCTGGTCGTCGATCGTGGGCCGAGCCCGTATGTCAGTTTGTTGGAGTTGTTTGGTGAGCATCAGTTTTGGTCGAGGTGTTGGGGAGCTACTGACTTGTGCAGGCGACGAGCACCACTTGACAACTGTACAAGCGGATGGGTTGACAATATCGACCCCCACTGGGTCAACAGCGTATTCAGTACGTACTTCAGTATGTCGACTGGGATCGCTCGGTATTGACGCTCCGTGAAAGTTATCCGCCGGCGGATCACTCGTACACCCCGAAATCCCCTCCATCCTCATCACGCCAATTTGCCCACATACACTGTCCTTCCGGCCCATGCTCCTCCCGGATAGCATGGAGCTCCGGATATGCGTGCCGTTCAATTCGCGCAGCACAGCCTGGGCATCGTTCGACGGCAGAGGTCGCGTCGAATTGAAGCGTACGTCCTTCAGTCCACTCCACACTACCGTGCTCACGATGCATCGCAGAGGGCGACCACATCAAGGTCACGGCGTCCAAGTACCCATTCCCGACGGTCTGCGCAGACACGCAGTCGACGGATTGGTTCAACTCGATTTCGCGCACGCTCAAGTGGAACGAGCGTGAGCGCCAGAAGTCATTCGTCGTCGTCGAGGAGGGCCCCGCGCGCAAGAAAGACAAGAAGCGCCGCCTCTCGGAGGCGTCGTCAGAGAACGGCCAGCCTGTCAACGGCGATCACCCAGAAGGGGAGGTCGACGAGGCAGAGGACAACAAGGACGAGGAAGATGAGGACGAAGACGAGGAGGATGAAGACGAGGAAGACGAGAAGTTCGATATCGATGACCTCTCGTCGACCGAGTCGTCCCCGCCCCATGTCGTCACCAAGCTCGAGGAGAACCTCCTCCAGCCTGAGGAAGCGAAGATCGGCAAGGAGAAGGTCGTCGAACAGGCCAACGGCGGCGACAGGGAGAAAGGCAACGTGCAGGCGCAGGCAGAGGACGTCGCACGCCTGCTCACCGCGCACAACCCCTTCCTCCAGATTCCGCACACACGCTCTGGCGTACAGTCCGGGATCGAGACTCCTGACCGCTTCACGGGCCCCCATCCCCATCCTCCACGCGTGTCACCCCGCCACGTACAGTTCGCGCAGTCGAATGAGTCGTCGAGTGGCTCGCTTGCGTCACTCGACCCGCGCAATGGTGCCGCAGCAGTGACACCGGCGCCGCCCTTCCGGCGCGAATTGAGGGAAGAGGGCGGTCGGAGCCAGACGAGGCGGACCGGCACGTCGCGTAGTCGGACACCGAGGACACGGGATCCTGAGCTCGAGGCGCAGAAGACCCCGCGAGGCCTTGACGAGGTAAGGATGAGGAGGGCGATGTCGCGCAGTCGGTCGAGGGACGCGCCGCGCGAGCCGCGGGAGGCGCATGTCCGGAGAGCGTTTGCGGTGTGGGGCCAAGACGAGAGCGATAGTGCCGCGAGCGACAGCGATGCATAGTACGTGGAGAGCGAAGTGTACGTTTTGACAGCTTGGGCGCACCGGTAGGTTCATGGACTGGAAACTCACGACGTAGATTGACACGATTATTATCCCATCACACATTGGCTTATACATATGCAACTAGATCAGGATGCTGGAATGACGACGCGGTAGCTTTGCGTTGACATGTACTTTACAAAAGGAATGCTCGGTAACATGAAGCTGAACATCTTGGTGGTATATCGCGTATCGCACTCAATGTAGCTCACCATGGCTGGCGGGTGGACGCGCGGACGGTTGCACGTTGGTCAGTAGCTTGGGCAGGTAGACAAGACGCAGCGCATTCATCCTTCGTAAGTTCCGCACCAGTGACGCTTCTTATACTCTCTGCTGATTGAAGTTCGAGATTGAAACGGATCTATTCTTCGTTGGCAGTCGCGAAGTACTGAACAGGAAGACCGTCATCTATTCGAAACCACGTCGCAATGCTTGAAGCCAGACTCGATGCCTCGCCGGTCGGATCTACTTACTCGCACAGGACTCACTCGCAGCGCGCCAGCTGCTCATTAATTGAACTCTAAGTGAGTTCCGACTCGAGAGCACGCAGTGTCGAGGCGCATCTGCAGATAACGGGATGCTCGTGTGAGCGGCGTGGCCTGAGCCTAGGGCGACTCAAATACAGCTCGCAAGGCTCCCCTGGAACGCGGCTCTCAACGGCCTCGTACATCGATTCTCCGGGCTGAGACATCTCAGTACCCACTACGATGAGTACTGTTCCGTTCATCTCCCAGCTCACATCGCTGTGGCAGGCTGCCACAGGCGACACAGACTACAAGAAAATTCAACAGCGCTTCCTCGACATGCACCAGTCCGACAGCCGCATCTCTGAGATCGGACGTATGAAGGGAATCCCTGTTACTGGCCACGTTAAAGGCGAGTCTGCAAATGGGTTACGTGCCCAAGTCTGACGAATTGGGCCCCAGGCATCACACATCTCGCTCTAGGCGACACAGATTCGTGTGTTCGCTCTGAGCAGGCTACAACCCGTACCTTACTAGTATTGGGTTCTGGCGCACTCACCATGCCCGGCAACTCTACAGCAGTCCCCATTCTCGGTGGTGTTACAGGTATCAACGCCGACGAGGCGTTCACAGGTATGAAGACACTAGTATGATGTGACTTCATTTTATTGAGAACCACGACTGTGGCTGTAGGTGCTGAACCAGAATGCACCCAGAAGTACAACCCTCAAGGTTACTTCAATATGATCAACGAATTTACGTCTGACTGGCGCGGAGGAGTATTTGACGTCGTTGCTATTGCCGTCGGCGATACCGTGTTCGGTACCAATGGCTCTGTAGCAAAAGCAACGCACAAGACAATGAAGGTATGAGTTGCGAGAATGACGTTCCCTCGGATTGACCGTCCAATATTGCTAGATATTCCGTATTGAAGGCGAAAGTATTTTCCTTACCGAGCAAGGTATGGATCGGCACGGCGCCAACAATCGGATCTTTCCTGGGCTCGGAGGCAGCGTCATCGAGTGCCCCAATGTCCTGCAGTTACTCGCGCCGCCGCAGAAAGAGGATGATCGTGTCGAATACAGGCGGCCTGCCGTATGTTACCTAAGCGTCGGCCATTCATCTTCCGAAGACCCCCCTCATACCCACAAACTGCTCAATTACGACGAGGCCGCCGAAGAGCTGAGGAACATCGACACTCCGCAGTCCGGTGAGTTGCTCCTTAGGCTTCTTTTGGTTATTCACGCTTTCCCGTCAGCCTCCGAGTCGTATCCGGCGGCAGTGAAGTTCAAAATCAAGTCTTTGCGCGTCCTCACGAACGATAGCAGAAGTATGTTTCGGCGCGTTCCGCGCATTCGCAATCGCAAGCACAGTACTAGTGTGTGGCGTCTCGACATCACTTGGCCATCAGCCTCGTTCCAATGCCACGAACGAGTGTACACGCCCTTGGTTCAGAAGACGATACCTGATGCCTACGACGAGATGCGCCCTGCCTGGTTGGCGCACATGCCGACGCGCCTCGCAGCGCTCATGAGGGATAATCAGGTCAGTGGTCCGAAAACATCTTTGTATCGGTATCACCGACCTGATCGACACCGCAACTTGGCGTTTGACCTCCTAGATAACCTTCGGGCACGTCAGGAGCTTTGTCATTCCCACCTCCAGATCGAGCAAGAGATTCTTGAGACCCAACCTCGCGCAAAACATCACCGACCAGGAGCTCAGGCGGCTCGAACATGGGCCCGTCTCGCTATCGGCTTTGAGCACAGAGGGTATCAATAGCATCAACGTCGTGCAAGAGCCTGTCCAACGCCTGCTCCAATCCCGCGAAGTCAAATGTGGCCGCAAGGTCCTCGGCGATGTCGACCACGGGCGACACATGGAGTACCTCGCTGAGTTCAGCAACGGCTCGACGTTCTGGACTCCATCGTGCAATGTCGCACAGGATCTCAAGGAGGAGTTTTGGAATATCATGACGATGGGAGCTGAAGAAGTCGCGGAGATTGCCGGTCTGGATCTTCCGAATCGCAAAGTGACCGTCAAAAGACCAGACGGGAGTACAGAGATTGTGGGACAGACTCAGGTCTTCTGGCAAGAGGAACCGGTGCCGACGAGGCTGACTGATATGGAGCTCGAGGGACTGCTTTACCATGAGCATTTTGGTCTCAATTTTGACGGTCTCATGCCATGCACGTATACCGTCAACACCGACTGGGGGAGAGTAGAGATTCTGCACAGTGGTGCTGCATTCATCAAGGATCCGGCCGCCGACAAGGATGGCGAGTATGCTGATATACAGTGGGGTGAACGCTCCATCTTCATCGGTCGAACGTGGAGTATGAAGTTCAGGTCGCGAAGCATTCCGTGCGTAGTGTCCTGCTGCGTGGCGCAGATGCATTGACCGCCTTTTGTGCATCTACCAGGCTATTTATTTCCCACAATGGTGCTGCCTACGACATTCAGGGCACGCACGGTAGTGATGCGAAATTCGACCTGGACAAAAAGGGCAACGCAATCCTCAGCTTCCCTGGCGTGCGTATCACTACTCCATTGCTTTCAAGTGTATATCTCGCCCTCACTATCAAAGCAGGAACACTTCGAAAGTCACGTCGACCCTGCTAAGGATATCTACAATACAAGTATATTCCACATCCGTGAGACAGACACCAATGTAATGTCACAAATACCCTTCCTGAGCACCGTTCTCTCTACAGGACCAATCATCGTCACGCCAGGTCTGCTGTGTATTGAGACTAATTGGGCCGCCATCGACATCACCAGCAAAGACGCGCGAGTTGTTCCCGACCCAACGGTCGACCAGAGCATCTACACGAACGTGACATTCACAGACACATCAGTCGGCCTTGTTGCTGACGTCTTTGGCCAAAAATTCGTCATCCCGTACGTGAGCAATGTCCTTCAGTGCATCATAAGCGTCGTTGCGGTGCGCATCTGAACACGACACCGTACTAGCTTCCTCTTTGTGACACGCGACGAGTCCATTGATATCACAATTACGCACGGCCGAGACCACAGCCACCATGAGGACAAACTCGGATGTGCAAGTGCCCTGTTTGCGCAGGTACGCCAGCGCAGATCCTTCTCTCCATGGCTCCCTGTGCTTACGCCCCAGCAGAAGACGTACGGAAGCTGGTCCAGGGAGAGCCCAAAATCGTTCACGGGCTGCAGGGTCAACAGTGCGTCTCTCCGTTGTGCTCTGACCAAGCAGTATGGTCTAATGGCGGCTGGCAGAGCGACCACCAGCTGCGCGTTTAGAAGTAGCGTAATTGCGTGCGGTACCTTGCATTGTCCGACACACTACATGCCACGTATGTACAGACAAGGTTACGAGAACTAGGAGTTGTTCATCGACATCGCGCGATCAGTCTGGCAGACCGCCGGCGGAGCGGACATGGGATAAGCCCATCGTCATATTGCTATAGGTATCCCTTGCTCGAAGAGCAAGGCTCTCCCAGGTCGAAAATGTTGGCCCCCTTTGTACGCTTGTTGTAGCATGTTTGTTTCGCGACATGTGGTGTGGACATGTGTGCGCATGACGCACCTTGGTTGTCCGCTAGTCCCAATCCGCACGACGCGGCTCAGCCACATTGACGGGTCTGCGCGCAGCGCGGCGGGTCTCGCTGTAACGGTGCCACGTCGTATGTTTCGTTAGAAGGTGCAGCGACGCATCGAAGGTTTCGCTACGGCACCGTACGTAGGCGCGTCGTAGGCTGTGCGGGAGGGAGGGGCACCACATCGACAGGCGGTGCCGCGCTCACGGTGCCTCCCAAATTGAACTCGCTTGACCGGCCCTCGCGCGCGAGGCAGCGCCGTCTGCGGCCCTTGTGTCTCTCTTTGGCAGCGCAACAGCGGCGACACCAGTCTCGCATCAGCTGTGCAACATTGAGTTTCCATTTGTTAGTAGTGTCGCTACCCATTAGTAGTCTTGTACATGTGGGAAGAGATCGTGGTCAATTGAGCCGTAATAGTAGTATGTGTACATTACAAGACGAGTGGGGGAGAGTGTGCTCACAGAAATACAAAGGTCTCATTGCACACCATCGGGGGATCATGAACGCGCACCCGCACATGCACAACACGAGCAAGGTTAGCACGTCAGCACTGGCGGCACTTCGAGTAGTACCATAGTCGTCGAAAGGACCGACGTGGTCGTGAGATTGGCTGTACAGTGCCTAGAGTCGTTCATCAGTGTGTTCGTAGTGGTGCAGAACGGGGTTACAGACCGTGCGCTGACGTTCGCTCTGGCGCAGAGACACAAAGCCTCGCTCAGGGGCACGTATGACGCTGGCCGACGTCATGAGCACTTGCATTTCAGGCAGTACAGTGACATACATACGCGCCGCACCTTCGACCTGGCGTCGCTGCTCTCTTGGCTGGCCTTGACGGACTCGATGCGCGCGGGGCGAGCAGCGGCATACGCGACGTTAGAGGGCTGGCCAAGGGCTGGGAAGCTTGAGGATGATCCTTGTTGACGGCCGAGGGCTTGGGCCAGGGGAATGGCAGTCCATGGCGAATCAGCGAGGCTGCGATAGGCCGAGGCACCACAGGCGACTATGAATGACAGATGGACGGACTGTCGTGTGAGGGCCGCCATCCAGAGCGGCCAACGAGGACGTACGAGCATCCCGCCTTCCCAGCACGACACGCTACCGCACGGCTGCATTCCCTCCTGAATGCGAGCGAGTAGCCGAGGACTGAGTTCCCGTTCGACAGGATCTGGGATTGCGTTGCCGCGGTGAGGCGTAGATGCTTCGTCGACAGCGAGGATAAGACCGAATTGGCAGATGGAGGAAAGACACACGATGGGGCGCCGATAGACCGGCTGAAGACTGAGAAGAGGGCAAGAGCGACCGCGAGGCGACGACGCGTGCAATCAAGCGCGGCTCTCGGCATGCACGACCGTCGCCGGCGACGAGTGCAGGCCGTCCCATCCGTCCACCGAGGCTGCAGCGGCGAGAGGCGTGGGCGTGGGCCAGCAGCGGAGACGCAGTAGTGGGCAGCGGAGGCGGCCGAGGGAGGCAGGGCCAGGGGAGGGTTCGAGATCTGGGGATCGTGCTTCTCGCCCAAAGGGGTATCGCTCGAGATCCAGATCGGGGAGTCGTTCGCCCAGCGCCTGCGCGCCAAGCAGCCGCGACAGCGATGGTCTCCCGCGCGCGACAGGCGGGGCTCTTTCCAACGACCACCCTCCCCGCCGTCGTCGCCGCCCCCGCCGCCGCTGCCCACGATGCGCGCGTCCGCCCCGCTCCCTCTCCTCACCGCAGTCCTCGCCGCCGCCACCCTCCTTTCCCCCGCCTCCGCCCAGAACCTCTCCGACACTCAGCTCGACGCGCTCAAGGACAACCTCTGGCTCGCAGCCCAACAGACGTGCGTCCCGCCTCCTCTGCCTCCACGCGCACACTGACCTCCCCGTAGCTGGGAACTCGGCACAGAGTCCCAGGCCCTCCTCGAGTCCGACGCGTCCCCCTACGCCGTCTTCTTCAACTCGTCCCTCCCCCCGCCCCCAGGCAACCAGTCCCTCAGCGACCCCTACAGCTACGCCGCCCTCGCCCCCGTCCTCCAGATCGCGTACAATGCCGCCGCCAGCCGCTCCAACTCCACCGGTCCCCAGCCCGTCATGTACGCCCAGGGCGGCGCTGCCGGCGACCCCGCCTCCCTCGGCGTCGCCATCCTCCTTGCCAACTGGACAGGCGCCCCTAACCCTCCGCTCGACGTACCCCTCAACGCGACTGACCCGCGCGGCGTCAACTTTGGACAGGGCGTCACGTATGCCCGCGCCGCGGCCGAGCAGCTCGAGTATCTCCTCACCGTCGTGCCCCGCACGGACGACGGCGCGATCAGCCACCGCATCGAGCAGGTCCAGCTCTGGTGAGTACCTATCGTCACTTTATGCCCCTTCCCCGACGCGCCTCGGCGACCTTGGCTAATCCGGACGCGTCTAGGGCCGACTTCACCTACATGGTGCCTCCCTTCCTCGCCTACTACGCCGTCATGACCAGCAACCAGTCCCTCCTCCAGGAGGCTTATACCCAGGTGAGTCCCTCGGCTGGGCGCACGCGTCGGGGAGTGGGACGACGTGAGGCATGCTTGGCCCTGTCGGGAGGCGCAGGGCAAGCGTGCGCGTACATAACGCGTCTGTCTCTCACCCGAAGCGCGCCCCGCCGTCAATCCCGTCACGCACATCTACTCACACGAGCGCTTCCAGATTAAACTATACCGCTCATACCTGCTTGACAATGATGAGGGCCTGTGGAGACATATCCTCATGGGCAACACCAACGTCGATACTGGATTTTGGTCAACGGGTGAGTCGTTGTTTGTTGCGCTGTATGTGCGTTCAGGCCGCGCTGCCCCTCCGTGACGTCGGTTTGATCCCACTGGAGCAGCGCGGCAGGCGAGACACTCTAGAAACTCACTTCCTCCATTCCTCCTTACCTCGTTTTCCACTTTCATCACGTATGCTCATAACTTGTTCCACCTACAGGCAACGCATGGGCCGCCGCAGGCATGACCCGTGTCCTCGCCACCATCCAGCGCTCGCCATGGGCAAGCAGCATGGGCTCTGAGATGAGCGACCTCACGACCTGGATCACAGACATCCACAGCGGCATGTACCAGTACCTCGTAAGTCCCCGATCCCATCATCCAGCTCCCTCCTCACGCCGCCCCAGGACTCGGACACCGCCCTCTTCCACAACTACGCCAACGAGACAGACTCCACCAACACCGGCCGCTCCTTCCTCGACGCCTCCTCCACCTCCCTCCTCGCCAGCACCGTCTACCGCCTCGCCCTCCTCCAGGGCATCCACACCCACGTCCCCGACGCCGAAAAGTCCCGCAAGGCCCTCTCCGCCTCCGCCTCCTCCAACGGCGTCCCCTCCTTCTCCAGCTGGGGCACCGGCGACGGCGTCGGGCCCGCCACGTCTTTCACCGCGACACACCCGTCCTCCGTCTCTGCATCATCACTCTCTTCCTCCACCGCCACCTCGAGCTACAGCCTGCCTACGCCGAGCGCCGCCGTCGGCGCGGACCTCTCCCATTTCTCCCCCCAGATGTGGCTCACCCCCGTCGTCGACCCGTACAACTGGGCTGCCCAGGGCGGGAGCTCCCCCGAGGGCCAGGCCTTCGTCGTCGAGATGTACGCTGCCTACCGCGATTGGGTCGAGGTCGGCGCGCCGGGCATCAACGCTGCGGTGCGCCTTGGGCCCGGCGCCCCTGTGTGGAGCGTCGCTGTCGCGGGTATCATGGCGGTGGCGATGCTCGTTTGCTGAGTGAGGGAATCTTGCCTTTCTGCTTCCCATGTGTCATTTCTTGGTACTACTTACACTGTCGATAGTTGAAAGTTAGACTACATCCCGTTGATGTAAGAGTATGTGTTTTCTGATTCCTTGCCAATGCCGGATTTAGTTCTCTCCTGCAACATCTCAATCGCCCCCTCTGCTGCCAGCGGTGCATCACGAGCGAGGGAGATTTGCGGTGTCGCCGTGTGCGAAACGCATACACACTGTTAGTTCAATGTGTGAGACGACGGGAGCCTCTACATGTATTCAACCATCGTAAGGTCATACGACGGATTGCTTTACAAACTCGATCAAAGCTCTGGTTACGGACATCGTGAGCATCCCACAACACCAAAAGCCAACAATGTCCCTACCTCGTAGGCCGCCCAGTAAGGCCCTTTCCTTGGTACTCGTTCCCGCGAGAGGTCTGTTGCGGATTAGCACCAAGTCGTAATCACGTATATGCGACTGACCTCCATGGTGCCCGCGATATCCAAGTGTGCCCACCGCACGTCTGGCTCGCCGCTGTTTGGTTCTGATGGATCGACACCCTCGACGAACGACTTCAGGAACAGCGCGGCAGTGCAGCTACCTGCAGAGCGTCCGCCGATCTGCGAGCCGCAAAGTAAGCCAGGTGACGTCAGCAGGCTGCTGTCAGGACGCGAAGGTACCAACGTACGTTACAAAGGTCGGCGTTCGAGCTGGTGATCTGAGGCGCGTATGCATCCGAGAGGGGCATACGCCAGAACAGGTCATGTTCCATCTTCCCGGCTTTGTCGAGGTCTTGCCACAATGTGTCAGAGTTCTACAGCCGAGCGCATGTGATGAGCCGATATAGACTCCCAGCGATAGGTAACGCATACGCACCGTGAAGACACCTGTGTAGACTTCGCCGAGTGCGACCATCATCGCCCTTTCGACACGCTCAGCTCCAGACGCGCACTGTGTAAGCACGCTGACTCACCCAGTGAGCGTTGCGACGTCCACGACGGAGTGAGGCCTGTAGGCCGTCGTACCGTAGTACAAGGCATCTGGCATTCTGGTTAGCCTCAGCGAGAGGTGTACCTGAAATACGGCGCGCACCAGCCAGGATGAGCCTGCCTTCCGCGTCCGTGTTATCGATCTGCACGGACTTGCCGTTCATCGCGTACACACTTTGCCTGTTAGTATCGGGATTCAGTGCCCGCTCAGTTGAAGAACTCACATATCGCCAGGCTTGTTAGCGGAGGGGCCTGGCATGTTCTCCGTGAGAGGGCAGAGAACGACGAGGTTGACTCTGGCACTATAGGTGAGCTACTGACACGTAGTTAGATATACGACGCAGACATACGGAAGCTTCAATTGAGCAACAGCCAGTGCAGCCGAGCAAACTGCAGCAGCTCCGCCTGTAACACGATCATGTCAGTCTGATGCATAGGTAACGGCCACAATACACTCACCCATATCACCACGCATAAGCTCCATGCCCTGTGAACAGAAGCACATGTTGATATACCTCCCGAGCCCACTTAGTGAATAGCACGTACGGCAGCCGGCTTGATCGAAATCCCTCCCGTGTCGAAGGTTACGCCTTTGCCAACAAACATGAGCGGTTGCGCATCACTCTCAGCTCCCTTGTAATGGCTGCAGTACCGAGTCAGCCCTCGTAGCCGTGCGATCAAAGATAGGATGAGAGCACTCACATCTCAAGGAACCTGCAAGGCTCAGAGGAACCTTTCGCAACCGACAGAAACGTTCGCTGGGACCAGAAAGTGCAGTATAGACGGACGACACGAGGTAACAACTGAGGCTTCTGTTCCCTCTATATCAATGGCTGCACTCACCATGCCCTTCTCGGAAGCCCACTCTATCGAATTCAAACTATATCAGAGCCATATTTCCAGGGGAGGGTGAATCGCTGCGGTGAATGAACCGAGTCAAGCAGCTCGAACACCGCGTCGCGTTAGACTGACCTTGGTCGCGTACATGTATCTCAACGTTCGGAAGCCCCGTAAATTCGGCTCGAACACGTTCTGTGAAGGCCTGACGATATCTTGTCGATATAACACTGCAAGAAACGTCACAAAAACAACAATCGGGTACTCACTGTAGGCGTCATCATGTTCCCTGGTAGCTCAGCCAGCTAGCCGCGTTATGAGCCAGGTTCAGCTCGCACCGAGCACTCGAGACAGTTCACTTACCGTCCGAGCAAGATTTTGTGCACGCGCATATATGACGCCCTCATCCCATGCCTTTGCATCTCCTTCTGCGAGCGATCGAAGGTCTAGCTTCTCCGGCAGCGGGTCAGTGTTCCGAGGGTCGAACCGTGATGGAGGCTTGGTCTTGAGGGTGAAGTCATACAGCGCCAGATGTGCCGCAACGGCTACGTTCGGGATGGTGTATGAGCAAACAGGGTGGATGCTAGACGAGAAAAACGCACCTGCGGCATGCGGGTCTGCGCTCGCATCCACGAGCACCTTCTCGCCATCTACGCCGTCGCCGAAAGCCTTGACGGCCTTCACTGCACTCCCGACTGCCCGTCTGACGACCTCCCTCCGCTCCTCACCGGTTTTCGTTGCCCACTTGTCCCCGAGGCTCGTCAGCGTTGTGACGTCTTTGCCTTGTGTACCACGCGGGGTGTCATAGAAAATACGGGTGGTTCCTGCCTTGGCTGACTTCTTGTCTTTGGATGCAGGCACAGACTTCCAGAGTGCCGAAGCATCGACATCAGCGACGTCGGACGATGGTGACTGCGGATCGACCGGAAGGACGTAGACGGCTGAGCGAGAATGAGTGGTGGAGAATGCGCGCCGGGGTAGGGAAGAGGAGCGTGCGAGGAAGCGGGTACCACGGCGGGCTAGCATGATAGCTCAGAGTAGGAGGTGTGTGTGAGAGTAGCGCGACAATTCTGCCTGGGGGTAGCGGCTCGGTGGCAGGACGGAGTCGTGTGAGACGCGTCGACGCGAACACTCGGATTACGGGGTGCCCTCGTGACCGTGCGTTTGCAGCGTATGTCAGATGTCTCGACATCGAACAGGTCTCTGCAAGATCTCTGTCCAGTGTTCAGACGACACCGTACAACAAGCGGGAAAAACTACATTCGTTAGAATGAACTACAATAACGATAAGTACAGAATACGAGCAAGTCCTACAATATATCGATCCCGATTCCCATCCAGTACTATGCTCAACTGCAATGAGAAACAAATAGTGAGTGTGCCGTGCCGACCTCAACAACTATCGTACAATCCAACAGGTGTGATTCATTCCGTCAGCTATCATGCCCCACCTTCTCCGTCGAAGGGTTCCCCATGAAGGCTCTAGCTTCTGCAGGGATACCAATGCCGTGGATGTGGTATTGCTCGCCGACGAGCTCCTTCGCGGCCACCATCAGCTTGTCAAGTCGGAGAATGATACCAAACGCAGTGGTCACTCCGACTGCGAAAGATCTGTGCACTTCAAGTCAACGACCTGCCAGAAAACACGGTGCCGGAACAGCTTACAAGTACTGCTCATTTTCCAAAGTGTCGATGGTCATCGTCCGTGGCAAGCCATAGTCGTCGTCTTCCTCTTGCCGAATGACGTTCAGACCGTGCGTGTAGACCATGAAGCGATCAATGAGCGGGCACGGAGTGACTTGAGGAAGAGGCGTTCCTGTCCGTAGTGCCGTGGAGATCATACCTGTCATGCGGTCAGTCACCGTGGTTTACGAGGGGTGTACAGACCACGTACTGATCACCGCAAGCACGTCACCCTGAAAGTCGGCATCGAGCAGACGAGTTCGTCGGAGGAACGCTCGGGACCAAGCCGGGTCGAGATGTTCGACGACAGACATGAGGTGCGAGAGCAAGAACGCGATTTGCCTGTATGCCGTTCAGCCGATGTTCGAACATCAGACAGCAAAGAAACGGGCTTACATCTGTAGCTCTAGGATACGCTGGTACCGATCTGCTGGCCATTTGCCTCGAAGGGAGAACTACAAAGATGCCCAGAGAGTGAGACATCAAGCGTCCCATAGAACATGTCGAAAGCGTACCTCGTAGATGATGTTCGTCTTCAACATCACCGACCGCCTCAGCTTCATCCTGATCGCAATCAGCGCCTGCACAATCTCCCCGCGATTGACCCCATGCCGTCCCCTCGTATTCGCAAAGCTGACGATAGAACAATAAACGCTCCCAAGCTCCGCCGTGGTCGTGCTGAGCATCGTGCGCTGGTATTTGCGCAGCGTGGTGCTCGGCGGGAGCAGGCTGAAGATGAACGCGGCCGTGACACCCGCGGTGACGAGCACGAACCGGCGCCACGCGAGCGCCCAGCCGTAGAAGTGGAAGATCGCCGCAAAGTGCGAGTTCTGCCACGAGAACCCGAGCACGAGCGACGCGGTCACGAAGAAGATGATGTTCGACATCGGCGGGCCCGGCCAGTACAGCCGGCCGTAGTAGAAGAACGGCGCGCAGAACGCGACCGCGGCGGTGTACCCGTACGCATTCCCGATGCCCTTCTGTGCCGCGATGTACCAGATGACCATGCCCGTGACACCACCGAATAGCGTGCATAGCAGACGAGCGACCAGCGCGAACGTTGTGTCGCCCCTGAAGCGCGCAAGAGTGAGCTGGCCCATGAAGATACCCCATACGAACCGCTCCTCGTATGCGAAGTGCGCGGTGTGTTTGAGGAAGTTGGGGATACAGAGGAGCACGGTGAGCGCGCCTGCCTTCAGAGCGAAGAGCATGTTACCGCCCGTGAGACCCATGAGGATGGTATGGAACCATGACATGACGTGCTCAAAGAGCGTGCTCGGCGGCAGCGCATCAGGGTCTCGCCGGGACGGTTGGCCCAAGTCTTCGTCCCAGTCGGTCTGCATACCAGGGATAGCATCTACGAAACATGCACGTTAGCCTCGAGTTCTGATTATGACGCCTCCGGTTGGCGCACCAGGGTCCTCGTCATCATTGCCTTCCATCTCCGTGGTTGTGTCGTACTGCGTCCCGCCCCAGTTCAAGAAGACTTTCTTGAGGTTGGCGGGCATAAATGGACCCCACAGACGCGGCTTCTTCTTGTTCTCCTCGAGCGACATGATCGCGTCGATCTAGAGCAGTTCCAAGTGAGCGCTGTGTATAATCTCGGGCTACTAGCACGACGTACCATTTCGATGACCACCGAGGCAAACTGGATGAGGTGATACTGGTACACGTAACAATGGAAGAGATACCGATGTGGAGGGGGCTCCGCCGTCGGATTCGGTGATCCAACATGGCCGAGATCAAAGGCCGACCTGTAGGGATCGAGCACTTTATGTCTGTACAGAGCAATCAGCATTGTGCCACACTCCGCCGCCATCAAGACGCACCTATACTCCTTCCTGAACATCCCCAACGCGCTATCCACCTTATACCTCACATCCGCCATTCTTCCCAGCCTCTCCGCCCTCCTCTGCTCCGCCGTCTTCCTGCTCTCGAGCCACCCGCTCCGGACGCCGGCGACCCACCCCCTCGCCTCGCGCACCGCGTCCGCACACGCGTCCAACAGGTGCTCGCAGCTCTCGCCGAGCAGCACTACGAACGTCTCCGTCGCTTCGGGGCTGTCTGGGTGGCTCAGCCGGGTCGCCTCGAGCGCAAGGTAGCGCTGGCTCTCGAACACCGCGACGGCCGACTCGTTCGCGGGCATCGCGGTCGGGTGCGGGACGGAGAGCGAGTGGGCGAGGTGCAGCAGCGAGAAGTGCAGCCGCTGGTTCTGGCTGTCCTCTTCGTGCTCGGGCTTGCGCAGCCGGAGGTGCAGGTGCCGGCTGATAGTCAGCCGCAGAGAGGACATCGACCCGCTCGCGTTGTTATGTGACCGGCCGACGCGGTGGCGGAGACGTCCGCGCTCGTTTGTGTCTCCTGCGGCGGGGCTGGGAGTCTCAGGACGTGACGGTGGTGGACTACGACCCCAGGCAACAGAGTCGGGATCAGACCTTGGGTCCGGCGAGTGAGGCCCGATCGTTGGGGTGCCTGGGTGCGAGAAGGACTGTCTACGAGACATGACGGGAGTCATGACGGGCGTACTTGGTTTACTAGGCAGGGGCGTGACAGGGAACCGCTCGCGCGTCGGCTCAATGAGCGTGAAGAAGATTCCGAGTCCGTTTGCGCGCACGATGAGGCGGCGTCCGAACTCCTGCATGCGCCCGACGTCGCTGGGCGCGAACCGCCCAAAGACGATGTCGTTCTTGACGAGACGTAGGGCAGCAGCGGCGGGACCGAGCCCGCCCTCTGCCTTTGTCACGAGACCGGAGATCTTCTTGGCGGTCGCAGAGAAGTCGGAGCCAGAGGGAGAAAGCTTGAAGATGGAGCGATGTTCGCGAATGGCAGCCTCGAGTGGTTCTAGAGAGCGCGCGAGAGCACTCGTATATTGTGCGGTGATCGTGCTTGGGAAGATAGTCGCGCTGGCCAGAATACAAAGGCCGGCATGAAGGACGAGGGGAAGGACGATTACCTTGCCGATGGTGTAGTATGGGTAGGGGAAGAGGACTGCGGTGACGAAGGATATGTCGATGGTGATGGCACCGAAGACAGAAGGAAAGGCGTAGGGACCGGGTCCCTTCTTGGCCTTGATGAAAAGGAAGAAGGCCACGCCGAGGAAGACCCAGACGGCGCAGATGACGGTTGGTCCGGCCTCGATGTACTGTCCGGAGAGGACCTCGGCTAGTGTGACGTTGTAGTCGGTGTGATGGCGGGCGAGATGGGCGAAGAATATGCCAAATGCAGACCATCTGTATACATGTTAGAAGGAGACGCAAAGCTTGTGACGGTGATCGACGTACGCCCAACCGATGGTCACGAAGAGAGCGAAGATGAGCTCGCGTTCTAGGACGGAGATGAACGGATCGGCGGGTGGATCGAAAAGGGCAGCTATAGAGAACGTGAGTTGGAGAAGAGGAGGAACGCGGCTGCGACGCACAGACGAGAAGCAAGAATGTAGCCTGCGACGAACGTATATCAAGACATGAATCGCTAGATGGATGGGGAGGCACTCACCTGGCCAGTGACATCCTCGACTGGACTGAGGACCATGAATACGAGAGAGACAAAGACCATGACAGAGCAGCGGATGACAGGCTTGATCTTGGACCAGGACCAGTTGGCAGGGATCCATGCAAGATCGAGAGGAAAGTACTTGACTGCCGTTTGGCGAAGGTTGGTCATGAACTGGCGGCAAGATCGCTTTTCATGGCGCTCGGGGCGCTGCTCTGTGTCGCTGGGCGAAGAGCGACCTTGGGAACCCCCGGGGCCCCAGGAGGGCGTCTCGATGCGGACATGGCGGAGAGGCGGGGCATCGCGGGGCCCGTGGTAGGAGCCGTATGGGGGCTCGTCGTCGTCGTCGTCGCCGAGACGGGGGTCGTAGCGGAGGTTGGCACGCCAGCTGATGTCGAGGACGTCGGGATATTGAGAATGAAGAGGGAGAGACGGCGGAGGCATGGCGGAGAGGGAGGTACTCACGTGCGGGAGAGGGGCACGCCCTCCGAGTCGCCAGACGCAGCGGAGGGGGGCTCTGCGAAGTGGACGCGCTCGGACTGGGGGCGGTCGGAGTCGGCGGGGTCGTCGTCCTGGGCGGCGTCGGGCGAGGGGGCGGTGTCGTGGGGAGAATGGGCTGCAGCGGGCGGGGCTGTTATATGGGCGGCGGACATGACGAGGAGAGGAGCGGGGAGCGCGCAGAGACCGGGGTGCGCTGTGCTCGTCGACGTGCCGGGTGATGGGAAAGAAGACTTACGCGGACCGCGACATGCACCCGCTCGACGGCGCACCAGCAGACGCGGGGGCGGTGGCTAAGAATAGCTGCGCGTCGATCAACACGCAGCACGTGCGTCGCTCTTCCTCTCCCGTCGGCCATGGACGACCCAAGCCCGCCGCCTGCCCCCGCCCCCGCAGCGCCCTCCCCGCCCCCGCCGCCCCCCGCCGCCGCAGGCTCCCCCACCGACTTCCTCAAGGGCGTCGTCGGCAAACGCGTCGTCGTCCGCCTCACCTCGGGCGTCGACTACCGCGGTGCGTCCCGTCTGATCTCCATCACCACCCCGCGTCGCTCACCTCCGGACAGGCGTGCTTTCGTGCCTCGATGGGTACATGAACATCGCCCTCGAGCAGACCGAGGAGCACGTCGGCGGCACCCTCACCAATCGCTATGGCGATGCATTCATCCGCGGCAACAACGGTCCGTCTTCCTCCCCGCACGCCGTCTCCCTCGCTCACCCCACGCCCGCAGTCCTCTACATATCCGCCGCAGAGCCGCTCTGAGGTGCCCCAAAAGGCTTCATCCATCATCGCTCGGGGAATCGGGACAGCAGAGACGCATCAATTGTATTTCATCCATGTATCATCGCACGCTTGCGCATCGACCTCGAGTGCAGTACTCAATTACGCTAATTCTCTTCATCAGACCCCGAGTCGTTGATGCCGTGCGTCCCTGACATTCACAATGACACTCGTCGTTTCTCCTGTCCAACACTGCCTCGGAACTACGCGCCGCTCTTTCAGAGGTACGCTTGCTTCGTCACCGTGTCGATGTCATTGAGTGGAATGCACGGATGCGCGGTAAGCGTGGTCTGAGCAGCGGAGGTACCGTATGCGCCGTTGATGTTTTTCGCTCGTCAATGGGATGCTTCTGCACGACGACTCAGCAATGGCGTCCGCCGGGGAACACTCGAGCACGTGCTCAACGCGTCGCGCGGCGGACGGCGCGCGATGGAGCGACGTCATGGGCGGCCCCGCAGGCACAGCGGTGGCGGCAGGTGGCGGCCCCGTCATTGCCGTTCCTGGCCAGTTCGTTCAGCTCTCCCCGCCGCCCCACTCATCCTCCTCACTCTCAACCACGACCTTCACCATCCCAGCCTCGACGACCTCGCTCTCTAGCACATCATGGACGGCGTCCCCGCACACCAACCCGAAGACGCCCCGCCGGCCTACACACAAGTCCCCATCCACGTCGACCCCAAGCCCGAAGCCCCGCTGGCCACCGCGCCCGACGGCAACCCCGTCCTCGAGTCCGAGGCCAACATCGTCGCACACACCGTCGAGCTGCCCCCGGACGACGACTCCAGCGCGGACGCCCGTCTCGACCTCAAGGACCCCGACGTGAAGGACATTGGGTGGAACAAGGACATGGCACACCTCCCTCCGACCATCATGCATGGGCTGTCCAACGAGGACTTGTTTCTCCTCGTCCGGAGGTTCAACAAGGTCCGTAACCCCTCGCCGTCGGTTTCGCGTGCTGACCGCCCCTCTAGCAAATCTACCACGTCAAGACGGTTCCGGAGCCCCCGCTCGGCCAGCTCGACCTCGACATATCCGAGAACGAGGAGTTCTCGCCTGACAAGCTCCGCGCCCACCTCGAGCGTCTGTACATGACCGTCGTATGTACCCACCTTCCGGCTCGTATGCTCAACAAACTCAGCAGACCTCGTCAGATCATCAATATCGCCGGCTCCGGCAAGCACATCGCGCGAATCCGTTCCTGGAATGAGCCACGGAGGACAGCGGGCTTTTGCGCCGTGCGCCTCTATCCCCTTGTACTCTGTTCCTATGTACTGACAATCCCTCGCAGGCCTACTTCATCGCGTGGTGGAGCAATCTCCTCGGCGCGCTCATTTGTACGACTCTCATCGTTCTCATCCTCCATCCTCCATCCCGCAAATGGCTATTCCCGCCCGCCCCGCTCGCCGCCGTCAGTGCCACAAGCGGCAACCTCCAGGTCCCTCGCGCAGGCACCATCGGCAGCAAGGACAGTCTTTCGGGCGCACCCGAGGCACACAAGGGCGAAGCCGTCGAGCAGGAGGCGAACAACTTCGTCTCCGGCGTAGGCTCGTTGGCCCTTGCAACCGCAACGGGCCAGCAGATTGCCCCCAACGCAAATCCCGACGACGTCCCCGACGAGAAGCTCGAACAAGCGGAGCAAGAAGACAACGGCGTCGCGGGTGCGTTGCCGGACCCGACGCAGATCGCCGCAGCGACGATGGACGCGAAGCACGTCGCGCACGGCTCCAGGACCGACGGCAAGCACGACGCGACCAAGCAGCACGTCGAGAGCGCCATGTGGGAGAAGGCCCGACCCATCATGCGTGCGCTCGCGGACCTCGTGGATACCTGGGAGCGGTTTGGAAAGTGAGTGCATCCGGGAATTCTCGCCACGACATATCTGAGCTTGCATCATAGCGTCTTGTCTCCCACCCCTCCCTTCTCGCACACTCCCCGCCTCCGGTTGGCTGCGATAATCATCCCTATACTCGTCGTGACCACCGCTGTCCCGGCCGCCCTTTTCGTGAAGGGAGGCTCGCTCGTGACGGGCTTCCTCATGTTCGGACAGCCTCTCATGACCCACGGCATTCACTGGCTGAACACCAACTACCCGAACTGGCCAGAGATGCTCGAGTTGCGAAGGTACGTCTCTGACGTGTGCGACGCACCTTCACTAACGTAGGCACAGGTCGATCCTCAAGGGCGTTCCGACCAACGCGCAGCTCACTCTCACGATACTGCGCATCGCGGAGGCGAGTCACACTCCACTCCCGCCGCCGCCGTCTATGAGTGTGCCGACGGAGGAGCCCAAGTCGCATCCCGACGGCGCAAAGGCCGAAGTTGCAGAGTACGCCGACAATCACCTCGACTTCGACACGTCGAATTATGAAATTGAAGGTGCTAACAGGGCTGAACACGCGAGCGACCACGCCGAGCACGACGGCAAACACAAGGCGAGCAAACTCGCAAAGCTCGTCAAGGGCTCCGCAAAGGCGACTGTCAACAGCGCGATCGGCGTCGACCACCTCAAGGCGAAGCTCGGTTCGGGCGCAGCGAAACGGCGCCTGGGTGCTGTTCCCAGCGATAGCCCGGACGTTACCATCGACGGTCCGACTGGTAGTCGCGTGGGCCTCGGAGACGGGCCTACAACCTATGCGGCGCGGTACCACGGCAAGCGAGGCTACGTTGTGCTCGTGACAGGTGCCGCGACGCCTTGCGTGTCGTTCGTCTGGGAAAAGGACCTCTCGAAGAACCTCGCCAGCTATGCCAAGGCGGCCGCAGCAAAGGCGAAGGGTGAGAGCGAACCGGAGGCACCGCCCGCGGTGTTCGCGATCCCGCTTGCAGAGATCCTCGGTCTGCGGAAGGTGGGCGGGTATGGCTGGAAGGGTAAGATGATCATTGGGTTCACCTTGCAGCGGGAGGTGGTGGATGGCCTCGGGATCGAGGACAAGGATGGTAAGACACACTTCCTGACTGCAATCAAGGGGCGAGATGAGCTCTTCAACCGGCTGATTGCTATTGGTGGACACAAGTGGGAGCAGCTGTAGTGTGTCTGATGTTGCATGCATGTATACATTTTATAGTAGTAAAGGTTGATTGATGTGAGGGCTCGTACAAAATACAAGTGGCAGAGGTGCATGACATGAGTTGACATCTCACATCCTGAGATTGTGAGGATCCCTAAGATGCCAATAGGGAAATGTTGTTGCTGTAGAAGTGGGCTGTGTAGTGTTCTGTGGGTAGTCACACAGGTCCTTGTTTGTCTTGTTCTAATTGTATATGCTCTCTGTGGTACCCTGGTTTGCTGATACGTTGCTGATGTGCGGCTCAGTGCCAGTGTACTGGGAACAAACAATTTCCAGGCCCTATATGCTGTGTAGCATGTAGTGGATTGTGTTGAATCAATCAGGTTCTAGTCCCCCATTTGCCACAGGGGGTTTTAGTGGGTATGGCTGGGTCGGTTCATGCTGTGCGAGTCCCACACTACTTCTAGAAGCTGGTGTGCAGCCAGGGTTCTGGAAGTATGCATCAGTGCATTTCCTCCTTTGGTTGGGGTTCAAAAGCTACAGGTTTTAATCCTTGTTCCCCAGTGGCTCCAAAGAGATGACTTGTTATTTGCCAAGGGGCAGCGCCACCAGTGCAGAATGCTCCACCAAAAAAAAGGAGTGGCACAGAGCAAATTGCAACTGAACATGTAGCAGTTTGAATTGTAGTGTAGAGTATAGTATTGCATAGCAAGCAACATGGCAGACATGGAATATAAGAGCCAGCAAGGCTATTGTGACTTCAAGTTCCATTCCCTCCCTTTGACTTTTCTCAGGCTTCCTTGCTGACACACTTGCCTCTCAATCCCTTCTTCACTGCCATTGGGTGCCACCATTAACTTACACTTGCTTACCTCTCTATTCCTCGGGAAACTAGTGCTCTCAGTGCTAAACATTGATTACATACAGTGACTGTGATCAGAGTCATTACTCATGTTGCTCCAATCACTAATGCTCTACTGAGAGCTCTTGAAATCAGTGAATTGTTGGGACACATCTGTTGACTTGGGCATATAGCAACTTGTTTGCTTGTTTGGTAGGAGACATGAATTTTGTTGTACCCTACTGTCACTAACCTCTGACTGTTATATATACCTAAGATCAAGTCGTTTAAGCCACAAAGTTTGTCAAAGTGGCTAGGCTGCCACATCACCACAATAATGACCTCTTTTGTGAAGTCATTGCTTATCACTTTGGGAGTGCAGGTCAGGTGATCAGGGTGACTGCACTGGTCTACAAATATACTTGGCCAGACTTGCAAGTCAAGGCTGGACCAAGACTGTTAGATGAGTTTGTGGACAGTCAACTGGATGAGTACAGAACATTGTTTTACTGAAGGTTCTGGAACTTATTGTAAATGTATTTAAAGCCTGTTGTATTGGACAACAGAATAACACACTCTTGAACTCCAATTTATTGGTGTGAGCCACTGGACAACACAAGAATTGTACCTATAGCTGCACATTATGCTGATCTAAGTCTTGACTCTTCTGTAGTATAGCCTTGGGGTCAGTTGAGTGTAAGTGTACACTGTAAGTTAGAATAATGAGTGTGCCCTAGTGGCATTCCTGTACAAATAGTCATCTTGGTAAAGTTCAAAAGTAGGATTATCTTGTTGTCTAGAGGTTTGATACTAAGATTAAATAAGAAGGTTAGTCAATTGAGAACAAACATTTTCTCAACAAGGCAGCAAGCCCTGAGTGGCTCTGACTCACTGAATTGAAGGACTAAAGTATACTCACTGAGTTCATCAAGATAAGTCAGTTCAACTTATAGTGAAGGGTGCTGTAACAAATGTTGAATAACTAACCAGCCAGTCATTACTCCATTAGTATTTGGTAGTTTAGCAACCCTAGTCCATAACAGCTCCATGGGATTGCTGGACCAGCACAGAGTCTGTTGTCAAGGATGTTGCTGTCCACACATATGGCAATGTTGTGGAGACATTGGCAAGGGAGACTCATTGGGCACTCCTTGAAGCATCTACAAGCACTGCACAAGCACTGCAAGGCTTGACAGTGCACATGGCCAGGAGTACCATAGTTTGTCTGGTCCAATTCAACAAAGATATTCAGTGCAGCTGGTGTATCAGGGTATGTGCAATAATCACTGAACTGCTGTGATACTGAAGTTCACTGTTAATGCATCTTCAGATCCCTCACCACACAAGCAGTCCATATTGACTTACTGGAGACCCTCCTCTGTGTTAAGGCCTTTGATCCTGTGCTTTCTTGCTGGGTTGTCACCACTGTTGGCAACAGGTTTGGTTCTTTCAAGGCCAAGTTTCTCCTTTGTGCATGGGCCCCAAACTGCAAGCTTACCAAGCTGACTGTCCAGGGCTTGCAGGGCATCTTGAGCACCTGTACAGTATCTGCTGCTTGACTGCTAGTTTGTACAAGCACAACCACCTTGTTGCTAATTGCTCCATCCAGCAGTACATGGGTGCACCTGCTGAATCTGAAATTGGTGTCCATTGATATTGTGTAGCATGAGACAAGGCAACAAGGCAGCATGACCAGAGTAGGTTTTGGTTCAATGAGAGCTTGGAGTCTTTGTAGGGGTCGGGAGTGGTTCAGGAGCAAGCCACTATGTAGACATTCAACTTGCTCATTTGTCAGAGGCTTTTTCCCTTCTGCAGTGAGCGCATCTGCAGGCTGCAAGCACAAACACAAACCTGAAAGCAATGTGTCAAGGAAACATCTGCCAGTAGCGGGAGATGCAGGAAAAGGGAAGACACACAAGGTGGTGGAGACCAATGTTGAGGGGCTAGGTGATCACATGTGGGAGGTGCTCAATGACAGAATATTGCTGCAGTACTAGATCTATGTTACACATTACACATTACATGCACCATATTGCAGAAGTACCCAATTTGTTACCCCAACCACTGCACTGGATTGCCTAGCACGATCATTAACCACAGGTGTTGTCACCACATGTGGAAGCAGTTGGAAGGTCCTTGTTAAAAAGGCACAGTTAACTCATTGTCACTGTGCAACTGCCCAGTCTTGCTCTGCACATTGTACATATCCCCAGAAGCCGCTTCCCCTGCAGATACCAATGTTCGTTCAGATTGATTTCAATGACCATGCACTCCAGTCGTCACTCTTCCGCCCATGTGAACTGGTGCGGCATGGGCCTAGAGAGCCTCTTGCAATCTCGCTTGCCAGGGTGGTGCACATGCAGGCGTGACCACACGGCCAAACTGCAGTTTCTAATGGACATCATTGAGGAGATTGAAGCCTCAGGCAAGTAGGAACACAACCAGCCACAGAAGCTTCCCCAAGTAAGTCTTCACTAACATGAATTGGAGTTGACATGTCCAGTAGCTTACTCCTCCATAAGTGGTTCAAGAACCATTGAGCACACTAAACCAGTTGTGGCAACACACACGTGATGGGCACAATGGCTGGAATGGTGTGACCCAGTATGGGCAAATTGATGGAGTCTGCTCAGGTTCAGCTCCATGAGCGGCCCATATGTAATATCCCTCGTCAACCATTGTTGGTAATCCACTAGACTTTGACACTGGCTGCATGTTCTTTTTTGCAGTCCTCTGCAAGGCCTCAGAAATCTTGTGCATGCCTTTGAGGCCTTGTGGGATGGGACGTTTGCCGGTAGCAGGGGCTTGGGATGACGGACCAGGGGAGGACTCCTGTACAGCCCAAACTTTGCAGTATAGACCTTCATCTGAATGTACGTTGTCAGCAATGTAAATGCCTTGTAAGAAGGTAAGAAGGGGATTGTACAGTGTACCTTCTTCTTGATCAATTTCTGGGCCTTCTGGAGGTAGAAGTTGTCCCAGTATTCCTTGATGTGATCAAGTCTGTACTTGGGGTGGACAACTTTGTTATGGTGAGACGTTGTGCTCAAATCTGGTCAAGTTCACTTACGCATGCACAGCACATAGCTGTCAGTCTCATCCATAATAGTGTAGTACTTCATTGCCACGGCTAGAGCTGCCTCTATAGCTCCATGGAAACGAGACATGTTGTCCATGGTCAGGACGGCCTCCCACTCTGACTGAAATATCTCAAACACAGGGATGACGTCCGCTAGTAGACGCAAGTCATCCCTAGCCAGAGTCAGGGACACCTTCATTGGGACCTGAAACCATGATTGCAACATACACATTTCATAAGCAAATATCATATTCAAGTACATGCGTGATTAGCCACCTTGAGGAGCGACACAATGGCTGCAAGATCATTCTCCTGAGATTTGGTCAGCTCTGGGTACATTGCTGCAAATTCATTGCTCCGCATGGGGAACTGATGGTATGCCTGTCACACAATATCAGACAAGGGGTTCTGGAGAGTGAAGGCTAAGGCTTACCAGCTTCATCTCCAGAAAACACATGATCATGTTGTATGTACTGTTCCACCAGGTACGGACATCAAGGATGAGCTGGACCTCACGGAGATGGGGGAGGAACACCCCTGAGGTGTTACCCGTGCAGATGGTTTAGTCCCAAGTGTCCCTGTCATGGTATGACATGGAGGCCCCACATTTTTGCCTTGTTTTATCCTATTTTTGCTCATTTTCTATGGACTTGTATGGTATGCTGTACGATAGACTTTGCCTGGAATGGCTTTCTGACTAGTCATGTGATACACCATGTGCTAGGGTTTGTCTTATGACTTGTTCATCATGTGGTCTTGCTTATCATGTGCCCTGTGGCAGCGCCTAGCCACCTGACTTGTTCTGACTCATACGTACACATGACCTCAGTTCTTGGATCCAGCATAGGTAGACCTGCCCTAAACCTAGCCAGTATATATAGTGCCCTGTATGCTGCCTAGCACTCCAGCTCGTCCTCTTGGAGTTGCTAGGTAAGCACTTCACATTGTAGGTCGTCTTTGTCAGTTCATTTGATTTTATCTCAATTCACTTATGAATGATGCTTTGCTTGGATTCAATTTATTAGTCAATGACACATGCTTATCTTTGTACCTCTTCAGAGCCATGCTTATGTGTGTCTGGCACCATAATAGTACAGTGGATCATCCACCATCTGAGTGCACTGAGTGTTACGCGACGGGTAGGAGCGGGACAATGATGAAGGCGATAGCCAATACGAGAACAAACTTCTACTGAAGACGCTGCCTTTAACAAGGGCTTACTCTCGTCTAGAGTCTGGATCCGTCGGGGCGTTCAAGAGGACTAGCCGTGCTGGCTTCCTCAAAGGCTCCTGGTCGGTCAGGCCTATCCGAGCTTGGTTGTCACCTGCCGCTAGGGCGTAGGGGAAGTGGGCAAGCGAAGGAGATAGGATTCAAGAGTTAACCAGGTCAAACGTGAAGTTCGACCACTACTGTACAACGAGTTTAAATACAAGAGATAGTGCGATCAGCGCGGAGAGATACGTAAGCAAATCACTGGGGCAGTGTCCGGTAGCGTATGGTACAGATGGCGGCTCACGGCTACAAGTGGCCGCCCGAGATAGATAATCACCGCACGGGGTGATGAGGATGGTAGGAATGATGCAGATCATACTGATGAGATGCGAAAGGACTAACCGTTCCGTAACACTGAGTCACACTTGAGTCTCACTTATGTGCCTTCAGAGATGTATTAGTATGTACTTATCTATACTTGGCACAAATTAATGCTCAAGTGGGTACTCATCTATGATCAGACCTGACTTGAGTATTACTCAAGGTCCATGCTTAGTGCTACTTGAGTGTGCTTATTCCCCACTTAATCTCACTGGTGCACTGCAGACTCATCCATACTGTGCATATCCATAGTGCTGATCTCATAGTATTGAACATGTACTCAACACATGCTCAGTTTCTACTGACATACACTCAGTGCACACTTGATATACTCAGCCCATACTCAACATATGCTTAACCCTTACTTAGACTCAGTCCACACTCAGCTCATAATCTTTGTATACTTAGTCCTTACTAAACATGTACTCAGCCCATGCTCAGTCATACTGAACATGTACTTAGTGTATACTCAACATGTACTTAGCCCATACTCAACATGTGCTTGAGCTTTACTCAACCTATTCAGCCTGGCATGCTCAGCTCATATTCAACATGTACCTAGCCTATACTCAAGCTACCCAGTCCATGCTCAGTCATGCTGAACATGTACTTAGTGTTTACTCAACATGTACTCAGCCCATACTCAAGCTACACAGTCCATGCTCAGTGATACTCAACATGTACTTAAGCCATACTCAACATGTACTCAGTCATACTAAGCCATAATGAACATAGAGCATAGAGCATACAAGCATACTAACATACAGTGACCAGTCGACACTTCAAAGACCATCAAGAATGACATCCTCTATCCATTCATGTCAATCAACATGAACACATAGTATGATAATGAGACGAGACACATACTTTTGCTGAGCAGCGGCAGCCTGTGCCCGGGTTTTGAGAGGAGGAGTTCTGGACCGAGAATTGCGCACCCTGCGCTTCTTCCACTGGTTGCTACAGCCAACATCAGTCATATAGGCATAAGAGCTTATAACTTCGCACTTACCTCTGATCACCACCCTCCTGCTCATCCTCATCAACAGCCTGCTCAGCCTGTCGCTTTCCACATCGTCGAGGACGGGCAGACTCACCCGCATCTCCTCCCTCCTCCCCGTCCCCACCCTTGTCCCCGTCCCCATCCTCATCCTCATCCTTGTCCCCATCTCCATCCCTGCGATTGTCCCCGTCCCTCTCCTCATCCTCATCCTCATCTACGTCCCCGTTGTGGGCATGGCCCACGGTCTACGCACGGAATCGACAACATACGAACGCGTCAGGGCGAGAAATGGGATGGCAATACGGCGCAAGGCATCTCCGAGAAGTACGGACTTGGGGAACACAACACGAACGGGCCAAATACATTCCAACTAAGCCAAGCACACGGTTACAGAAGGTGCTACGGACGACTACATGGGGTCAGTTGAGCGAAGGGCTTGCGTTACGAACATTCCCTCCGTCCCCGTTCCTTCCGGACCCTCCAGCCTCTTGGTCAGCAGCAGCATCAGCAACGCTACGCGTGAAGCCCATGGGGCGTGGATTAAGAGCCATCGAACCCCTAGACGTGGCGAAGACTAAACGACGAGGAATTCCGGAATAATCGTCCGGAAGGTACAGCCCGTGTGACAGCGTCTTCGTCATTTATGCTGGGTTAATTCTAGTTCATTAGTGAACCTAATCAGGATTAAATCGAGTTGCTATGGAACTATAATCAAGTGTTCATACCCCTAATCATGGGCTTAAGCTGAGATGATTAGGGCCACTAATCCATGCTGCCATGGAACAACCAGATCAGACCATAATGGAACTCACTAACCTGGATTACTGGTCCAATCCTCAGCTAATCTCAGCTTGATCAAGACATGATCATGTTCAGCCAGTTCATGACTATTAATTCTAGCATGATCCCAGAGGTCAATCCTCATTATCATAGTCTGGATTAGGACATGATCATGTTCAGCCAGCTGATCACTCCTAATCCTAGCATGATCCCAGAGGTCAATCCTCATAATCATGGTTTGGATTAGGACTTGATCATGTTCAACCAGCTTATCATTCTTAATCCTAGCATGATCCCAGAAGGTGTATCCTCATAATCCATGGCATAACCTCAGTGTTAATCATGATACATGTACAATCCTAATCATGGTCATGGTTATCATGCTCTAATGTCACCATTAATCAAGGGCAGCTGATCATAATTATGGCATAATCTCAGTCATAATCCTGGCTGCAATCAAGGTAACCATGGCATGAACACCAAGTCATACATGTACATGTGCAAATGTGAATCATGTTCATAATCATCAAATCTTTATAGCTGAGATCACCACTGATCATATGGCCTACTCAGGATCAAGGCCATACAACCATAGCAAACTACTCACAACCCTAATATAGTTAATCCAGTCCTGATCCAGTACTAATCCAGTACTAATTCAGTCCTAATTCAGTCCTAATTCAGCCCCTATCATCGCTGTGAACAGCTGTAAACTCTAGCACTACACCACCAAACTCCCGCATAATCATCAGCCACATCACTAACCTGCACCTCATCCCACCCTAATCCTTTCTCTAACCACCGCAGCCAACACCCACTCGTCCCTATGCAAGCGACAAGACTCATCATCCAGTACAGCCCCTCACACCGATCATTTAGCTTTCTTTGTATACGCACGCTTGGAGCGTCTGTAATCAGGTCAGAAGAGCACACAGATGAAGTAGAAGCACCCCACGGTTTCGTCGTAGATTTCGCTCTTCCGGTCGCAAGATCGGCCTGGGTAGGCTTCTGTTTCGAGGAAGTGCTACGGGTCTGCCTGACGTTATTGGTAGAACTAAAAGTCGTGGTTAGAGAAGCAGTCATCCAATGATAACAATATACATACACAGTCGCCGCTTCGTGAGGTTGCACGGCCAATTTGCGTTTTTTCGCGCCACTTGCAACGCCTTCAACGTTTGATTTGACAGGGTCAACGTCTTCGTGATGCCTTCGCGAACGGCGTTGAGGCACTAGGGCGGCAGGTTGCACTTTGCAGGCTGTCAGCAGAGGTTACAGGCAAGTGATGAAACCCACCTGAGGATCCACCATCCCTCAACTGCTCGGGTTGGGCTTCGGACTGATCAACACGCCCACGAACCCCGTTGGGCCGGTTGCTGTCGTCGTGCTCACCAGCGACGCTCGCTGCATTGCCTACAACATCGCGGCCCTCGCCGCTGCGCATGGTATTGTTGTACTCACCATCGCCACGCCCACTGTTGTTCTCCTCGTCGCCGAGCCCCTCATGACCTGACTTCTCGCCGGTGATCATGTCGTCGCTACTGTCAGGCGCGCCGTCACCGCCTCCATCATCTTGGCCCTCTCCGGCATTACCGGCACCAACCCCCTCGCCATCCCCGCTGCCATCGCCTCCGTCCACATCACTTCCAGTACTTGCACCGCCATCGCGATGATCATCATTGACGTGAACCTCGCCGCGGTCGCCTCGCCCAGCTCCCCCTTCGCCTGCTCCGCGGCCCTCACGACCCTGGCCCCGGCCCATTACACGCGCACCCCCATTGACTTCGTTACACCCCTCCTTGTCACCCCCATCATCACCATCCTTCCCGTCTTCGTCGGCTGACACTGAGTCTTCAGGATTGACGTCGCGAAACGCAAACCCTTTTTTAGTTCCCTGCGTCGTCTTGATCTTTTCCCAGAGCATGAACACACGACCATGGGTGCCGGCATCATTGCTTGTGAAGTCGGGATTCGGCCACCCTCGCGTGACTAGCTCGTCCGCGATAATGTCGTTGGTAACCGCTTCCCTCTGTGCAAGCGTGCAGCATGCAAGGTCTTATATTATACCCCCTTCACCTAAGTCCAGGGGGGGTCAGCGTGCCCTCAGCTTGCCTTATATGGTAATTCCTTTTTGGGCCATTACCATATAAGGCAAGTGCTGACCTCGGGCCGCACCTGCATGTCTCAGGGGATCTTGCGCGGGCGCGCGAGATCCCCTGCGCACCTCTCAACACCAGTTATGTGGACTGCGTCAAGACCAACATCCAGTACTGAATGTCAGGGGTCTGTGCACTGGCGCGACATCCCCTGGGACATATGCCAGTCCCATGTGCCATGCACGCACCACGCACCATGTGTTAGGGGATCCTGCGCACCCACGCGAGATCCCCTAGAAAGGGTACGCGCGCACGACACATCCATGTACTCAAACATTGTACACATACAGTCTCCCAGGGGATACTGCGCACCCGCGCAAGATCCCCTAGAAAGGGTATGCATGTATGATACCCCCATGTACCCACACAGCGTACGCACATGGGCTCCCAGGGGATCCTGCGCACCTGCGCGAGATCCCCTGGAAAGGGTACGCGCGCACGACGCGTCCGTGTACTCAAACGTAGTACACACAGTCTCCCAGGGGATCTCGCGCGCGTGCGCGAGATCCCCTCAAGCACATGTCAGCATCGCGAACCATGCCTTAGGTTCCTCAAAGTAACCTATTGTCTCCGGTACTGCGCGCACCATGTAACAGGGGATCCCACCCTCCCGCGCAAGATCCCCTTGGAGGAGTACTGCGTTTTGTAGTATGCGCACATACATTATTGGGATTCACGCGAGCGCGCAGCATCACCTCACTTCCCAATGCTTGAGAACATAATGCACGCACATGGTCTCAGTGTGCATGCACATTGCAGCCGCAGCATCTGAGTGTAAGAGTTCGTGGGCTTGGAACCCTTGATTGGGGGGGCCGGGCTGCCCGTGAACTTGACGTTTGGTGGTCGCGGCGCGACCGGGGAGAATGTCGTGAGGTCTTGACGTCGTTAGCGAGGCGAGGAGCTCCCGCTATAGTCGTAGCCGGGCGAGGAGCCTAGCTGTTAGAGTTCGTGGGCCTGGAACCCTAGACTCGGGGGCCGGGCTGCCTGTGAACTCGACGCTTGGTGGTCGCGGCGCGACCGGGAAGGTGTCGTAGTGTTGTCGTGAGGTCGTGAGCGAGGCGAGGAGCTCCCGCTGGCGTCGTAGCAGGGCGAGGAGCGCTGCTATCGTCGTAGCAGGGCGAGGAGCCGCGCCTAGAGGTGAGTCCTAGAACTGGCGAGGAGCCAGGTCGAGGGGGAGTCCTAGGCGAGGCGAGGAGCTCAAGCCGAGAGGGGATGCTGAACGTACTCGGACGGCGCGGTGTCGCACACGGACGAGGTGGTGGTTCAGCAGTAAGAATAGATTACTTCCCAAAATGGAAGTCAAGTGGCTAGGTACATGGAGATAAGATGAGATGTACACTATCAGTTCATAATCTAATCTAATCAGTGGGCATAGTGATGCCCACCCATAACAGTGCCCCCCATTATGAAGTGTATAGTGTGAAGGTGAGGGGTCAGATTAGAGCGAATGAAAAGTATGAGTGAGCATAGAATAGAAGGTGAGAAAAGAGAATAGAAAAAAATTTTGGGCTCCGCCACGCGAGGCTGAGCTGTCCCGCAAGTACTGCATCCCGAGCATTCAGACTTGCCGTGCATCCGCCAAAGCATACAGGCTCTGTCGGTCAAGCCCTCGCAAGCTCGGCCAGGCTCCCCTGACCTCCCTCACCTGTAGCAGCTTTGCCATCTTCCCTAGGCAAGGCTGTGCTACTTCCTGCCTGTACTGCGTCCCTAGCTGTCATCCTCGCGGAGGATCTGCGCATCCCTCGGGCTAGGGTCGGCTAGGCCCTGGCATACCTGCCCCCCATACCCTATCCTCCCCTACCCCCAGCCCCCCAATCTCAAGTCGGAAGGAACCGAGTAAGGGAGTTTCGGCTCGAGATTCCAATGAGAAGGGTGGTGAGGATAGAGGAGAAAAGTCGAGGGTGGGTGGGCTGGGACAAGACAAGGGTACCACAGCTAGTGCCCCCCAGGGTTCAGACAAGGCGTGGAGCGAGGCGAGCACGGGCTCGAGCTTGCCAGATTTCGCGCCGTAGGGCAGCTTCCTCTTCTGCAATGGCCGCTGACTCGGGAGAGTCCTCCGTGACGAGGCGCGAACGCGCGCGGACCTGCCAAATCCTGCGCCTGAGTTCCTCATCTAACCCAGCTAAGTCTGGCTCCTCCTTGCAGGACGGAGGGATGGACGCGAGTGAGTCGGGCGGATGGCTAAGGCGCGGCGTAGACACAAGCACCGGTCTGCAAGACGAGGCAGACGAGGGGAGGCTACCGGGCGAGCGGTGATCTCGCACAGCCCGGCAGCCATCCCGTAAGTTGTCCGAGCTTGACGTCTTGCGTGCAGTCAAGAGACTGGGGCGAGAAGCGGCGGCCGGACGCGCAGTGTCGGGGGAGGCGCGAGCGTCGAAGGGTGCGACGGTGGGAGGGGCGTGCTTGCCAAGCGTGCCGACCACGTGCGGGAGCGGGGCTTGACACATTGGTGGACCATTGCGTTCGCGCGGTGCAGGTGCGGGTACGCCGGACGAGGGAGACGCGAGACGGCGGTGATCGTGCTCGACAGACGCGAGCGCAACCTGCTCGAAAGGGCGCGAGGGCGGCCGCGAGTCGGGCGAGTGACGAGGGAGCAACACAGAGGCGGATGCCGGCTTGCGAGGCGACGGGGGGTCAGACGCGTCGAGAATGAGCGCGTTCGCGCGAGCCGGTCCGTCTGCGTGCGTTGAACTGGCAGGTGAGGAGAGGCTACCAGGCGCGCGGTGATCTCGCGCAGCCCGGCAGCCATCTCGTCGTGGATCACCCGAGCTTGACATCTCGCAGGTGGTCGAGGGACCGGGGCGAGAAGCAGCAGCGGGACGCGCAGAGTCGGGGGAGGTTCGAACGTCGGAAGGAGCGCCGATGGGAGGGACGTGCGCACCGTGCGCGCCGTTCGCGTGCCAGTGCGGGGCTTGTCGCGCTGGCCGGTCGACACCTTGACGGGACGTGGGTGCGAGTGCACTGGACAAGGGCGGGGGAACCGAACGGTGGTGGGCACGCTCGACGGGTGAGAGGGTGTTGCACGAGAGGGAGTGCGCAGGCGCGGGCGTGTCCTCTCGTCCTCCCGTCGATTCAACCTCTCTCCCCTTGGCGGACGCGTGGGCGAGCCCCCCAGATGAGCGTATCGGGGAGCCCTCGGCTTGTTTGGCTGCCTGGGCTTCGCGCTCTTGGTGCCGGTGTACAAGGGCTCGCGCGCGCGATTGCGGCGAAAGAGCGCGAGAGGGCGGGTGCCAGGGCGTTGGCGCGGCGAGCGAGAGAGGGCGTGCGTGCGGAGTGGATGCAGGCGCCAGGCAGTAGGACGGGGACGAGATGGCGACCGGGCGGCGCGAGCGCAGAAGCGCGTCGGACGAGGACGGGGAGACCGGCCGGCGGGGGATGCACTCGGCGGGCGCGAGCGTATCGCCTTGGCGCGACGGGGGATGCGAGTCGGCAGGCGGGGCGCGCTCGCGGTGCGCCGGAGGAGCGGGCGACGGCGGAGGGCGGCGGGCGCGTTCGACGAGAACGTGTGGGTCGTGCGAGAGCGGACGCGCAGGACGGACGCGCTGAGAGGAAGGAGAGGGAGAGGGCCCAGAGGGCGCATGGGTACTGGTACTCACCTCGGCCGTTCCGTCTCGTACTCCCGCTGTCTCAACTCCTCTCCTCGTCGGGGATACACGGGCGGGCCCCCCAGACGAGCGCGTCGGGGCTGCTTGCGCGGCGGGCCATCGCTCCGCCGAGTATCTCGCTCGGTGAGCCCTCCAGGCTGCTGCGGCGGCTTGCGCCTCACGCTCGTGGTGTGCGCGCACGACAACGCGCCCGTGCGAGCGAGGCGAGAGGGTGCGGGCAGGTGGCTCCTCGTCCTTGGGACTTGAGCTGGCAACCTGGGCGACGCTTAGGTTAGGTTATGAGAGCATTTTGACCGTCCCTGGGGTGAACCTAGCGCCCGCGGAACCCTATAGGCGCCGGGATAAACCCTATAGACGCCCAAATTTAAACGGGCTGCACCAGGTACGGCTTTGGGGAGGCGGAGAGCAGGTGGGAGGGGTGGGTCCCGACATGAGCAATGAGTGCGCGGTACGTGTGTGGGCCCGCAGTACGCGGGGCGTGCTTCGCCGGTGCGCAGCGCGTGGGGGGGGCGTGGGTGGCCACGCGTGGCTGTGTACCGGCGGCGCACGGCGACAGGGTGGGCGACGCAGCGGCTGGGGCGCGGGGTGGGCGGCGGCGGCACGCGTGGCCGTGTGTGCGGGTGGCAGCAGGCGCTCGCAGGGCCGCAAAGCGCGAGTGTGCGTCGGCGACGCGCAGCGCGTGCGGCCCTGCGCGCCAGCGGAGCCACCTGCACGCTGCCGGCCGCGCGGGATGCCGAGGCCCACCCCACGCCCCAGCCGCTGTATCGCCCGCCCTGTCGCCGTGCGCCGCCGGTACACAGCCACGCGTGGCCACCCACGCCCCCCCCACGCGCTGCGCACCGGCGAAGCACGCCCCGCGTACTGCGGGCCCACACACGGACCGCGCACTCATTGCTCATGTCGGGACCCACCCCTCCCACCTGCTGAGGTTCATGTGTCGCAGTCGATCGTGAACAGCAGGTCATTAAATTGTCATACAAGCAGATGCGGTAGATACAAGATTGACAGGGCGTGACATTCATCCCGGCGACCACGGACACGATCAGAACTTCTTCCTGCGTTCACGCGTCCTCTTCGCGCTGCCCGTCGGGAGCTCGTCGTCACCAGCGCCGAGACGGTCGGTCGGGACGTAGGTGCTGGGCGTACCGCGACGGGGACGACCGGCCGAAGCGGGCGACGCAGCCTTGCGCTTGCCCTTCCGCTGAGCAATCGGGATGTTCGATTCGCTCGGGGCGTCGGCTACGCAACCAAATGAGTAACGTGGCAATGGAGAACGGGACCACTTACACAAAGGCGAAGTGTCGCGCCGCGGTTCCTCCTCGAGCTCGGAGATGTCCATCATGCGGGCGTCCTCGTGAGACATGTCGAGGTCCGAAGCGTGGCTGTCGACCATTTCGACGTCCGGCGTAGGGTCCACAGGCGGCGCGGCAGCAGCGTTGAGCGCAGAGGTGGGGATGGCGGGGGTCGCGGCGGGAGCACTGGAGCTCAGCGAAGCGTCGGTGAACTTCTGCGTGAGCGCGAAGGGATCCGCGGGAAGGAGTTGCGAGGGCGGGGTGTGCGATTCCGACTGACGCCACCGAGACGGGGTGCTCGGTCCTCCCTGCCGGGGAGTTGTAGATTGTGGACGTGTAGATTGCGGCAGGGGGGTGGAGGGACGGTCGGCGGACGGCGGAGTGGTAGGCGGCGGAAGGAGGGGCGCGCGAGGCTCAGCAAGCGACGGCGGGGTCGTAGGCGGCGGTGGGAGGGACGCGCGAGGCTCAGCAGGCGACGGCGGGGTAGTAGGCGGCGGCGGGAGGGACGCGCGAGGCTGAGCAGGCGGCGGAGTCACGGGCCGCGGCGGGGGAGTGGCCGACGCATGAGACGTCGAGGTCTTGTCCTCCTCAGACTCCGGCTCGGGCGTCGTCGTTGAGGGGGTGACTGCCTTGGCCTTTGCGCCCCTCCTGCGTGGCTGGGGCCTCTTCGTGGTCGGCTTGCCGCCCTTCTTCGGAGGGTCGACGCCGTCGCCCTTCTCCGAAGGTTCGGCCTCGTCGTCGCTGATAAAGATGGCGGGCGTCTTCGCCGCCTTCTTCTGCTTCCTCTTGCGCGGGGTGAGGGCCTGCTCGACCTCAACGCTGCTGGCAGTGGTGCCGTCGTCGTCCTCCTCAGGGTCCGCGGGCAACTCGACGTCAGCGTCACCGATGAGGTGAGCGATCTTGTTGCCGAGGAGCAACATGACGACGCGCTCTGTGAAAGCGTTCAGTACGAGATACTAGACTGGGAATGGGGAACTTACTGAGCTCGAAGTCCGCCTCCATGAAGGCCTGGTGCATGACGCCCTTGTCGAACGCGATGGTGTTCAGCAAGACGTCGACGCTGGCGAGTGTGATCAGATAGTAGATCAACACGTCGGACTTCTGGCCGAAGCGAAGGATGCGGCCGATGGCCTGCTCGTCCTCCTGCGCAGACCACGTCGTATCCTGGCGCAAAGTCAATGCACGGATGGTGAATAACGGCATAGCACTTACCACGAAGATCATTATGTTGGCCCACGCAAGGTTGAGCCCGGTGGCGCCGACCGACGACATGACGAGGACCGTAGGGCCGTCCGCGCCCGCCTTGCGGAAGTCCTCGACGACGCGCTCGCGCTGCGCCGCGCTGAGCTTCCCGTTCAAGAACACCGCCTTGATGCCGTAGAAGTCGAAGACCTGAAATTGCAAATGTGAGTTGTGCAGTGGATGGTAAGAAACTTACTCACCTTGCGCAACAGGTTGTTGTTGGACGGGAAGTACGAGAAGACGATCATTTTGTCCGGCCCCGAGCCGTGGTGAGTGGAATAGCCCTTGAAGTCAGGGTCTGGGTACAGCTTGTTGGACTCGGGAAACGGGGGCAGGTCGCTGAGGGGAACACCGCGCAGCTCCGTCTTGATGTTGAGAGGCGGGGCCTTGGGCGTGCGGTGGTGGTGGATGATGTCGACGAGGGCGGCGAGCTTGGCGGTCGGCATCTGCTCGAATTCCTCCTTGCTCTTCGGCTCGGGGAATTCGGTCGTCGACGACTGCGAGAGGTGGAATGTCGCGCGCCGCAAATCTATGTAAAACGACTGTGACAAGTCAGTATCGGGGTCTGAACGGGGTGTGCGTCGGCGGCGCACGCCACGGGGGGGGGACGCACAAACGCCGGGGTTGTGGGCCGGCGACCCTGCTGTGCCCCGCACGTGCAGTGTGATTCGCCGGAGCACACCGCGCAATGGGCGTCCCAGCCACCCGAGCGTCGAGAGCGGCTGCCCCCGCGCGCTGTGCTTCGGCGAAGCACGTTGGGTGGATGGCAGTGGGGTCACGTGGGTAAAGTGGCCCCCCAGGCGGTGTGAGCCGCCGACGCACAAGATGTGGACGGAAGTGAAGTGCATACCTTGTCGCTCGCGGACGTGTGGCTCGTGCCCACGGCTGCGCGCGTTGTGCCCGCCAGCTCGGCCATCATCTCCTGCTCGTACTTCGCCAGCCGCAGCATGAGCTGGATCCTGTGTGCAGGGGGCAAGCCCTCGAAGTCCTGCCCCTTCTGGTGCATGGACTCGATGGTCCGCCGACAGACCTTGCCGAAGAACCGAGCGCGGAAGTCCGTCATGATACGCACCGTCTCCACCACGCTTTGCGAGCACATATATCAGCGGACTTTCACGTTATTAACGGTACAGCCGAGATGCATTTCCGCCGTCATTAACGGAAACCCGATGTCGGCCGACGGAATGAGTCTGGAGGTTGCAAACCCACCGGCCGGTGCCGGAGGTGCCCTTTTTTTAGTGGACCGGCCGGTCTTGTTTTGAACGGATCGGCCGACAATGGGGAGCACCCAGAGGTGTCACTAACAAGGGGCCTGTGTTCACCCATATGCTTATAAACAAACCGGCCGGTGATTGCACATATGGTTGTAAATGGACCGGCCGGAGATTGGCAACCACATTTATAACACTCCAGCCAGATTTCATCCCTGTGTTTGGAAATGGTCCGGCCGGAATGCATCCCTATGGTTTCAAATGGTCCGGCCGAAGGTCATATACCTTTGTTTATGATGTACCGGCCGAAGGTAATATATCTAAATTAATAACACACCGGCCAGAGGTGATATACCTACATTGAGAAAGAACCGGCCGGTCATAATGTACCCACACACAAAACAAACCGGCCGGCCATGACATAGTTTCACTACACATTGACCGGCCAGGCATAGCATGCCTATATTAGAAATGAACCGGCCGGTCATATGGAGCCTGAATATCAATTGCTCCCACCATCCTGGAAACATATTCATTGATGCACTGAGTTTTCTGGACCATTAATGCACTGGACCCAGGTTTTTTGGGCTTTGAATACATTTTTAGCATCCCCATAGATGCTCCCAATTTTCCAGGCACATGCAAACCATTCCAGAGCTTTAGAATCATCAAAATTGAGCTTTCTGGGCTGAAAATAGACCAAAACCAGCCTTTCTGGGCTGGAAATGCATCAGAACACATTTATTGAGCTCCCAATCCACATTTACAACAGCTCTGAGCCTTATACACCAGGTCCGAGTATTTTACACAATTGCCGAGATTCCACAAAGTCCCGGCGCCGAGGGTGCACCAAGTCTCGGCGCCGCAGGTGCACCAAGCCTCGGCGCCGCACATTCGGCGCCGCACCAAGCTTCGGCGCCGCACTAATTAAGCGCCGAGAAACATCGCTCGGCGCCGAGGGGTGCACTTGCTTCGGCGCCGAGACTTGGTGCATCTGCGGCGCCGAGGCTTGGTGCATCTGCGGCGCCGGGACTTGGTACTACCTCGGCGCCGAGTTGTGCTAAAACTGAGGAATAATGGTGTTTCTAACAATGATCACAAAAAGATTACTGATGTTTGTTACACCAATGACCTTTTGTAGCTCATCTTATAGGGAATGTTAGGTTCATTAGGAAATCTCCTAATGACACTACAAAGGTTTGTATGTGGTTACTTATAAAAAGTGATGTTTGTGTCTCATTGTGTAGGGAATGGTCTGTTGATAAGTAAATCTTCTATTGACACTTCAAGGATTCTCAACGGTTAGGCCGGTACAGCTGCTTTTCTTGTCTGGCTGGTAAGTAAACTTACTGATGACACTACAGTATGTTGTATTCAATTTGTACATTTGTAGCTCATCTTATAGGAAATATTAGGTTCATTAGTAAATCTTCTAATGACATCACAAGGGTTTGTATGTGGTTACTTATAAAAAGTGAGGTTTATATCTCATTGTGTAGGGAATAGTCTATTGATAAGTAAATCTTCTATTGACACTTCAAGGATTTTCAATGCTTAGGCCAGTACAGCAGCTTTTCTTGTTCAGCCAGTAAGTAAGCTTATTGATAGCACTACACATATTTGTATCTCATCTTGTGGGGAACATTAGGTTGATAAGCAACTATTATGATGAGACTACAAGGATGTGTACATCTCATGCTGTTGTTATTGTACAGTAGACAGAACACTACATTACAAATGTGTAGTACTATGACAACTTCTGGCTGATCTAGCGCCCACACTAAAGTTGGTAGCACTTACAGCTTGGAAGATTAAGCTATGAGATTTGGCATATGTGCTGCTGGCTGTATGAACATACATTATAGCCACTAACCTAATGTGGGCAAAGAATACTGCCATGGTGAGGAGAGTAAGAAGGGAGCAGGGACATGCACAATTAGTGATATGTCTCTGAAGTGATAAGTTGTTGCCTTTATGTACAACGTTCGTGCCAACATGTGTCCAGATGAACAAGTACATTCATCAAGTCATGTATGGATGGGTTGCTGATACATGTTTCATTTATCCTCATACATTCTGCTATGATCATGATGGCCACACCCTACATATATATCTATATGTAGAAACCAATCCCAGATGAATATGAGACATTCTATAGAATTAACACATGTGGTCCTAGGTACATTGCTCTGCTACAGCCTACATTTGGAACTCACTGACTTTTCTGTAAATGCTAGACAGTTCAACCTTGATGCAGGGTTGTAACTATGATGTATTCTTTTGTGATAATCAACCTCTTGTTCCTACAGTGTTCCTTTGTCTTAATTTCATTATGTACTAATTAAATACAACACACTGTAGTGTCATTAGTGAGTTTACTTACCAGCCAGACAAGAAAAGCAGCTGTACCGGCCTAACCGTTGAGAATCCTTGAAGTGTCAATAGAAGATTTACTTATCAACAGACCATTCCCTACACAATGAGACACAAACATCACTTTTTATAAGTAACCACATACAAACCTTTGTAGTGTCATTAGGAGATTTCCTAATGAACCTAACATTCCCTATAAGATGAGCTACAAAAGGTCATTGGTGTAACAAACATCAGTAATCTTTTTGTGATCATTGTTAGAAACACCATTATTCCTCAGTTTTAGCACAACTCGGCGCCGAGGTAGTACCAAGTCCCGGCGCCGCAGATGCACCAAGCCTCGGCGCCGCAGATGCACCAAGTCTCGGCGCCGAAGCAAGTGCACCCCTCGGCGCCGAGCGATGTTTCTCGGCGCTTAATTAGTGCGGCGCCGAAGCTTGGTGCGGCGCCGAATGTGCGGCGCCGAGGCTTGGTGCACCTGCGGCGCCGAGACTTGGTGCACCCTCGGCGCCGGGACTTTGTGGAATCTCGGCAATTGTGTAAAATACTCGGACCTGGTGTATAAGGCTCAGAGCTGTTGTAAATGTGGATTGGGAGCTCAATAAATGTGTTCTGATGCATTTCCAGCCCAGAAAGGCTGGTTTTGGTCTATTTTCAGCCCAGAAAGCTCAATTTTGATGATTCTAAAGCTCTGGAATGGTTTGCATGTGCCTGGAAAATTGGGAGCATCTATGGGGATGCTAAAAATGTATTCAAAGCCCAAAAAACCTGGGTCCAGTGCATTAATGGTCCAGAAAACTCAGTGCATCAATGAATATGTTTCCAGGATGGTGGGAGCAATTGATATTCAGGCTCCATATGACCGGCCGGTTCATTTCTAATATAGGCATGCTATGCCTGGCCGGTCAATGTGTAGTGAAACTATGTCATGGCCGGCCGGTTTGTTTTGTGTGTGGGTACATTATGACCGGCCGGTTCTTTCTCAATGTAGGTATATCACCTCTGGCCGGTGTGTTATTAATTTAGATATATTACCTTCGGCCGGTACATCATAAACAAAGGTATATGACCTTCGGCCGGACCATTTGAAACCATAGGGATGCATTCCGGCCGGACCATTTCCAAACACAGGGATGAAATCTGGCTGGAGTGTTATAAATGTGGTTGCCAATCTCCGGCCGGTCCATTTACAACCATATGTGCAATCACCGGCCGGTTTGTTTATAAGCATATGGGTGAACACAGGCCCCTTGTTAGTGACACCTCTGGGTGCTCCCCATTGTCGGCCGATCCGTTCAAAACAAGACCGGCCGGTCCGCTAAAAAAGGGCACCTCCGGCACTGGCCGGTGGGTTTGCAACCTCCAGACTCATTCCGTCGGCCGACGTCGGGTTTCCGTTAATGACGGCGGAAATGCATCTCGGCTGTACCGTTAATAACGTGAAAGTCCGCTGAATAGGCTCTTGCGAGACACTCTCCGCATTACCTTGACCTTTCGGCTCCTGCGATGCGGCCTTCGCGGCCTTCTTGCCTTTGCCCTTCTTGCCGACCTTGTCGGCGTCCTTCCGGTTCTTCCGGTCTTGCGAGGCGGCGCGCCCCAGAGATTTGCGGAACTCGTCGAGGACGGCGAAGTGATCGTCGCTGAACTTGTCGACGCCCAACAGCCGGCCGAGGGACGCGAGATCCTGTGTGAAATGGTTAGGGGTGTTGGCTAGCACGCGGGCGGAACGCACCAAGGCGTTGGTGATGGTCGGGGTGGCCGTCATGCCAATCATCCCGCCGGCCTGCTCGCGGAGGCCGCGCACCGCGACGAAGAGCTGATTGACGCGCCGCATGGTGTGGACCTCGTCGCAGATCATCAGACTCCAATGGCGATTGTACACCGTTGGGGCTTTGGCCTTTGCCAGCGTCGCTGCCTTCCGCTGCCGGCGCGTGCCCAGATTCCACGGCCTGTCCGTCAGCTTTGTGAACAGCTCCGCGCCGTCCTTCTCGACCGCCTAGGAGCAAAGTCAGCTGGGACAACCAGAACTCAGCCGACGTACCGGGTTGGTTGCGACAATGATTTGACGTTCGGGGGGCTGCGCGAAGTTGTCGACCGCCTCCCAGAACGCCGCGCCCTTCGCGCCGCGCACCGAAGATGTGTATGAGATGAGGTCGAAGGTTTTCGGGCGGACGTAGCGGTGGATCTCGGAGACGACTTGGCGCTCGAGCGCGACGGGGACAACGATGAGAGTGGGTTCAGAGGGGGTGTTGCCCTCGCGATGGTACTTGATGTTTGCTATGAAGACGGTGGTGAGTACATGTCAGACTAGCCGCAGGACGTACGTACCGAATTTGCCCGGGAAGTGGCCGTGCTGCGCGTAGTGGGCATGGAAGAAAGCGAGGCAGCAGACGACGCCGACCACTTGCATGGTCTTGCCGACCCCGACGCCGTCCATGAGGAGGGTGGGGTCGCCGCGCAGGTAGTTGTCGAGCATCTTGACGACGCCGATCAACTGATGCCAGTGGGGGCGGAGCGGGACGGCGTCCGTCGCGGTCATGGCCTCGATGCCCTTGGGGGACCAGGGATCGTGGACGCCGGTCGCGGCCTCCGCGGTGTTGAAAAACGGGATCGTCTTCTCCTTGGCGCGACCCAGCATCGCCCAGAGCTCGTCCTCGGAGAAGCCCTCGTACTCCTCGACGCCGGTCCCCCAGTCCATCTCGGGCGCATCGGCGCCGTCGACGTTTATCTCGATGGGGTCGGCGACCTCATCGCTGAGGATAAGGTCGAGCTCGGTGGTGAGCGCGCGCACTTCCTCCTCGTTCGCGAGCAGGCGGATCGCCTCGAACACCTGCTTGGGGAGCCCTTGATACGCGTCAAATATGCGCTGCAGCACGAGGCGCGGCGGGACTTACCGGGCACGTTCACCGTCGTGTCCTCCATTTGCGTCCTGAGGTCGGCGACGCGTTGGAGCTGCCGCTCGAACGCCTGGCAGACGACGCCGTTGTCGAATTTCCGCGAGATGGCGATTTTGTTCTCCATCCGCTTGACGTACGCCTTGATGCTCCGAGAGGTCGGGTTCTTGATAACGGCTGCAAACGAGTGAGGGACGTTTGGATGGGCGTACACTATGCTTACCTTCCCACTTCTGGTCGAGCTCGGCGGCCTCCTTCTCGAGTTGGCCGATCTCGCGCTTGATGCGCGTCGCCTCGCCGTGCCAGACCCAGGCCGTCATGCGCCCGATGACCTGCGGCGCCCACATGACGAGGAGGTTCGAGTTCTCCAGCGCAACGGCGTCACCGAAGAGTTCGCGCGCGATGTTGGTGTACTGGGAGTTGACCTGGCATTGCTCCATGCTAGGCAGCTGGGAATGGAGGTGAGTCAGCGTGCTTGTGCAGCGATGAGAAGGACGTGCCTTCTGCGCCTTGTTGAGCTGCATGACCCGATATGGGCCCATCCCGTTCTCCTCGAGGACGCCGATGAACCGCACACGCACATTCCACACGCCGAGTCGCGCCTTGAACCACCGGAGGACGGCGTCGCGACCATTGTTGTACTGATCCTTCTGCCGCAGGAATTCTTGCTTCGTCATATCACCTTGTACCGCTCGGTATTTCGCGAGGAACGTGCGGACCGCCTTGAGCAACCGCTGGTCGTTCTCCAGCCACGCCTCTTCGGGGTCGGCCTCGTCCCAGGGCACGGTGTCCAACCCGGTGAGCTCGTTCCAGCAGCCGTCCTCGACGAAGGTGTCGATGGTGGCGGCGACGTCGAAGAGAGTTTCGTGGAGTTTCCAGACGGGCATGGTGAGCGCCAGACAGAGAGGGGAGAGAAGAAGTGGGGAAATGATGTGATGTCCTCGTATATATATGCCTTTGGGGCGCCGAGCCCTGAATCCATATCTGGATAGCGTCGAGCCGCAAACGTAGTGCCATCACCACGGGGCGCCGCGCATGCTACAACGTCGCCTAGAAGCGTAGGATGGACGTACACCAGGAATGCACACTACTTCATTGGGATACGCCGCGCCGCGGAGGCACCTTCCCGTGACGATTCCGCTCGCTAACCCGATTAGGATTGACAGCGGTGCGCGCGGGAGGCAATCAGGACGATCTTAGCACCTATTCACGGATCGGGGCCCGGACCGGGACCGATCGATGGGGGCTATACACGAGGTGTGCGTCGCTGGCGCACACGGCGCGGGGGGCAGCCATTTCCACGTGACCGGTCCGCCCTGCCCCCCGCCCCGCCGTGTGCGTCGCCGGCGCACGGCGCGTGGGGGGCGGGGGTGCGTCACGTGACTCAACTCCTGCCCACGCGGCGTGCCTCACCGGCGCACAAAATGAGCATAGGCTGGTGCTGCGCCCGGGTGCGCTGGGTCGACGGAGTGCCCCGCGCGGTGTGCGCCAGCGAAGCACACACCTCGCCTGGATATGCTCACGAATGATTGTGGTTCCTCATGCATTGTGACGCTGTGTAAAGCTGGTTGTATTTCCAAACAGGGACATCTACACCGCCTACTCGCATCTGTCCCTGTCCTACATTCGATGTAATGCATGCACCCTAAACTATCAGAACCCCGTTGGTTGAATGATCAACCCTTGGAAGTTCACACTGGGGGATCTAGATGGCGCAGGCTGAGGCTCTATGATCAATCCACCGAAGTTGACGGTGGAGGAGGACCGACGCGCAGATGACCTCGGTAGGGACTGCCGAGGCTGCGATTGGCGTGGCTGCGATTGGCGTGGCTGCGATTGGCGTGGCTGCGATTGGCGTGGCTGCGATACCCGAGGCTGCGGGGGGTCCGAGTATCGAGGCACGGAGAACCGGGGCACGGAGTGGCGGGGCTCGGAGCGCCGGGGCTCGGAGTGCCGGGGCTCGGAATGCCTCGGCTGGGGGGGGTCAGGCTGCCGGGGCTCGGACCGCCTTGGGTGCAAGGGAGGTGGGGGGGGGCGCTGCCGCAGCCGGAGCTGTTGCTCGTCCTCGTCCTCGGCCTCCTCCTCCTCTTGACGGTCCGCGACCCGACGATCAACGACCATCTCTTCATCCTCTCCCGCGTCCGGCGGTGCATCGTCAATCTCGATGTCGTTCGTCTCGTCACACTCGGGTCGAATGCTGTACTTGATGTCTCTGTTGTGTAGGAGCGGATTCAGTGCGATCAAGGGCGCGGGACCGTCGGAATCGCGCGGGATGCGGATTGCTGTGCTGTGCCCGGTCTGCCTCGTGCTCCACATCCTCTCGGATTCCGGAAAAGGCAGCCAGAGCAGCGTCTCGAACAACGTGCGGAGCGCGTTCCGGATTCTCACCTGGTCATGCGAGTTGTACTCCCGCATCATCCCGCCGTAGAGGCCCCAGTATACGCAGTTGGTGTAGTTCTGTACGGGGTGCGTGATGACGGTCCCGAGCAACGGAAAGAAGCGGTCAAACATCTGGCCACTCCAAATAGTGGGCGTCACCACCATTAGCCGGGCCCTCCGCAACGGCAGGGCCGGCGACTGAAATAGTCCGTCCGGCGTGTTGGCGACCTCGAGGTGCGTCACGGTAAGATAGCTGGCGAGGACTGTGTCAACCGGATTGGGCGCTTTAAGGAGCAGGTCGTGCTTGAACTGCTCCCATAATCCGTTCACTTGTTGGTCTGCGCGCTCTTCTGGTTCGTCGTCGTCTCGTGCCCGACGCGCGCCGCGTCGCGCGAGGCCATTTGCGACAGGCTGCACCCCACCAGCATTAAGCCCAAGGTTACGCTCGGGTATGGCGATGGTCCGCTGCTCGGCGCTCGAGTTGGTCATGACCTGCCGATTCGACCTCCGGTTTGGGTTCGGTCTCCTGCGCTGAACCACGATGCTGTGGACACCAAACTTCGCAGCGAGAGACACCATGTCGGCACAGGTGTACATCGCCGCGAGGTTCCTGGCGTCCAACGTGCGTCGACTGTCCAAGGTTAAGAGTCCATTCCTAGACTCCAACGTCGCCAGGAAGTAAAGTCCTAGGCTCCCGTCCACCGGCTTCATGTTGTCACTCTCGAGCTGGTCGTCATCGAGCTCCTGGTCGCTCGCCGTTGCGTCGTGCTCAAAGGCCGCGGACATCTCCTCCAGCTCCGGGTATGGGCTCGTAGTGTTGGTCCGGTACAAGACCGAGTTGAGGATATGCGTGATCATCACCCCAAGCTGCAGGCTCCCGGGAGTAATGCGCAGTTCGGGTGATGCACGGTTCAGGTTCTCGAGGACGGCGTAACACGTGAAGACGCGCCAGTACTTGAAGCTCCTGATATAGCCAGTCATTAGTCAATGGAAGATGCAACGCACAAAGCACTGCTTACCACCAACGACGTGCAGGGATGCTGACACATGCTTTGGTAAGCATTTCATATGGCACGTCACGCAAGGCCGCGCCACACTTGTTAGCTGCCACTCGGACTTCGTACCGTGCAGACGCGGGTTGTGCCGGGTGGCCTGTTCCTCCCGAATTGTCAAATAGCACCTCCGTCCATTTATTGATGCGGTCCAGGAGGCCTCCCATATTGCCGGGGAGCAGCTCGCTGGGGGTCACCTTCCGCCATTGTCCGACATGGAGCTGGTAGTGCATCTCCTTCTCCGTGCAGTAGACGTTCACGTACTTGACGCCGTCCGCGCGGCCGATGATGGTGGTAGGCACTCGGAAGCCGGAAATGTCACTCAGCTGGACACAGGCATCGCGCAGGAAGTTCCTGTTTGCGATGAGGCTAGTGATCCCTGCCGCCGACGCATGGGGCATGGCATGCTGCAGGATTTCGGCATGGAACTCGTCCTTCCAATGGACCACGTGACCTGGATGCTCGACCTCAATTGCCACATCTACGTACCAACGGTGGGCAAGGTCGGCATTAGAGATCTTGGTGAAGTCGAGATGCTTGAAGGTTTCTTTGAGAACCCTCTTTGCGTCGTCGTTATCGTGGGGATTGTGATGTGTTCCGCCTTTGGCCCCTCGCACCTCGTGGTAGAAGAAGGCGTTGCGGAACTCACGGATCCCTTCCATGCGTGCCTTCATCTTCCGGACGAACCTGCCGATCTCCAGGGCGCTAAGTTCTACGTTCTTGAAGTGATACTGGCCGTGGCGATCGCGCGCCTGCATTTCCGCGCTCCCGTACGAGCCTGGCCAATGGCTGATATGCGGGTGATTGATGTCGCGCAGGCTGGGAAGCACTATCTGCTCGTAGAATTCCACTAGCCGGTCGTGCGAGATCGCTGGTGAGAGGTGCGGACTCCACATTTCCGGGAACATGATGTTCGTTTTTGCATGTATGCCGACCTTGGCGAACGCCATGTTGGGGATCCTCGACAATTCTATGGCCTTGGTTTCCTATATGGCGATTTCAGCATGAGACAGCGCACGGACTTTGGATTTGACTCACTCCACCCCAAACAATTGGCCATGTCAGGTGCACCGGTGCCTTCAAAGTATCGCGGAACGGTGAGAGCGGCCACACGTGCAGATTCACGTTGTATGGCAAATCCCGCGTGGCACCAAACATTGAATCGATGTCGCGGACGACCGCGTAATGGTCCACATCTGGCACATCATCCCACTCGTCCACCGGCTCGGGCATCTCATGCCCGTCACGAGCATTTACCCGGATACGGCGCTCCGCCCTTCGGTTCGTGTCGTAAAACCGACCGCACAACCCCACCAAGCCGATCTCCAAATCTAAACGCTCCGCCGCGCTCTGCCTGTCCGTCCACGTCCTCTTGACCGCCGCATTGTACGCGCCCAAGCTCATGTGGCTGTGTCGAAGGTGGGCATCAGGGTGGTTCGCAGGTTGCCAGTTCATATTGAGTGTAGTCAGGGAGCGTCAGGGAAAGCAGTGGGGATGGGGAATTGCTGCGCTCTCTGGGGTTTATATATCTTTTGTTGGCACCACTGCCAAGGCTGCAATGTCATGACATCTGAGACATGCACTCGCTACTGTGCTGGCAAATATATATTAGACACGCTACGCGACCCGGCCCCACCCTTGGCGTGGCCTGAAACCCTGGCGCCGTCATGAATGATCCCCAGGCCCCACTGTCGCGGGTCATTAGGGGTCCGCCGCACTAACCTGTTTGTGGCCGTCTCCGCTTTCCAATTTTCCCCAAATAAGAGAGGTCCGTTGGGAAATACCTGTGCTGTGCGTCGGCGGTGCACACCGCGCAGTGGGCTGTTATGTTTCCCGCGGGGGCCCCCCTCTGCCGATGCCTCGTGTGTGCGCCACCGACTCACGCCGCGCGGTGGTCCTGCGCATGGTGCTAGCCACCGCGCGACAGCCTCACGCTCGGCGGTGAGCGATGGCGGCGCACACAGCGCGTTGAGCTTCGGGGGCGCACACCGCGCGTTGAGCTTCGGGGGCGCACACCGCGCGTTGAGCTTCGGGGGCGCACACCGCGCGTTGAGCTTCGGGAGCGCACACCGCGCGTTGAGCTTCGGGAGCGCACACCGCGCGTTGAGCTTCGGGGGCGCACACCGCGCGTTGAGCTCTGTCGGCGCACACCGCGCCATGTCCTCCGGCTGCCCGAAGTGCGTGGTGTGCTTCGGCGGCGCACACCGCGCGGCTGCCCCCCGTGTAACCAAGTCTTACCGCCCGCTGCGCTCCCCTCGCCGTGTGCCCTCCCAGTTTCACCGGGGTGCGGTGCCGGGACGCATTGGGCCATCTTGACCCAAATGTTTCCTACTTAAATGTACCTTGTAGACAAACCTTAATTTATGTTGGCGAACCGTGCAATCCCAAACCACACCAGACGACATAAGGTTGCCAAGTCACCGATGCATGATACAAGTTTGAGCATTTGCATCAGCAGAATCAACAAACCCTCTTTATTGCACTTGTACTGCTTATCAATAATCATCAACATTTTCGGATGTAATGACCATCATTCAGTGGCTAAGGTTTGTGCTGTTTTAAACCCTAACCCTAATATTCCCCTTTGGGCCATCTTAAACCAGCCACTGTTCCATGGTTTCTCACAGTATGTATCTGCCTTCATCAACACTTGGCTTGTTGCTGTGACTATTAGTAGAGCCCCAGACTGAAGTTGGTGTTATAGAACTTAGCCCCAAGCTGCAGCAGTGCTAACAAATAGAGGGATGAGACTCAGCAATCACTATGAAGGACATCCTCACAGACCTGTGATTCACATTCCTTTAGTTGCAAGATTCTGGATTGCAAGCATCAATAGATGCATACAAGTAGGGATCTACTACTTGCCTTACTTAGATTCTTCACTGCATTGTCAGGGGCAGGAGCCAAGGGAAGCTTGACCTCAGTGAACTGTGCAATGCCATGCAGATACAGAGTCTGAACTTGTGCAGCTCTCCAATACCTCATTCCTTTGGGACATGTTCCACCAGCTGCTCCTCAAACCCTATCTACCACTCTTGGCACTTCTGTGTATCCTTATGCCTTTGTGAAGACCCCGTCTTAGTTTCCACCTCCTGACATACCCACTGTTGTACGCACAGCAGACAAGTATTTGGTACATGTTAAAATCCATTTGACTCCTCCACTTTTAGGACACGTGGCACTATCTAGGTGCACACAAGCTACTGTTTGTGTTGCTTAAGGACAAACTTCATGGCTAACCTACCACAGAGGATATGGCACTATTTCTTGCAAGACTTGATTACCATCTTGACACAATGCTTGAGCTTGGATGGCAGCACCGGACATGTGTCAGGAAGGAGACTGAGCTTGAAGCTAAAGCCCAGTGATGGTGCAAGTTACATTGAGCATTTGCTACAGGAAGCCATTCAGCAAACAGGCCCACTGAAGAAGCAGTCTGTTGCATGGTGGGCTGATTTAACTAGCTGAGTTGAAGTACCATGGCAGTATCTGAAGCTGAAGATTATTTTAGGGCTGGTGCTGTGTATGGAGCAGAGCTCAGCAACTAAGCAGATGTTGTGGTAACAACAAAGAGCCACTATGATGGCCAACCACTGAATCAACATCTAGCCAGTATGACTGGTGGGAGTGAGTCCTTTCACTTGTATCCCTGTAGGAACTGCTGACATCAAGGAATGAGTAGGCGACTATGATGACGGACACACATTGGAGGTCTTCTGGGACCCATCTGTGGTCTCCCCATTCACCAATGCAAACCCACAATATGCCCAAGAACCTAAGCAAGTCAAGGCTGAGCATCAAGGCTGTGCTCAGCAGAAACCCTGAGACAGTCCCACAATTTGTAGACAGGACCTCATGTTGCAGCAAGGCTGACAAACTTGCTGAGATGCAGAAGTACCTCCTTGGATCATTGCAAAATGTCTCCAGGGTTGGTACCTACTCCAACTGGTGGTTAGCCTCAGTGTACAAGAATGGCTACTCACATCCAGATACCATCTTCCTTGCATACATGTAAGTCTATCAATCCTAAGGACTACTCTCATACCTGACTCAATGAGGCTCACAGGTTCACCAATGTCCTGGATGGAGCTAAGACAGGCATCACTGTCTCAAGCAAGGTCTTTGAGGAGCACAGGAAAGCGTTCAGTTCTCTTCCACTGGACCCTCAGCCAGAGACCATCAAGGGGCAGGAACGAGTACTACAACAACGATGAAATCCCTGCCAAACGAAATCCAGAACTCCCACCATTCACCCTAGAGCTCCTCCACTGTAAGCTCACACCACCTGCTGCCCCACCTGCTGCCCCACCTGCTGCCGAAGCTGCTGCCGAAGCTGCTGCCGAAGCTGCTGCCGAAGCTGCTGCCGAAGCTGCTGCCGAAGCTGCTGCTGAAGCTGCTGCCCCACCTGCTGCCCAAGCTGCTGCCCAAGCTGCTGCCTTGTTGTCCTGGACTGTTGACTGGCAGGAGGCGGCTTGTGTCCTGTTGCTGAGGCTTGCTTGCAATGTTGTGAAGTCCCGGCAGCGGCCTTGCTGGCAGGTTTAAGCAGAGCTGCTTGAAATTTCATGATGTCTCCGCCCTGGCACTAGCTCCAGCCCTCTACAGAAATGTTGGGATTGCTGAATCTGTCACCACACAGAGGCTTGTCAGGGAGGCTGCTGAGATTCATACATACTACTCTCTCAACAGCTGTTCCTACGAGAGTTAGCAACACAGCACTTGGACTTGACCCAGTACTTTTCAAATCAATGTCCCTGTGCAATAGACAGGGTCATGCAAGAGGTGAGGCAAGCTTAGGCCACTGCTGATGATATATACCCACCACATAGGTTAGAAAGCACCCAATCTTGCAATACTACGTTGATGGTTGGCCAGCCAACATCTACATACAGGATTGGGTCTCCTGGCAAGTTCTCCGGAACCGGTGGGATTGCCACCTTGGTGACATGCACAATGGCACTGGCAAAGCAAATGAGGTGAGACACAATTTCACAAATGTACTAAGTACCATCCTATCCTCATTGGCCATCCTAGCAGCCTCCAAGCCAGGGATCTCAACCGAGTCTGAGTTGGATCAGTACAGGTACTGCCCATGCCAAGGCCTATACCAGCTGTGATGTAGAGGAGGAGGGGAAGGATTAGGCCCTTCCAGAGAATCGTTGAGGAAAGCCTTGGCATGGTCCTGAACACAGCCCTTGGACATCATCATCCAGACTGAGTGCTGTCCAGAAAACAAGGAGCATGTGTGGGCCTATGAGGTCAAGTCACTGCTTAGTCCACATATGCCTTGGGGTGGGAGCACTGGGGAAGGATTAGGCCCTTCCAGAGAATCGTTGAGGAAAGCCTTGGCATGGTCCTGAACACAGCCCTTGGACATCATCATCCAGACTGAGTGCTGTCCAGAAAACAAGGCGCATGTGTGGGCCTATGAGGTCAAGTCACTGCTTAGTCCACATATGCCAAGGGGGAGGGAGCAGTGCATGCCCCAGCACATTACCCCAGTGCTCCAGTGTAGATGCCAGCATTGAGGCTATTGACCCTGCAATCTTTGAGTAGTACTGATTCCGTGTGAGGATGGCTTAGGCCTGCTTCACTGACTGACTGTTAGCAGTCTATGTTGATCAGCCCCAGCAGGAGCTCTGGCTTCATGATGTTGTGGATTGTGTACATGAGGGCTGCTGGCAGTGGACAATCTGCATGTGGCACCTGTGGTAATATGAGTGTGAGGGGCTGTGGACTTCAATGCCTAGAGTCAGTGCAAGTAGGGCTTCAGCAGTATCAGCCACATCTGAGACCCAAAAAAACAGCTGCCACTGAAATCAGTAAATGGGCAATTGCACTATGGCAAATGGGTGTTCAGCCTTGAAAAGATAGAATAGTAACCCCAGCCATAAATGCCTCCATGAGCCATTATACCCCCTTCACCTAAGTCCAGGGGGGGTCAGCGTGCCCTCAGCTTGCCTTATATGGTAATTCCTTTTTGGGCCATTACCATATAAGGCAAGTGCTGACCTCGGGCCGCACCTGCATGTCTCAGGGGATCTTGCGCGGGCGCGCGAGATCCCCTGCGCACCTCTCAACACCAGTTATGTGGACTGCGTCAAGACCAACATCCAGTACTGAATGTCAGGGGTCTGTGCACTGGCGCGACATCCCCTGGGACATATGCCAGTCCCATGTGCCATGCACGCACCACGCACCATGTGTTAGGGGATCCTGCGCACCCACGCGAGATCCCCTAGAAAGGGTACGCGCGCACGACACATCCATGTACTCAAACATTGTACACATACAGTCTCCCAGGGGATACTGCGCACCCGCGCAAGATCCCCTAGAAAGGGTATGCATGTATGATACCCCCATGTACCCACACAGCGTACGCACATGGGCTCCCAGGGGATCCTGCGCACCTGCGCGAGATCCCCTGGAAAGGGTACGCGCGCACGACGCGTCCGTGTACTCAAACGTAGTACACACAGTCTCCCAGGGGATCTCGCGCGCGTGCGCGAGATCCCCTCAAGCACATGTCAGCATCGCGAACCATGCCTTAGGTTCCTCAAAGTAACCTATTGTCTCCGGTACTGCGCGCACCATGTAACAGGGGATCCCACCCTCCCGCGCAAGATCCCCTTGGAGGAGTACTGCGTTTTGTAGTATGCGCACATACATTATTGGGATTCACGCGAGCGCGCAGCATCACCTCACTTCCCAATGCTTGAGAACATAATGCACGCACATGGTCTCAGTGTGCATGCACATTGCAGCCGCAGCATCTGAGTGTAAGAGTTCGTGGGCTTGGAACCCTTGATTGGGGGGGCCGGGCTGCCCGTGAACTTGACGTTTGGTGGTCGCGGCGCGACCGGGGAGAATGTCGTGAGGTCTTGACGTCGTTAGCGAGGCGAGGAGCTCCCGCTATAGTCGTAGCCGGGCGAGGAGCCTAGCTGTTAGAGTTCGTGGGCCTGGAACCCTAGACTCGGGGGCCGGGCTGCCTGTGAACTCGACGCTTGGTGGTCGCGGCGCGACCGGGAAGGTGTCGTAGTGTTGTCGTGAGGTCGTGAGCGAGGCGAGGAGCTCCCGCTGGCGTCGTAGCAGGGCGAGGAGCGCTGCTATCGTCGTAGCAGGGCGAGGAGCCGCGCCTAGAGGTGAGTCCTAGAACTGGCGAGGAGCCAGGTCGAGGGGGAGTCCTAGGCGAGGCGAGGAGCTCAAGCCGAGAGGGGATGCTGAACGTACTCGGACGGCGCGGTGTCGCACACGGACGAGGTGGTGGTTCAGCAGTAAGAATAGATTACTTCCCAAAATGGAAGTCAAGTGGCTAGGTACATGGAGATAAGATGAGATGTACACTATCAGTTCATAATCTAATCTAATCAGTGGGCATAGTGATGCCCACCCATAACAGTGCCCCCCATTATGAAGTGTATAGTGTGAAGGTGAGGGGTCAGATTAGAGCGAATGAAAAGTATGAGTGAGCATAGAATAGAAGGTGAGAAAAGAGAATAGAAAAAAATTTTGGGCTCCGCCACGCGAGGCTGAGCTGTCCCGCAAGTACTGCATCCCGAGCATTCAGACTTGCCGTGCATCCGCCAAAGCATACAGGCTCTGTCGGTCAAGCCCTCGCAAGCTCGGCCAGGCTCCCCTGACCTCCCTCACCTGTAGCAGCTTTGCCATCTTCCCTAGGCAAGGCTGTGCTACTTCCTGCCTGTACTGCGTCCCTAGCTGTCATCCTCGCGGAGGATCTGCGCATCCCTCGGGCTAGGGTCGGCTAGGCCCTGGCATACCTGCCCCCCATACCCTATCCTCCCCTACCCCCAGCCCCCCAATCTCAAGTCGGAAGGAACCGAGTAAGGGAGTTTCGGCTCGAGATTCCAATGAGAAGGGTGGTGAGGATAGAGGAGAAAAGTCGAGGGTGGGTGGGCTGGGACAAGACAAGGGTACCACAGCTAGTGCCCCCCAGGGTTCAGACAAGGCGTGGAGCGAGGCGAGCACGGGCTCGAGCTTGCCAGATTTCGCGCCGTAGGGCAGCTTCCTCTTCTGCAATGGCCGCTGACTCGGGAGAGTCCTCCGTGACGAGGCGCGAACGCGCGCGGACCTGCCAAATCCTGCGCCTGAGTTCCTCATCTAACCCAGCTAAGTCTGGCTCCTCCTTGCAGGACGGAGGGATGGACGCGAGTGAGTCGGGCGGATGGCTAAGGCGCGGCGTAGACACAAGCACCGGTCTGCAAGACGAGGCAGACGAGGGGAGGCTACCGGGCGAGCGGTGATCTCGCACAGCCCGGCAGCCATCCCGTAAGTTGTCCGAGCTTGACGTCTTGCGTGCAGTCAAGAGACTGGGGCGAGAAGCGGCGGCCGGACGCGCAGTGTCGGGGGAGGCGCGAGCGTCGAAGGGTGCGACGGTGGGAGGGGCGTGCTTGCCAAGCGTGCCGACCACGTGCGGGAGCGGGGCTTGACACATTGGTGGACCATTGCGTTCGCGCGGTGCAGGTGCGGGTACGCCGGACGAGGGAGACGCGAGACGGCGGTGATCGTGCTCGACAGACGCGAGCGCAACCTGCTCGAAAGGGCGCGAGGGCGGCCGCGAGTCGGGCGAGTGACGAGGGAGCAACACAGAGGCGGATGCCGGCTTGCGAGGCGACGGGGGGTCAGACGCGTCGAGAATGAGCGCGTTCGCGCGAGCCGGTCCGTCTGCGTGCGTTGAACTGGCAGGTGAGGAGAGGCTACCAGGCGCGCGGTGATCTCGCGCAGCCCGGCAGCCATCTCGTCGTGGATCACCCGAGCTTGACATCTCGCAGGTGGTCGAGGGACCGGGGCGAGAAGCAGCAGCGGGACGCGCAGAGTCGGGGGAGGTTCGAACGTCGGAAGGAGCGCCGATGGGAGGGACGTGCGCACCGTGCGCGCCGTTCGCGTGCCAGTGCGGGGCTTGTCGCGCTGGCCGGTCGACACCTTGACGGGACGTGGGTGCGAGTGCACTGGACAAGGGCGGGGGAACCGAACGGTGGTGGGCACGCTCGACGGGTGAGAGGGTGTTGCACGAGAGGGAGTGCGCAGGCGCGGGCGTGTCCTCTCGTCCTCCCGTCGATTCAACCTCTCTCCCCTTGGCGGACGCGTGGGCGAGCCCCCCAGATGAGCGTATCGGGGAGCCCTCGGCTTGTTTGGCTGCCTGGGCTTCGCGCTCTTGGTGCCGGTGTACAAGGGCTCGCGCGCGCGATTGCGGCGAAAGAGCGCGAGAGGGCGGGTGCCAGGGCGTTGGCGCGGCGAGCGAGAGAGGGCGTGCGTGCGGAGTGGATGCAGGCGCCAGGCAGTAGGACGGGGACGAGATGGCGACCGGGCGGCGCGAGCGCAGAAGCGCGTCGGACGAGGACGGGGAGACCGGCCGGCGGGGGATGCACTCGGCGGGCGCGAGCGTATCGCCTTGGCGCGACGGGGGATGCGAGTCGGCAGGCGGGGCGCGCTCGCGGTGCGCCGGAGGAGCGGGCGACGGCGGAGGGCGGCGGGCGCGTTCGACGAGAACGTGTGGGTCGTGCGAGAGCGGACGCGCAGGACGGACGCGCTGAGAGGAAGGAGAGGGAGAGGGCCCAGAGGGCGCATGGGTACTGGTACTCACCTCGGCCGTTCCGTCTCGTACTCCCGCTGTCTCAACTCCTCTCCTCGTCGGGGATACACGGGCGGGCCCCCCAGACGAGCGCGTCGGGGCTGCTTGCGCGGCAGGCCATCGCTCCGCCGAGTATCTCGCTCGGTGAGCCCTCCAGGCTGCTGCGGCGGCTTGCGCCTCACGCTCGTGGTGTGCGCGCACGACAACGCGCCCGTGCGAGCGAGGCGAGAGGGTGCGGGCAGGTGGCTCCTCGTCCTTGGGACTTGAGCTGGCAACCTGGGCGACGCTTAGGTTAGGTTATGAGAGCATTTTGACCGTCCCTGGGGTGAACCTAGCGCCCGCGGAACCCTATAGGCGCCGGGATAAACCCTATAGACGCCCAAATTTAAACGGGCTGCACCAGGTACGGCTTTGGGGAGGCGGAGAGCAGGTGGGAGGGGTGGGTCCCGACATGAGCAATGAGTGCGCGGTACGTGTGTGGGCCCGCAGTACGCGGGGCGTGCTTCGCCGGTGCGCAGCGCGTGGGGGGGGCGTGGGTGGCCACGCGTGGCTGTGTACCGGCGGCGCACGGCGACAGGGTGGGCGACGCAGCGGCTGGGGCGCGGGGTGGGCGGCGGCGGCACGCGTGGCCGTGTGTGCGGGTGGCAGCAGGCGCTCGCAGGGCCGCAAAGCGCGAGTGTGCGTCGGCGACGCGCAGCGCGTGCGGCCCTGCGCGCCAGCGGAGCCACCTGCACGCTGCCGGCCGCGCGGGATGCCGAGGCCCACCCCACGCCCCAGCCGCTGTATCGCCCGCCCTGTCGCCGTGCGCCGCCGGTACACAGCCACGCGTGGCCACCCACGCCCCCCCCACGCGCTGCGCACCGGCGAAGCACGCCCCGCGTACTGCGGGCCCACACACGGACCGCGCACTCATTGCTCATGTCGGGACCCACCCCTCCCACCTGCTGAGGTTCATGTGTCGCAGTCGATCGTGAACAGCAGGTCATTAAATTGTCATACAAGCAGATGCGGTAGATACAAGATTGACAGGGCGTGACATTCATCCCGGCGACCACGGACACGATCAGAACTTCTTCCTGCGTTCACGCGTCCTCTTCGCGCTGCCCGTCGGGAGCTCGTCGTCACCAGCGCCGAGACGGTCGGTCGGGACGTAGGTGCTGGGCGTACCGCGACGGGGACGACCGGCCGAAGCGGGCGACGCAGCCTTGCGCTTGCCCTTCCGCTGAGCAATCGGGATGTTCGATTCGCTCGGGGCGTCGGCTACGCAACCAAATGAGTAACGTGGCAATGGAGAACGGGACCACTTACACAAAGGCGAAGTGTCGCGCCGCGGTTCCTCCTCGAGCTCGGAGATGTCCATCATGCGGGCGTCCTCGTGAGACATGTCGAGGTCCGAAGCGTGGCTGTCGACCATTTCGACGTCCGGCGTAGGGTCCACAGGCGGCGCGGCAGCAGCGTTGAGCGCAGAGGTGGGGATGGCGGGGGTCGCGGCGGGAGCACTGGAGCTCAGCGAAGCGTCGGTGAACTTCTGCGTGAGCGCGAAGGGATCCGCGGGAAGGAGTTGCGAGGGCGGGGTGTGCGATTCCGACTGACGCCACCGAGACGGGGTGCTCGGTCCTCCCTGCCGGGGAGTTGTAGATTGTGGACGTGTAGATTGCGGCAGGGGGGTGGAGGGACGGTCGGCGGACGGCGGAGTGGTAGGCGGCGGAAGGAGGGGCGCGCGAGGCTCAGCAAGCGACGGCGGGGTCGTAGGCGGCGGTGGGAGGGACGCGCGAGGCTCAGCAGGCGACGGCGGGGTAGTAGGCGGCGGCGGGAGGGACGCGCGAGGCTGAGCAGGCGGCGGAGTCACGGGCCGCGGCGGGGGAGTGGCCGACGCATGAGACGTCGAGGTCTTGTCCTCCTCAGACTCCGGCTCGGGCGTCGTCGTTGAGGGGGTGACTGCCTTGGCCTTTGCGCCCCTCCTGCGTGGCTGGGGCCTCTTCGTGGTCGGCTTGCCGCCCTTCTTCGGAGGGTCGACGCCGTCGCCCTTCTCCGAAGGTTCGGCCTCGTCGTCGCTGATAAAGATGGCGGGCGTCTTCGCCGCCTTCTTCTGCTTCCTCTTGCGCGGGGTGAGGGCCTGCTCGACCTCAACGCTGCTGGCAGTGGTGCCGTCGTCGTCCTCCTCAGGGTCCGCGGGCAACTCGACGTCAGCGTCACCGATGAGGTGAGCGATCTTGTTGCCGAGGAGCAACATGACGACGCGCTCTGTGAAAGCGTTCAGTACGAGATACTAGACTGGGAATGGGGAACTTACTGAGCTCGAAGTCCGCCTCCATGAAGGCCTGGTGCATGACGCCCTTGTCGAACGCGATGGTGTTCAGCAAGACGTCGACGCTGGCGAGTGTGATCAGATAGTAGATCAACACGTCGGACTTCTGGCCGAAGCGAAGGATGCGGCCGATGGCCTGCTCGTCCTCCTGCGCAGACCACGTCGTATCCTGGCGCAAAGTCAATGCACGGATGGTGAATAACGGCATAGCACTTACCACGAAGATCATTATGTTGGCCCACGCAAGGTTGAGCCCGGTGGCGCCGACCGACGACATGACGAGGACCGTAGGGCCGTCCGCGCCCGCCTTGCGGAAGTCCTCGACGACGCGCTCGCGCTGCGCCGCGCTGAGCTTCCCGTTCAAGAACACCGCCTTGATGCCGTAGAAGTCGAAGACCTGAAATTGCAAATGTGAGTTGTGCAGTGGATGGTAAGAAACTTACTCACCTTGCGCAACAGGTTGTTGTTGGACGGGAAGTACGAGAAGACGATCATTTTGTCCGGCCCCGAGCCGTGGTGAGTGGAATAGCCCTTGAAGTCAGGGTCTGGGTACAGCTTGTTGGACTCGGGAAACGGGGGCAGGTCGCTGAGGGGAACACCGCGCAGCTCCGTCTTGATGTTGAGAGGCGGGGCCTTGGGCGTGCGGTGGTGGTGGATGATGTCGACGAGGGCGGCGAGCTTGGCGGTCGGCATCTGCTCGAATTCCTCCTTGCTCTTCGGCTCGGGGAATTCGGTCGTCGACGACTGCGAGAGGTGGAATGTCGCGCGCCGCAAATCTATGTAAAACGACTGTGACAAGTCAGTATCGGGGTCTGAACGGGGTGTGCGTCGGCGGCGCACGCCACGGGGGGGGGACGCACAAACGCCGGGGTTGTGGGCCGGCGACCCTGCTGTGCCCCGCACGTGCAGTGTGATTCGCCGGAGCACACCGCGCAATGGGCGTCCCAGCCACCCGAGCGTCGAGAGCGGCTGCCCCCGCGCGCTGTGCTTCGGCGAAGCACGTTGGGTGGATGGCAGTGGGGTCACGTGGGTAAAGTGGCCCCCCAGGCGGTGTGAGCCGCCGACGCACAAGATGTGGACGGAAGTGAAGTGCATACCTTGTCGCTCGCGGACGTGTGGCTCGTGCCCACGGCTGCGCGCGTTGTGCCCGCCAGCTCGGCCATCATCTCCTGCTCGTACTTCGCCAGCCGCAGCATGAGCTGGATCCTGTGTGCAGGGGGCAAGCCCTCGAAGTCCTGCCCCTTCTGGTGCATGGACTCGATGGTCCGCCGACAGACCTTGCCGAAGAACCGAGCGCGGAAGTCCGTCATGATACGCACCGTCTCCACCACGCTTTGCGAGACACTCTCCGCATTACCTTGACCTTTCGGCTCCTGCGATGCGGCCTTCGCGGCCTTCTTGCCTTTGCCCTTCTTGCCGACCTTGTCGGCGTCCTTCCGGTTCTTCCGGTCTTGCGAGGCGGCGCGCCCCAGAGATTTGCGGAACTCGTCGAGGACGGCGAAGTGATCGTCGCTGAACTTGTCGACGCCCAACAGCCGGCCGAGGGACGCGAGATCCTGTGTGAAATGGTTAGGGGTGTTGGCTAGCACGCGGGCGGAACGCACCAAGGCGTTGGTGATGGTCGGGGTGGCCGTCATGCCAATCATCCCGCCGGCCTGCTCGCGGAGGCCGCGCACCGCGACGAAGAGCTGATTGACGCGCCGCATGGTGTGGACCTCGTCGCAGATCATCAGACTCCAATGGCGATTGTACACCGTTGGGGCTTTGGCCTTTGCCAGCGTCGCTGCCTTCCGCTGCCGGCGCGTGCCCAGATTCCACGGCCTGTCCGTCAGCTTTGTGAACAGCTCCGCGCCGTCCTTCTCGACCGCCTAGGAGCAAAGTCAGCTGGGACAACCAGAACTCAGCCGACGTACCGGGTTGGTTGCGACAATGATTTGACGTTCGGGGGGCTGCGCGAAGTTGTCGACCGCCTCCCAGAACGCCGCGCCCTTCGCGCCGCGCACCGAAGATGTGTATGAGATGAGGTCGAAGGTTTTCGGGCGGACGTAGCGGTGGATCTCGGAGACGACTTGGCGCTCGAGCGCGACGGGGACAACGATGAGAGTGGGTTCAGAGGGGGTGTTGCCCTCGCGATGGTACTTGATGTTTGCTATGAAGACGGTGGTGAGTACATGTCAGACTAGCCGCAGGACGTACGTACCGAATTTGCCCGGGAAGTGGCCGTGCTGCGCGTAGTGGGCATGGAAGAAAGCGAGGCAGCAGACGACGCCGACCACTTGCATGGTCTTGCCGACCCCAACGCCGTCCATGAGGAGGGTGGGGTCGCCGCGCAGGTAGTTGTCGAGCATCTTGACGACGCCGATCAACTGATGCCAGTGGGGGCGGAGCGGGACGGCGTCCGTCGCGGTCATGGCCTCGATGCCCTTGGGGGACCAGGGATCGTGGACGCCGGTCGCGGCCTCCGCGGTGTTGAAAAACGGGATCGTCTTCTCCTTGGCGCGACCCAGCATCGCCCAGAGCTCGTCCTCGGAGAAGCCCTCGTACTCCTCGACGCCGGTCCCCCAGTCCATCTCGGGCGCATCGGCGCCGTCGACGTTTATCTCGATGGGGTCGGCGACCTCATCGCTGAGGATAAGGTCGAGCTCGGTGGTGAGCGCGCGCACTTCCTCCTCGTTCGCGAGCAGGCGGATCGCCTCGAACACCTGCTTGGGGAGCCCTTGATACGCGTCAAATATGCGCTGCAGCACGAGGCGCGGCGGGACTTACCGGGCACGTTCACCGTCGTGTCCTCCATTTGCGTCCTGAGGTCGGCGACGCGTTGGAGCTGCCGCTCGAACGCCTGGCAGACGACGCCGTTGTCGAATTTCCGCGAGATGGCGATTTTGTTCTCCATCCGCTTGACGTACGCCTTGATGCTCCGAGAGGTCGGGTTCTTGATAACGGCTGCAAACGAGTGAGGGACGTTTGGATGGGCGTACACTATGCTTACCTTCCCACTTCTGGTCGAGCTCGGCGGCCTCCTTCTCGAGTTGGCCGATCTCGCGCTTGATGCGCGTCGCCTCGCCGTGCCAGACCCAGGCCGTCATGCGCCCGATGACCTGCGGCGCCCACATGACGAGGAGGTTCGAGTTCTCCAGCGCAACGGCGTCACCGAAGAGTTCGCGCGCGATGTTGGTGTACTGGGAGTTGACCTGGCATTGCTCCATGCTAGGCAGCTGGGAATGGAGGTGAGTCAGCGTGCTTGTGCAGCGATGAGAAGGACGTGCCTTCTGCGCCTTGTTGAGCTGCATGACCCGATATGGGCCCATCCCGTTCTCCTCGAGGACGCCGATGAACCGCACACGCACATTCCACACGCCGAGTCGCGCCTTGAACCACCGGAGGACGGCGTCGCGACCATTGTTGTACTGATCCTTCTGCCGCAGGAATTCTTGCTTCGTCATATCACCTTGTACCGCTCGGTATTTCGCGAGGAACGTGCGGACCGCCTTGAGCAACCGCTGGTCGTTCTCCAGCCACGCCTCTTCGGGGTCGGCCTCGTCCCAGGGCACGGTGTCCAACCCGGTGAGCTCGTTCCAGCAGCCGTCCTCGACGAAGGTGTCGATGGTGGCGGCGACGTCGAAGAGAGTTTCGTGGAGTTTCCAGACGGGCATGGTGAGCGCCAGACAGAGAGGGGAGAGAAGAAGTGGGGAAATGATGTGATGTCCTCGTATATATATGCCTTTGGGGCGCCGAGCCCTGAATCCATATCTGGATAGCGTCGAGCCGCAAACGTAGTGCCATCACCACGGGGCGCCGCGCATGCTACAACGTCGCCTAGAAGCGTAGGATGGACGTACACCAGGAATGCACACTACTTCATTGGGATACGCCGCGCCGCGGAGGCACCTTCCCGTGACGATTCCGCTCGCTAACCCGATTAGGATTGACAGCGGTGCGCGCGGGAGGCAATCAGGACGATCTTAGCACCTATTCACGGATCGGGGCCCGGACCGGGACCGATCGATGGGGGCTATACACGAGGTGTGCGTCGCTGGCGCACACGGCGCGGGGGGCAGCCATTTCCACGTGACCGGTCCGCCCTGCCCCCCGCCCCGCCGTGTGCGTCGCCGGCGCACGGCGCGTGGGGGGCGGGGGTGCGTCACGTGACTCAACTCCTGCCCACGCGGCGTGCCTCACCGGCGCACAAAATGAGCATAGGCTGGTGCTGCGCCCGGGTGCGCTGGGTCGACGGAGTGCCCCGCGCGGTGTGCGCCAGCGAAGCACACACCTCGCCTGGATATGCTCACGAATGATTGTGGTTCCTCATGCATTGTGACGCTGTGTAAAGCTGGTTGTATTTCCAAACAGGGACATCTACACCGCCTACTCGCATCTGTCCCTGTCCTACATTCGATGTAATGCATGCACCCTAAACTATCAGAACCCCGTTGGTTGAATGATCAACCCTTGGAAGTTCACACTGGGGGATCTAGATGGCGCAGGCTGAGGCTCTATGATCAATCCACCGAAGTTGACGGTGGAGGAGGACCGACGCGCAGATGACCTCGGTAGGGACTGCCGAGGCTGCGATTGGCGTGGCTGCGATTGGCGTGGCTGCGATTGGCGTGGCTGCGATACCCGAGGCTGCGGGGGGTCCGAGTATCGAGGCACGGAGAACCGGGGCACGGAGTGGCGGGGCTCGGAGCGCCGGGGCTCGGAGTGCCGGGGCTCGGAATGCCTCGGCTGGGGGGGGTCAGGCTGCCGGGGCTCGGACCGCCTTGGGTGCAAGGGAGGTGGGGGGGGGCGCTGCCGCAGCCGGAGCTGTTGCTCGTCCTCGTCCTCGGCCTCCTCCTCCTCTTGACGGTCCGCGACCCGACGATCAACGACCATCTCTTCATCCTCTCCCGCGTCCGGCGGTGCATCGTCAATCTCGATGTCGTTCGTCTCGTCACACTCGGGTCGAATGCTGTACTTGATGTCTCTGTTGTGTAGGAGCGGATTCAGTGCGATCAAGGGCGCGGGACCGTCGGAATCGCGCGGGATGCGGATTGCTGTGCTGTGCCCGGTCTGCCTCGTGCTCCACATCCTCTCGGATTCCGGAAAAGGCAGCCAGAGCAGCGTCTCGAACAACGTGCGGAGCGCGTTCCGGATTCTCACCTGGTCATGCGAGTTGTACTCCCGCATCATCCCGCCGTAGAGGCCCCAGTATACGCAGTTGGTGTAGTTCTGTACGGGGTGCGTGATGACGGTCCCGAGCAACGGAAAGAAGCGGTCAAACATCTGGCCACTCCAAATAGTGGGCGTCACCACCATTAGCCGGGCCCTCCGCAACGGCAGGGCCGGCGACTGAAATAGTCCGTCCGGCGTGTTGGCGACCTCGAGGTGCGTCACGGTAAGATAGCTGGCGAGGACTGTGTCAACCGGATTGGGCGCTTTAAGGAGCAGGTCGTGCTTGAACTGCTCCCATAATCCGTTCACTTGTTGGTCTGCGCGCTCTTCTGGTTCGTCGTCGTCTCGTGCCCGACGCGCGCCGCGTCGCGCGAGGCCATTCGCGACAGGCTGCACCCCACCAGCATTAAGCCCAAGGTTACGCTCGGGTATGGCGATGGTCCGCTGCTCGGCGCTCGAGTTGGTCATGACCTGCCGATTCGACCTCCGGTTTGGGTTCGGTCTCCTGCGCTGAACCACGATGCTGTGGACACCAAACTTCGCAGCGAGAGACACCATGTCGGCACAGGTGTACATCGCCGCGAGGTTCCTGGCGTCCAACGTGCGTCGACTGTCCAAGGTTAAGAGTCCATTCCTAGACTCCAACGTCGCCAGGAAGTAAAGTCCTAGGCTCCCGTCCACCGGCTTCATGTTGTCACTCTCGAGCTGGTCGTCATCGAGCTCCTGGTCGCTCGCCGTTGCGTCGTGCTCAAAGGCCGCGGACATCTCCTCCAGCTCCGGGTATGGGCTCGTAGTGTTGGTCCGGTACAAGACCGAGTTGAGGATATGCGTGATCATCACCCCAAGCTGCAGGCTCCCGGGAGTAATGCGCAGTTCGGGTGATGCACGGTTCAGGTTCTCGAGGACGGCGTAACACGTGAAGACGCGCCAGTACTTGAAGCTCCTGATATAGCCAGTCATTAGTCAATGGAAGATGCAACGCACAAAGCACTGCTTACCACCAACGACGTGCAGGGATGCTGACACATGCTTTGGTAAGCATTTCATATGGCACGTCACGCAAGGCCGCGCCACACTTGTTAGCTGCCACTCGGACTTCGTACCGTGCAGACGCGGGTTGTGCCGGGTGGCCTGTTCCTCCCGAATTGTCAAATAGCACCTCCGTCCATTTATTGATGCGGTCCAGGAGGCCTCCCATATTGCCGGGGAGCAGCTCGCTGGGGGTCACCTTCCGCCATTGTCCGACATGGAGCTGGTAGTGCATCTCCTTCTCCGTGCAGTAGACGTTCACGTACTTGACGCCGTCCGCGCGGCCGATGATGGTGGTAGGCACTCGGAAGCCGGAAATGTCACTCAGCTGGACACAGGCATCGCGCAGGAAGTTCCTGTTTGCGATGAGGCTAGTGATCCCTGCCGCCGACGCATGGGGCATGGCATGCTGCAGGATTTCGGCATGGAACTCGTCCTTCCAATGGACCACGTGACCTGGATGCTCGACCTCAATTGCCACATCTACGTACCAACGGTGGGCAAGGTCGGCATTAGAGATCTTGGTGAAGTCGAGATGCTTGAAGGTTTCTTTGAGAACCCTCTTTGCGTCGTCGTTATCGTGGGGATTGTGATGTGTTCCGCCTTTGGCCCCTCGCACCTCGTGGTAGAAGAAGGCGTTGCGGAACTCACGGATCCCTTCCATGGATGCCTTCATCTTCCGGACGAACCTGCCGATCTCCAGGGCGCTAAGTTCTACGTTCTTGAAGTGATACTGGCCGTGGCGATCGCGCGCCTGCATTTCCGCGCTCCCGTACGAGCCTGGCCAATGGCTGATATGCGGGTGATTGATGTCGCGCAGGCTGGGAAGCACTATCTGCTCGTAGAATTCCACTAGCCGGTCGTGCGAGATCGCTGGTGAGAGGTGCGGACTCCACATTTCCGGGAACATGATGTTCGTTTTTGCATGTATGCCGACCTTGGCGAACGCCATGTTGGGGATCCTCGACAATTCTATGGCCTTGGTTTCCTATATGGCGATTTCAGCATGAGACAGCGCACGGACTTTGGATTTGACTCACTCCACCCCAAACAATTGGCCATGTCAGGTGCACCGGTGCCTTCAAAGTATCGCGGAACGGTGAGAGCGGCCACACGTGCAGATTCACGTTGTATGGCAAATCCCGCGTGGCACCAAACATTGAATCGATGTCGCGGACGACCGCGTAATGGTCCACATCTGGCACATCATCCCACTCGTCCACCGGCTCGGGCATCTCATGCCCGTCACGAGCATTTACCCGGATACGGCGCTCCGCCCTTCGGTTCGTGTCGTAAAACCGACCGCACAACCCCACCAAGCCGATCTCCAAATCTAAACGCTCCGCCGCGCTCTGCCTGTCCGTCCACGTCCTCTTGACCGCCGCATTGTACGCGCCCAAGCTCATGTGGCTGTGTCGAAGGTGGGCATCAGGGTGGTTCGCAGGTTGCCAGTTCATATTGAGTGTAGTCAGGGAGCGTCAGGGAAAGCAGTGGGGATGGGGAATTGCTGCGCTCTCTGGGGTTTATATATCTTTTGTTGGCACCACTGCCAAGGCTGCAATGTCATGACATCTGAGACATGCACTCGCTACTGTGCTGGCAAATATATATTAGACACGCTACGCGACCCGGCCCCACCCTTGGCGTGGCCTGAAACCCTGGCGCCGTCATGAATGATCCCCAGGCCCCACTGTCGCGGGTCATTAGGGGTCCGCCGCACTAACCTGTTTGTGGCCGTCTCCGCTTTCCAATTTTCCCCAAATAAGAGAGGTCCGTTGGGAAATACCTGTGCTGTGCGTCGGCGGTGCACACCGCGCAGTGGGCTGTTATGTTTCCCGCGGGGGCCCCCCTCTGCCGATGCCTCGTGTGTGCGCCACCGACTCACGCCGCGCGGTGGTCCTGCGCATGGTGCTAGCCACCGCGCGACAGCCTCACGCTCGGCGGTGAGCGATGGCGGCGCACACAGCGCGTTGAGCTTCGGGGGCGCACACCGCGCGTTGAGCTTCGGGGGCGCACACCGCGCGTTGAGCTTCGGGGGCGCACACCGCGCGTTGAGCTTCGGGAGCGCACACCGCGCGTTGAGCTTCGGGGGCGCACACCGCGCGTTGAGCTCTGTCGGCGCACACCGCGCCATGTCCTCCGGCTGCCCGAAGTGCGTGGTGTGCTTCGGCGGCGCACACCGCGCGGCTGCCCCCCGTGTAACCAAGTCTTACCGCCCGCTGCGCTCCCCTCGCCGTGTGCCCTCCCAGTTTCACCGGGGTGCGGTGCCGGGACGCATTGGGCCATCTTGACCCAAATGTTTCCTACTTAAATGTACCTTGTAGACAAACCTTAATTTATGTTGGCGAACCGTGCAATCCCAAACCACACCAGACGACATAAGGTTGCCAAGTCACCGATGCATGATACAAGTTTGAGCATTTGCATCAGCAGAATCAACAAACCCTCTTTATTGCACTTGTACTGCTTATCAATAATCATCAACATTTTCGGATGTAATGACCATCATTCAGTGGCTAAGGTTTGTGCTGTTTTAAACCCTAACCCTAATATTCCCCTTTGGGCCATCTTAAACCAGCCACTGTTCCATGGTTTCTCACAGTATGTATCTGCCTTCATCAACACTTGGCTTGTTGCTGTGACTATTAGTAGAGCCCCAGACTGAAGTTGGTGTTATAGAACTTAGCCCCAAGCTGCAGCAGTGCTAACAAATAGAGGGATGAGACTCAGCAATCACTATGAAGGACATCCTCACAGACCTGTGATTCACATTCCTTTAGTTGCAAGATTCTGGATTGCAAGCATCAATAGATGCATACAAGTAGGGATCTACTACTTGCCTTACTTAGATTCTTCACTGCATTGTCAGGGGCAGGAGCCAAGGGAAGCTTGACCTCAGTGAACTGTGCAATGCCATGCAGATACAGAGTCTGAACTTGTGCAGCTCTCCAATACCTCATTCCTTTGGGACATGTTCCACCAGCTGCTCCTCAAACCCTATCTACCACTCTTGGCACTTCTGTGTATCCTTATGCCTTTGTGAAGACCCCGTCTTAGTTTCCACCTCCTGACATACCCACTGTTGTACGCACAGCAGACAAGTATTTGGTACATGTTAAAATCCATTTGACTCCTCCACTTTTAGGACACGTGGCACTATCTAGGTGCACACAAGCTACTGTTTGTGTTGCTTAAGGACAAACTTCATGGCTAACCTACCACAGAGGATATGGCACTATTTCTTGCAAGACTTGATTACCATCTTGACACAATGCTTGAGCTTGGATGGCAGCACCGGACATGTGTCAGGAAGGAGACTGAGCTTGAAGCTAAAGCCCAGTGATGGTGCAAGTTACATTGAGCATTTGCTACAGGAAGCCATTCAGCAAACAGGCCCACTGAAGAAGCAGTCTGTTGCATGGTGGGCTGATTTAACTAGCTGAGTTGAAGTACCATGGCAGTATCTGAAGCTGAAGATTATTTTAGGGCTGGTGCTGTGTATGGAGCAGAGCTCAGCAACTAAGCAGATGTTGTGGTAACAACAAAGAGCCACTATGATGGCCAACCACTGAATCAACATCTAGCCAGTATGACTGGTGGGAGTGAGTCCTTTCACTTGTATCCCTGTAGGAACTGCTGACATCAAGGAATGAGTAGGCGACTATGATGACGGACACACATTGGAGGTCTTCTGGGACCCATCTGTGGTCTCCCCATTCACCAATGCAAACCCACAATATGCCCAAGAACCTAAGCAAGTCAAGGCTGAGCATCAAGGCTGTGCTCAGCAGAAACCCTGAGACAGTCCCACAATTTGTAGACAGGACCTCATGTTGCAGCAAGGCTGACAAACTTGCTGAGATGCAGAAGTACCTCCTTGGATCATTGCAAAATGTCTCCAGGGTTGGTACCTACTCCAACTGGTGGTTAGCCTCAGTGTACAAGAATGGCTACTCACATCCAGATACCATCTTCCTTGCATACATGTAAGTCTATCAATCCTAAGGACTACTCTCATACCTGACTCAATGAGGCTCACAGGTTCACCAATGTCCTGGATGGAGCTAAGACAGGCATCACTGTCTCAAGCAAGGTCTTTGAGGAGCACAGGAAAGCGTTCAGTTCTCTTCCACTGGACCCTCAGCCAGAGACCATCAAGGGGCAGGAACGAGTACTACAACAACGATGAAATCCCTGCCAAACGAAATCCAGAACTCCCACCATTCACCCTAGAGCTCCTCCACTGTAAGCTCACACCACCTGCTGCCCCACCTGCTGCCCCACCTGCTGCCCAAGCTGCTGCCCAAGCTGCTGCCTTGTTGTCCTGGACTGTTGACTGGCAGGAGGCGGCTTGTGTCCTGTTGCTGAGGCTTGCTTGCAATGTTGTGAAGTCCCGGCAGCGGCCTTGCTGGCAGGTTTAAGCAGAGCTGCTTGAAATTTCATGATGTCTCCGCCCTGGCACTAGCTCCAGCCCTCTACAGAAATGTTGGGATTGCTGAATCTGTCACCACACAGAGGCTTGTCAGGGAGGCTGCTGAGATTCATACATACTACTCTCTCAACAGCTGTTCCTACGAGAGTTAGCAACACAGCACTTGGACTTGACCCAGTACTTTTCAAATCAATGTCCCTGTGCAATAGACAGGGTCATGCAAGAGGTGAGGCAAGCTTAGGCCACTGCTGATGATATATACCCACCACATAGGTTAGAAAGCACCCAATCTTGCAATACTACGTTGATGGTTGGCCAGCCAACATCTACATACAGGATTGGGTCTCCTGGCAAGTTCTCCGGAACCGGTGGGATTGCCACCTTGGTGACATGCACAATGGCACTGGCAAAGCAAATGAGGTGAGACACAATTTCACAAATGTACTAAGTACCATCCTATCCTCATTGGCCATCCTAGCAGCCTCCAAGCCAGGGATCTCAACCGAGTCTGAGTTGGATCAGTACAGGTACTGCCCATGCCAAGGCCTATACCAGCTGTGATGTAGAGGAGGAGGGGAAGGATTAGGCCCTTCCAGAGAATCGTTGAGGAAAGCCTTGGCATGGTCCTGAACACAGCCCTTGGACATCATCATCCAGACTGAGTGCTGTCCAGAAAACAAGGAGCATGTGTGGGCCTATGAGGTCAAGTCACTGCTTAGTCCACATATGCCTTGGGGTGGGAGCACTGGGGAAGGATTAGGCCCTTCCAGAGAATCGTTGAGGAAAGCCTTGGCATGGTCCTGAACACAGCCCTTGGACATCATCATCCAGACTGAGTGCTGTCCAGAAAACAAGGCGCATGTGTGGGCCTATGAGGTCAAGTCACTGCTTAGTCCACATATGCCAAGGGGGAGGGAGCAGTGCATGCCCCAGCACATTACCCCAGTGCTCCAGTGTAGATGCCAGCATTGAGGCTATTGACCCTGCAATCTTTGAGTAGTACTGATTCCGTGTGAGGATGGCTTAGGCCTGCTTCACTGACTGACTGTTAGCAGTCTATGTTGATCAGCCCCAGCAGGAGCTCTGGCTTCATGATGTTGTGGATTGTGTACATGAGGGCTGCTGGCAGTGGACAATCTGCATGTGGCACCTGTGGTAATATGAGTGTGAGGGGCTGTGGACTTCAATGCCTAGAGTCAGTGCAAGTAGGGCTTCAGCAGTATCAGCCACATCTGAGACCCAAAAAAACAGCTGCCACTGAAATCAGTAAATGGGCAATTATACCCCCTTCACCTAAGTCCAGGGGGGGTCAGCGTGCCCTCAGCTTGCCTTATATGGTAATTCCTTTTTGGGCCATTACCATATAAGGCAAGTGCTGACTTGGGGCCGCACCTACATGTCTCAGGGGATCTCGCGCGGGCCCGCGAGATCCCCTGCGCACCTCTCAACACCAGTTATGTGGACTGCGTCAAGACCAACATCCAGTACTGAATGTCAGGGGTCTGTGCACTGGCGCGACATCCCCTGGGACATATGCCAGTCCCATGTGCCATGCACGCACCACGCACCATGTGTTAGGGGATCCTGCGCACCCGCGCGAGATCCCCTAGAAAGGGTACGCGCGCACGACACATCCATGTACTCAAACATTGTACACATACAGTCTCCCAGGGGATACTGCGCACCCGCGCAAGATCCCCTAGAAAGGGTATGCATGTATGATACCCCCATGTACCCACACAGCGTACGCACATGGGCTCCCAGGGGATCCTGCGCACCTGCGCGAGATCCCCTGGAAAGGGTATGCATGTATGATACCTCCATGTACCCGCACAGCGTACGCACATGGGGTCTCAGGGGATCCTGCGCACCCGCGCGAGATCCCCTAGAAAGGGTACGCGCGCACGACGCGTCCGTGTACTCAAACGTAGTACACACAGTCTCCCAGGGGATCTCGCGCGCGTGCGCGAGATCCCCTCAAGCACATGTCAGCATCGCGAACCATGCCTTAGGTTCCTCAAAGTAACCTATTGTCTCCGGTACTGCGCGCACCATGTAACAGGGGATCCCACCCTCCCGCGCAAGATCCCCTTGGAGGAGTACTGCGTTTTGTAGTATGCGCACATACATTATTGGGATTCACGCGAGTGCGCAGCAACACCTCACTTCCCAATGCTCGAGAACATAATGCACGCACATGGTCTCAGTGTGCATGCACATTGCAGCCGCAGCATCTGAGACACGATAACAAGCTGTCAGATCAATCTGATCGATTGTGTGTGATGAAGTGATCGGTTCTGAGCGCTACAGATGTCCGTACATAGACACACACAAGGCTATCGCTAATCTGGGAATTGCCGATCACACCCCGATGTCCCATGTACAAACGACAGATCCGCTCAAAATTAGACAGAGATACAGATACTAAGATGCCTAGGACATGAAACGATTCCAGTCCGCGTTCAATTCAATCTCTAACATGTCCGCAAGGGCGATCGCTTCTGCCTCCCTTTTGTACAAGCCCATGTACTGGTCCATCACTGGCCATAACGTATCCATGAGGTTCTGCTCACATACGATCGCGTCGAAGCGGGCGCGCCGCTCATCCAAGTAACGCTCCAGAGCCTTAGGGTCCCAAACTTGATCCACGCGTATCACGAGTTGAGTGTCAGCCTCACAGGTATACGCCATGCGCTTGCCCATGAGCTCTAGTACCCTACCCGCGTACGGAGCCGCGAATTTGATGAATTTGGCCATGAACTCGGCCGACATGTACTCGTGCGGGTTATTGTCAAACGCGGCACTCATCCTGTGCGGCCACGATGACTGCCGGTGCAGGCACAGTTAGTCTGAGGGTTACCCAGATACCGACATGATGGACACTCACCGCTACCGTGCACATTATTCCCAATCCGCGTGTCAAGCACTGCTCGCATGTCTCCGAGTTTGGACGTACGTCGCAATTGGCACTGCGGTGGAAGATGCACATTGCACACCGGTCGGCGCCATGCATCTGTAGGTAGCGAGTCAGCCCTGGACGCCACTGAGTACCTACAACTAGCAGGGGTCCGTACTGATTTTGGCTGTTCACGGCGCGGGCACGCTAAGTATTCACCGGCTTGAGAATGGTCAGTCCGCTACTTGGAATATAAATGCTCGGTACTCACCGCTGGCTTCGCACGTCGTTCCACTACCACCGGCAGACACACTTTGGGGAGTGTTGGAGCTGGACATGGCAGCGACTTGAGAAGAGAAGACGGCACCTGACATACCGAGTGCTATGTTTTGCGTCATGTGAGTTGTGTGGCGGTGGGCGCTTCCTGCGGTACGAACCTCCGTTCGGCCACAGTGAGCAGTATTGCATTCACACGGTAATATCAGTGGTTGCACCCCGGTATCCGCATTGATGTCGCGACGTTGTATTGCGCATGCGCAGAGTCCTGCGCCAATGCACCTATTTATACAAGTGGCAATATGCGCAGTAGTATGTACTATGCGGTGCGCATCCTTGGATTGTTGTTCCGAGCCTGAGGAACATTGATTGATATGGCAGATCCATGAATGCATGGACGCGCAAGCTCACCATGAACGAGCAGGGATCATCACCGGCATGATCAGTGCAACGTGCGCAGATCACCTCATGTGCGCGCACCGCGCAGTAGGTTGCGTTTGACGCCTGACATTGTATACATCGTTCGCTCGCACGACGCTATGCTAACCGTGAGTTTGGACGCGTCTGTCATGGGACATCACCACGCACCACGACCGTCACTTCCCGTCGCATGCGACTCTCTGCTGCGCATGTGGCGTGTCAATGCAACCGGTCAATATCATAGCTGACATCAAGTTACCGGTGTGTTGCGGCAGGTTTATCGCAGTCATCGGAGTCGAACAATGAGTACAAGTGCCGCCGGCCACTGCAGCATATCTGATAGATCAGATGCGGGAACGTGCGCGGGGCGCCACGCATATCCATACATAGACGCACATGATCTTGATTTGGATTCCACAAGAAGAAGTATGTACTCTACTAGTAAGACCATACGCGAAGTCTCGAACGTGCCTCCTGACGTGCGCGCTGCTCTCTGAGCCGTTGTAACAAGCGCCTGTAACTTCCATCGTATGCGTATAGCATGAGCGTCATTGTTTTGACCGCTCTCCAACTATAGTAAATCTCAAGATACTCCGTCTTATCGCTCTCGTAGAGCGGCGAGAGCGGATTGGAAAGACGCGGGTATACTGTGTGGTGAAAGTGTTCATAAGCGTGCGCATGGCGCGCGCGCTGGGCTTCCCATGCGTGTAAAACCAATTGCAGATTGGCCATGAAGTGGTGGCTGAGGTAGTAGGCTGGTTCACTCTTGACGCGCTGCCACATGCGTGCCCTCGATGGTTGCTGCCCAAGCACACCTGGTCGGTGCTATGTTCATTGAGAAATGCGATGCTCACCACGGTCACGGTACACAGTATCTGGACGCCCAAGTCAACGCATTGGGAGCAGCTCATAGAGCCCGGAAGCACATCACAGCGAGCATGCTGAAGACATGTGCAAACTGAGCATTTCTCGTGAGCCGTAATGTACTGCCACCAAACATATGTCAGTAGGCACAGCGGCGGAAACAGTTATGTAGAGAGGACGAGTTCGCACGCTGGAAATCGACACCGGTTCCGGTGCCTGTTTTGTATCTCCTTCTGAGCTTGGATGAGTGCGAGGCGCGGACGTTTGGGGAATGTCTTACCTCGGTTGCGTTGCAGTCCTGATTCGGCACTGCCCCACCCATATATGAACGGTGATGCATACATGGTGAAGTTGGTACAGTTGAAACCGACGATGACGCCCGGTATCATCTTGGAGCGCAAGGCAAACATGCGTAGCCCACACACGGTCATGTGAGACACGCACGCGAGCGCGACACTTGGGCGGCCCCTGGGGACGCGATCATATGATCTGTTGACGCGTACAGCGGTAGGCGCTTGTTGGTCCACTTCGCGCTTCATCGTTCCGTTGTCGCTTCTTTCGGCATCTTTCCCTGCTCTCGCCGCGTTCATCAATCTTGGCAACACCGCATCACGCGCTTGTCCACGCCCGCGGGCCCATCGCATCTCTACACGCAACACCTACCATGGTCGGCACATGGACGGAGAAGCATACGCAGAAGTACTTTCGGGCCGCGGTGAAGAAACGCGTGGATTTCATCGGCACGCGCAAACATTTAGAGTTCACGGACCAGGTGCCGCCCACGCACGAGTGGACGGCTGAGCTGCTTGAGCAGTTCAACCGCAACCTGCGTGGTGTGTACAATGGGCCTTTTGACTGGGAGACGACGGAGGTCCTGTTGATGAAGTACATCATGGTGCGTCGCGTGCTCACAGTGTCTCGGATGATCTGAGTCAAACGTGCGTCAGACGGACGACCTCTTGAACTCGCTCAAGAATCTATCGAAAGACGTCGCGCTGCCTCACCTTGTGCGGCTCGTCCTGGACTGGGCCTGCTGGGACCCGCCGGAGGAGGGAGCGTGGCCGCCGGGCTTGAGCATGCGCCGCTACTTCATGAAATGGCGCCACTGCGAGCCGCTGAACTTCAAGTCGGACACGTCGACCGACGTCGACATGGAGCAGGCGGCCAACGCTCTGCTGGATATGTGGATCGGTGAGTGCATCACCGTGTTCGTGTGTGCGTGCGCTCACTGTGTCCCGCTGGTCAGCCAATGACCGTCTGTATGGTACGTTTGTTCCTCTTTGGTCGGTTGTGTGAGTATGACGATTGGCGCGCATGTACAGCGGACACACCTGTGCAGTATCGCGAGGCGGAGGATGTCCCTGGGGTGACGCAGTACAAGTTGAGGATGCAAGATGTCACGGACGAACAGCGACGCGAGGCGGCGGAGGCGTTGGAGGCATACCTGAACCAGGAGTGGCGGTGCGGTGCGCCGTTGCAGATGAAGGCCTGGATCAAGGTCAGGTCGTACAAGAGGCCAGAGAACCTGCCTCCGGCTGAGAACGACACGGTGGTGAGTTTACAGGGTTGTGCTCTGCATTTGCTGTTGATGCGCTAGGTGACCAGATTCGCGGGCCATACATGTGCCTACAATGCGTCAAGGCTTGCATCCTCGAATGCCGTGTTCCAAACGATACCGAATTACCCAAGTGCGTGTCGTGCCGTGTGCGCAAGATCAAGTGCGCCTATCAGGTTCGTGCGCACAGGATATCTCTGGCACAACAGACTCACGGGACAGATAGACCGAGCTGGTTGATCCGCGCGCGGACCCAGCCTTCTTCAACCCGCCCCGCGCGCTATCCAAGGCATTGGTCTCTCAAGGTTCCAGTACAGGTCCGTCGTCGTCTGCTGGCGCGTCCGGCAGCGCAAAGCGCACAGCAGACACGTTGTCTGAGGAGGAGAGGGAGGTGAAGCATACCCGGTCTTGAAGGGCGTTTGTGCGTGACACTACTGTAGTATCGTGGTAGCACTCCGTTTAATGCGAGGAATTAGCAATCTGTTTCTTGCAAATACCCGGACTATTACATTGACATGGCGCCGCTGCCTGATGCCATGCGCGTGCATCCACACCTCCGGTCTCAACGTTTACCATGTCTCGAGTGCGCATCATCCTTACCATCCACCAGGTGCGCCCACAGTGGCTTCGGAACACGGCCCGCGGAACACGGTCATATGACGTGGCCAGCCATCTGTGCGACGCGCTCAGCGTCTAATTCGGACGGCCGGTGTGGCGTGCGCGCTTGACCTGGCTAGCATCCCGTCGGTCAGATTCTACCTCGCTCTTGACCGTTTCTCGCCTACGCGGCCTCGCTTCGATATCACTCTCTCGCATTCCTCGTTGCAGCCCTTGTACCTGCACTCGACCTCAACATCTGCCACGTCGGACGAGCCGCCCACCGCCCAGCATGGTTGGCCCATGGACTTATGAAGACACGGGGAAGTACTATCGCGAGGCCGTCAAGCGTCGGCCCAGTTTTAGCGGTAGACGGGATATGTTACAGTTCACCGACCGGCTGCCGTCCACGGACGACTGGACATTACCGGTGCTCTTACAGTTGAACCGCACGTTGCGCGTGCTGTATAATGGGCCGTTCAACTGGGACGCTTTCAAGAAGATCGTCATGCAACATATCCTCGTACGTCTACATGATCTTTTGACCAGAACGTGTGATCTGACTTGTTCAGACGGACGATGTTCTTGATGCGCTCAAAGCGCTGCCCGAGGACGAGCAGATTCCGCACCTCGTGCAGCTAGTCCTTGACTGGGCTTGCTGGGACGCACCAAAGGAGGGCGCATGGCCGCGGGATCTCAGCATGCGGCGTTACTTTGTCAAATGGCGCAGGTGTGAGCCGTTCTACTTTGAGGCGGACACGCACACCGACGAGGACATGGAGCGGGCGGCGGACCTTTTCCTCGACATTTGGATGGGTCAGTCCCCGGGTTGTATACTAGTGTGCCCGCTAACCGTTCGGTGTACATTGTTGTTGCACAGCAAACGATCGACTGCACGGTACGTGCATGCTTGCGGTTTGTTTTGCCGCTTTGTGTTGACATACGGCGCACCCCTGCCTGAAGCGGCAACCCCGGTACAATTCGGCGAGGAGAAGGACTTCCCCGGCTTCACCGTGTACCGAGTGAGGGATGAGGCTGTCACTGACGCGGAGCGGCTTGCAGCAGCGCAATCGAAGGAGCTGTACCTGAACCTGCAAGCGCGAGGTTGGGCGCCTGAAAGGATGGATGAACCGCTCCAAGTTGGAGCGTCGGTTGCGCGGCCTGCAAAACTGCCTCCGCCCGCGGGCGACATTGTGGTGAGTTTCTCTTGATCTGCTCCTTACAACGCTCATGTGCTGGACGGCCAGATTTGCGGTCCCGGCATGTGCGCGCAATGCATCAAAAAGCGTTACCTTGAGTGCCGTGTCCCGCAAGATGGCGGAAAGCCTAGGTGCGTGGCATGCCGCGTACACAAGCTTGGATGCGAGCATAAGGTGCGCATCCTGTCCTCGCACGGTTACGGGGTACTCATAGAATCATACAGGGCAAAACTATGGATGCGCTCAAGAAACAGTCGCTAGAAGATGACTCGGACTCTCGTGAGGCGACACCGGACCCTAGTCAGCGTTCCCAAAGGTCAGGCTCGGAAAGCGTGGTCTCTGAGTCTAACAAGTCCGCGGCGTTGACGAACGCGTCTGCTGGTAAGTTGTCCTCCCCGCAGCTGCTGTCAAACTCAAGCTCTTTGTAGATTCCGTGCCCGGTCCTTCCGGTGGTCGCAAGCGCAAATCCCAAGGGTCGCGAGACAAGCAGAAGAAGGCGAAGCGTGCTCGGAAGTAGACAACTGTAGTACAGAGTATTGTCTTGAACATGTAGCATAGAGTATCCGTCTATCTTGGGCAGTGGCTGATGCGTTTGGTATACCACAATCGAAGGGACTTCTCCGCACCGCGCATAACGCAATGCAGTGTCGCGTCAGCGTACCATGGCGGCCATATGTGTATGTTGCACCATGTACCGAGGACGTCCCAGGGGATCCTGCGCACCCGCGCGAGATCCCCTGACAGCCATATTGTATGTCGCACCACGCACTGAGGACGTCCTAGGGGATCCTGCGCACCCGCGCGAGATCCCCTGACAGTCATATGTATGTGTCGCACCACACACGCAAGACGTCACAGGGGATCCTGCGCACCTGCGCGAGATCCCCTCAGACACATATTGTATGTCTTACCACGCACGCAAGGTGTCACAGGGGATCCTGCGCACCCGCGCGAGATCCCCTGACAGTCATATGTGTATGTTGCACCACGCACTGAGGACGTCTCAGGGGATCCTGCGCACCCGCGCGAGATCCCCTGACAGCCATATGTATGTGTCGCACCATGTACTGAGGACGTTCCAGGGGATCCTGCGCACCCGCGCGAGATCCCCTGACAGCCATATGTATGTGTCGCACCATGTACTGAGGACGTTCCAGGGGATCCTGCGCACCCGCGCGAGATCCCCTGACAGCCATATGTATGTGTCGCACCATGTACTGAGGACGTTCCAGGGGATCCTGCGCACCCGCGCGAGATCCCCTGACAGCCATATTGTATGTCGCACCACGCACTGAGGACGTCTCAGGGGATCCTGCGCACCCGCGCGAGATCCCCTCAGACCCGTATGTATGCGCCGCACCATGTACTGAGGACGTTCCAGGGGATCCTGCGCACCCGCGCGAGATCCCCTGACATCCATATACACGGGGCACGCCAGCTGACATGGTACACGTTATGACATTGCAACAGTATGATACAGTACGACCTGGGTACACGGCAGCGACGACGAGCGAGCGAGAACAATACGAGTATGACAAGATATGCGCTGACGACACGCGACACGGTGCGATAGCGTTAGAGACCAGAAGACATGGGACGCAGCCCAGCAAGACACGGCGTTTGTGTATGTACATACTATCAAGACCAACCTTGTCCGTACAATCACACATCGCGAGCTGTCCTAGTCCTTGTGGACCGCCTTTTTGGCACCCGTGGTCTTGCGCGACGCTGAAGCTGTCGAGCCGCCGCCGCGTTGCTTCGGGGTCGGGGTGTCGGGCGCGAATGCGGCCATGTCGTCCTTTGACGATGACGCTGCGGCGTTCCTAGAACTCGACGCTGTGGGATTTGAGGACGACCGCGCAGCGCCGCTCGAGGAAGAGGGAGCAGCCGCGTTCGAGGTCCTCGACGCGAGCATTTCGGTCTTCAGGTTGTTAATGGGCGTAGGCCTCGGCCCGTCGTATTTGGGGTACCACCCCGGCCGGCGCACCAGGTCCTCGGGCGGTTGGTGAGCTGGGACCTGCGGCTTGCTGGACGCAGCTTGCATCTTCGCAATCTTGTGTGAGAGCATCGTTAGTGGAATGATAATGAGTGCAAGGCGGATACATACGTGGTAGCCCACCGCGCTCTCCACCTCATCCTCGATGCGGTCCCGGATCTGCTCCATCAGCTCCTTCCACCGCGTACCGAGCCAGCCCATCGTCACTACCGCGTTCCGATCGCCGTGCCACGGGGAACCGTGGTCGTCTGGCTCGCTGTCGTTCTGGACCGCCTCGGGCAGCTGCCCAAGGTCGCCCGCCCTACTCTTCCCTTTGCCGTCGACGACCTGCGGCTCATCGATATCCATCGCGTCTTCGGGAGCGTCGGGGCTGCTCGCCGCACCGGCAACTAAGGCGCGTAGGGGCTGGTCATCCTCGGAGTCAGAGTCGATGGTTATCGTCTCCCTTGCCTCGGCGCGCGTGCTCTTGTTGTCGGCCGTCTTCTGGGACGGCCCAGGCTTTGATGCGCGCGCCGATATCTTCGCCGATGACGGCTTGGCCTCCGGCGTGGCGTCGACTTTCTTGCGCTTGTTCGGCGTGGCCGTCGCCGATTTCGCCGACGTCCTGGAGACGGGTGCGGCGACCTTCGTCTTGGGCTTCGCAGCCGTCTTCGCCTTGCCGCTTTGTGGAGTGCGACTTACGATGTCGTCCTCGCCCGGGCTGTCCGACATTTCTTCGCTCGAAGAGACCGCCATCCGCTTGCGCGGGTTGATCTTTGAGGTCGTGGGGGCAGTGGTCGAGCGCGCGGGGGGAAGGTCAGCGTATCGACCGTGTTTCTGGTCGTTCACGTAGACGGCCTCTGCTTCGTAGTAGGTCTTCATAGTCTTTAATCAGTGTCCTAAACGGTTTTGCAGAGAGGTTTGTACTTACCTTAATGTCGCATGGAGATCTATGCCCGGTGATGCAGGCGACGCACCTGCGTCCGAGGCCGCGGATGACGCATTCGGTGGCGCCTCTCTTCTTGCACTGCGCACATCGCCACTTGCCCATGAACTGTAAGAGAGTTAGCGAAGTACGTGTTGTCGTAACAGAAACTCACCTTCGCGTGCACGTTGTCGTTCTTCTCAGTTGCGGGCATGAGAAGGGTCCACTGCCCTTCCCACTTGGGCGCAGAGTTGTCCACCTCCGGGTCCTCACGCTTGGGCACGGCCGACGCCTTGCCCTTGCCTGCTGCCCGTGCCTTCCGCGCCGAATTGCTGCTGATGCGTTTTCCCCCTCGGGCCTTCCCCTTGCCCTTGGGTCCGGTCGGCGATTCGTCGTCCTCGCTGTCGACGAGCTCGTCTGCCTCCTCCACCTCGACCTCGCTCTCATCTGCCTCCTCCACCTCGACCTCGCTCTCATCTGCCGCCTCGACCTCGACCTTGCCGTCAACAGGCGACGCGCTCGTATGGGGCAGGGCGGGTCGGTCTTCACGCTCCCGCGCCTCGTTGGCCTCGCGTGCGCGTTGCGCATACGGGTGGTGTTGCAGGCGGGCTGCATGGATGTCAGTCGTGGCGGGGCTTGCACGTCGTGCGAGGTATTCACCGGTCGCCTCGTCGTCGTCGTTGCGGTCATCGCGGTCCTCACCGTCCTCGCCCGGTTCAGTCTCGCCCGGCGCGTCCTCGACCAGCGCGTCACCGCCCGTCGCATCCTCAAGCTGCGCGTCGTCGCCCAGCACGTCCTCGACCTGCGCGTCGTCGCCCAGCGCGTCCTTTGCCCCATCCGCATCCTCGCCCGGCGCGTCCTCGACCTGCGCGTCACCGCCCGTCGCATCCTCAAGCTGCGCGTCGTCGCCCAGCACATCCTCGACCTGCGCGTCCACTGCCTCCCCCTCATCCGGAGCGGCGCTGTTGCGCGCAGGGCTGTCGGGGCGGTCGGACTCCGGTGAGACGCTGCGATCACTGTCGGGCTCAAGGACGTTGGAAACTGCACACACACGCATGTTAGCCCATAGATGAGTGCTACTATGCGCTACTCACTCCTCAACCGATCACCGGCTGTGAATCAACGTGTGATGAGCTAGTTGCGCGAAATGCGTCAATTGGGACGACTTACCTATCCATGGCATAAAGATGTTGAGGTGGGGCATGGTGAAGTCGTCGGTGATGGTTGAAGGGACAGCTTCGATTTTCATGTCGATGAGGACGCGCTGGAGAGTGCGCACCTCGCCTTCGCGGGTAGACCTCACATACTGCATGGCCGCCTCGACATAAGGCAGCCGGGTGATGGATACATTCTCGAGGACTGTGAACCAGTCATCGGTCTGTGGAATCATGTCAGTCAGGGCGGCGCTCGATGGGCCTGTGGTTCACGCACGATGATGTGGTCCTGGATGACGACCTCGACGGCCTGGAGAGTCCACCGCTCGTCGACGAACGCCTTGATCAGCTTATTCAGCGCTTTCATCTCCTCGGGTTGCCATTCCAGTGCGTCCGGCGGATCCTCGCAGAAGAATGGGGTGACGGGTCGCTTGCCAGCCGCTGCGAGTCCGGTGTCCTTGTGGAACTTCTTCAAGGTCGCGCTAAGGTTTTGGAAAGTCAGGGTGCCGACCATGTTGTAGGAGGGGTTGCCAGATGAAAGAAGGAAGGGGGAGCGACAGAGTCAAGTGCCGCGCGCTGTCCTAAGTCCGAGACGCTCGGTGGTCGCGGCTCCCACGTAGCGGCGACGCGATCGGCCAATCGCCGATTGATCGAGAAGCGCTCTATCTTGATCTGCTGACCTCGGTGCGGTCCGAACATAATTGAATCTTACCGATTGGCAGGCGCAACTTCGGCACGAGGATCTGCAGGGATCGTCGATCAGCTACTGTGCAAGTGCGAGCGCGATGATGAGGTGCGAACGCGATGATGAGGTGCGAATGCAATGATGAAGTGTGAGCGCGATGATGAAGTGGGAGCAACATGGGAGTCGCTTCGCGTTTTGGTAATGAGAATGAAGCGGCGAGTTTGCGCGGTGCGCCATGTCGGCCTCGTGTTGCATCAGCCGAGCCTTGCGGTGGAGGCAGCGTTTGATGTCGGTAAATCAGTGCGTCGTGCGCTGCGCTGTCGATCTTCATGTAGTAGTACTCCTACCCCCTGTGCGCGCATATGTTGAGGTGTGAATGTCAGGACGGCCCAAAAAGGGATCTCGCGCGATCGCGCGACATCCCCCAGATCGATGTTTATTGAGTGCGCCCCGTACTCTCTGGGGTTTTTGCACGTGTGCGCGGTGCGGTCTATGTTGCGTCCGACTGGAACATTTGCGAGTTTTCTGATGTGTCCCTGCTTTCCAGAAAACCGCGCGTTCGGCATCATCACGCGCGCGGCCTCGCGGTCCCCTTTCCGAGCTCATGGTGGCCATGCTGCGTGATGCTCGTGGGTCCCTGGAAGGTGCGCTGTGCTCTCTCTGATCTTTTCCCCTCATCCGCGTCTGCGCACTTCACAGGGTTTGCTTGACAGTACTACCGCGCACTGCTCACAATGGCTTCGTCAAGTAGTCAAGCTGTGGCCGGGCCGTCGTCGACGGAACAGGAGATCGACCGAGCCCTGGAAGACCTGGGTGAGGATGCGTCGGAGGTGCGCTTCGCTTGCGCTGTGTGGTGCCGTTTCTACGCTGACATGGGCATGATGTACGTACTACCAGATTCTCGAGATGCAGACGGCCGCGCAGGAGATATACCTGGAGTACTCGCGCCAGATGTCGCAGGCCATGTATGGGTATGCGCTGTTACCGACGCTGGACATGTTCCAGACGGAGTGTAACTTGGTAAGTGTCCATAAAACGTTCAGCACGCGGTCCCTGGACACTCAAAACGTCGACGCATTGGTTGCGAACTTCAACACGAGTACGTACCAAAATCTACTGCATCCCCATCGGGTTGAGGTTGCGATTGCCGAGGAGGCGTTCGACTTCCCCGCGAACCAAGACTGGCACCATCCCGAACAACTGCCGTGGGTGAAGCTCAAGCCACGGGAGCTCGGCGCGGGGGAGCACAGCGACGCGCCGCGAACACACGCCGCGTACACGCTCATCGGGCAGCATCGGATCGAGGCGAGCAAGCAGATGCTCCAGTCGTACGTGGAGACCATGGCGAAAACCGATGCGGAGCTCGCCGCGATAGGAGAGAACAGTCCGAGGTCGAAGGGGTTGCGCACGAAGCGCGAAAAGCTGTACGACCGCCTTCGCAAGCACGGATGCTGGCTATGCGTCGTCTATAAGTATGGTGAGTGCGCTGTCTGTGACGGCGGGGGCGCGTACGTGGTTGGACGCACGTTAACCTGCTTTGTTCAGGGTCGCTGGGCGACAGGAAAGCGGCGGAGTGGCATGCGCAGAACAAGTCGTATCCGAGCAAGGGGGAGACGCCGGAGGAGCAGATGCGCCAGAATATGCGCGAATTGTACAAATGGCGATCCACCGGGTCGGCCAAGGACTTGCTTCAGGCGCACATCCGGCTAAGTACCATCGTCCACAACATCCGGCCACCAGGCACGTCCGGCAGCATGCTGCAGACGGCCCTCACGCACATGTACCGCAACCCCGCCATCCGGCATTTCCTGTGCTCACTCACGCCCATCCTCGACGCCTCGCTCCCTCTGTACAACGATGGGTCCGATCCCACGAAAACGCGGGGGTTCGGGCGTCATTACTACGACCGGTGCGCGCTGTTCGCCGTCAGCTCTTGGCGACGCGTGTTTGCGAAAGGAGGTGGGGTAAGTGCTCGGGCTGTCTGAGTGCGTTATGGGTGCTGATACCTGGTACACACCCAGATCACGCTCTTCGCGATGATGCGGATGCAGTGGGTTATGGGTGTCATCGGCTCCAAGGAGTCTTTCCACGGCATCAAAGAAGTCGAGGAGATCTGCGACGAATACGACAAGGCACGCGTGTCCAGGGATAGGTACCTGCGAATGAAGCAAGCCCCGCTCAACGCGTCCGAGAATGCTGCAGCCGACCGGAAGACGGAACTCGCGATGTACGCCGCCGCGCACGATTTGGACGAGGTGGATGGTGCGATTTCGTCGACGGTCGCCCGGTCGGCCGACCGTCTTCAGCGCGAGTACACGCGCGGCGCGCAGTTGCCCAACTACGAGCTATGGACCGACGAGATGCTAGACACCGTCGACCAGTTCGCGACCGACCACCTCGTGGATGCCGCCTCCCTCGGGGTGCGTTGCAAGCAGGGTTTCTCCATGATGAACCAATACAGCTCTGCGCTCATCAACCAGCTGCGGTTGAAGGCGGGGGGTGCGCTAGGTCAGGAGGACGATGATGAGGATCTGCTGGCGACGGAAGGAGACCCGCAGACGCCTCGGAGCAAGAAACGCGCTTGGGCTAAGAAACGCGTCAAGGCGCACAAGAAGCATATGGAACATGTCATTGGCCGTCTCGCATACGCGTACTACAACTGGACGGTGTTGGATGATGCTGAGTTCACGCCGGAGCTGCCGCTGTTGACGTGCCATGCCATCTCGCTGGTCGGCGCCCAGGTCGGGATGTACTCGCGAGGGTGGGAAACGGGTGAGTGTGGTACCGTCATGGTGGTGTGCGTGTGGTGGCTCAAGTCCCTATCTTCAGGTTGCGCACATGTTCGAACCGACGGCGTACTCACCGCATATCAATTCCAACGCGTCGGCGGCCACCAACACCAAGGACAAGGTTGAGGCAGACAAGACGCTCCATGCGCTGATGGCGACGGTCAATACGCCGTACCTCAAGACTGGCTCGGTCCGGGACTTCACGCAGTCCGACAGCGTTCATTGGGCAGTACGTGGTTTGCGCTCCCTACCTCTTTGTCTCTGTATGTTGATGGTTCGGTGTGCAGCTTGCGCGCGAATTCTTCGGCGATAGACACACCTTCGTCGCGTTGCTCCAGGACTGCTCTGGTAGCCCGCCGGCATCCGTCTCGATGTTCCGTGCCCTGACGCGGGACTCGCTCAGGATGACCTACATGCCGCTCACGCAGGACGTCCCCACTGTGGTATCCAAGGCGGCCAAGTTCACCGTGAAAGGCAACGGCAAGGGGAAGGGGAAGGCGAAGTCAGAGGAGAAGGCGCGCGCGGACTCCAGCGCCCTCGCGCAGGACCATGACAACGCTGTGAAGCAATTCGCGGTGTCGCCAGCAGGGACCGTCTTCCCCAAGCTGGACATCAGGCAGCACGTCAAGATGTTTTCGTCAAACCTCAGATGCGTCACCGACGCCATCGCGATGAAGACACCTGACCTCCTCCAGGACACCGGTATCAGTCTTGACACCCCCGCCATGCGTGCGCTCATGCACACGACAGCCAGCACGGCGGAGAAGAAGAGCGCCGCCCCCGCTGCGGCTGCCGGTAAGAAAGGGAACGCGTCTGCGGGCCCCGTCGCGGGATTCACCGCTGACATCGCTGAGGCGGACACCGTGGAGGGCGTGGGCAGCGTGACCGCTGCGGCTGTGCCCAAGGCTGCGACTCGCGTCTTGGTTCCAATGGTTGTCTACTTGCTGAACGAGGTCGCCATTGCGCAACTCCTGTACAACGACCCAGGGTCAAAGTGGTGGTCGAAGCCTATCGGCGAGTTCCGCGAGAAGTATCGTCTGCTCATGGACTCCTTTATCGACAGGAATGGGTCTCCGGATGCGAAACACGCCCACTTCCAGTGGTGGGACCTCGACAAGCCGAAGCCGGAGTGGGATGCGCACCCTGTCCCGCAGTGGTACGTGGACGGCGAACCGAATCCGCAGCTCCTTCTGTGGAAGAAAGGGCTGG